GGACTGCTGGATTCGCTTTCCAAAACTTATTTCTACCGGATTAGCTGGTTCCCCAGGAGATATCTGCAACCTTCTGGGTATAAAACTAAATACATAAATAAATGAATGAAGGACAGCAGATGTTAGCTTTGAGTTGTCGTGGGTCAACGGCTTGTGTTTTATTACAAGATGCTTTGTTGACATAAGATGCTTTACTACCAAGCCCCAAACAAGGAATTAATACAGAGATTTGTACAGTAATATATTTACATTTTTTCCCCTTTATAGGATTAACTCTTCAGGCAGGGTGCATGAAGCCTATTCAGTTCAAGGGACACACTAACTTGTGCTTGCATGGCAAGGATCACATTCTACAAGGGGAAGGGGAAACAGCTGGTTTTCCACCAGATAAAAGTTTTAAAGACCTTAATGAGGGATTCTTGGTGTTCTCTGAGTTTGCTCTCTCCCCCCCCCTCTCTCACTTACCTAGCTCAGAGAGCACCAAGAATCCATTTCAACCCTGGGCTACAAATATTCTCTTTATTGGTACATGAATGAGTGTTTTGTTGCTGCAAGCCTTCCTGCCTGCCTATCTCCTTCCTTTCTTCCTTCCTTTCTTCCTTCCTTCCTTCCTTCCTTCCTTCCTTCCTTCCTTCCTTCCTTCCTTCCCCTACATCATCATCATCCTTGTTCCCTTCTGGGAGGAGGGGGCTCCGTGGTATCCGTAGCAGAACATCCAGATTCAGCCAGAGTTTCATTCCATACAGCATCAACCTTGTGAACTCTCAAGCTTCCTCCTTCCGTTATATATTCAAGATGGACAGTATTTAATATTTATTTGTTACGTATATGTAGGGGTGTGGGTCTATACATATGTTGTATATAGTATGTTTAGGTGTAAGTCATGTATGTGTTTCACTTTGAGAGTGGGCAACTAAATTTCATTTTTCGATGTGTGCTGCTGTGCCCACAGTAAAAAAATGACAAGGTTATCTCTTCTCTTCTCTTCTCTTCTCTTCTTTTCATCTTATCTTATCTTTTGGGCAGTGCTCTTTGAATTGCTGCACATTAATTGTCTAGTCAAAGAAATTCCTTTCAGGCTTGTTTTTAAAAATGATACAACCATATTTGAAAAGTGGTGGGCACATTTGGAAGTGCTTAATTCATGCCAGGGGCTATTTTCCATGGTGAGTGTGACTGACACTTGGTAGCTGAGCAGCTTCCATTTTATTATTTTATACTATTTATTTTTAATCAAAAAAAATCTTTTTTTAAAAAAAAATCAGAAATGTGTTGGTCCGTGATCGTCACAATAAAATGATTTCAGTTCCAGGTCTGGCGTTAGGCCGTGGCAATTAAATACATAATTTGTGCTGATGACATTCATCCCCTGGATTTTCATACCAAGATTCTTACCTAAACAGATAGATCTACCACTTAAGCTTCTTACGTGAAAAAGCTGTCTGGGTAAAATGTTCTTCACTTGCTTTATGATGATGATGGCATTTCAAAGAATAAAGAACAGTCAAAGTGCCCTAAATATTTAGATAGGTTTGTTGGCATTTAATAGAGAAAGAATACATTTGGAGTTACTGCAAATCTGGGGGTTGACTGAGCTCATACATCAACCTTAAGGTACTTAGCAACATAATAAATCCTTCCAGTTTCTATAACTGAGCAAATGTATAAATCATGCAAGGTGAGAATTCTCGAATAGTCGTGCCGAAGGTGCTTTTTCAAAAGGCAACTGGACTCTCTTGGTTTTGTCCTCGAAAATGTTTCGCTTCTCATCCGAGAAGCTTCTTCAGTTCTGGTGAGTTCTTGGAGGAGAACCGAAATGTTTTCAAGGGAAAAACCAAGAAAGTTCATTTGCCTTTTGAAAAAGCACCTTTGGTGGACATGCCCAGTTGCGAAAAAATACTGGACTAAAATAAGAAGATGGATCGAAGAAATAATAGACCAACCCGTAGACTGGAAACCAGAGATCTTTTTGCTGGGTATTTTAAACAGAAAATATAGTAAAGAAATACGGTACTTAATTCTACATATAACAACGGCAGCAAGAATAGCATACGCACAGTTCTGGAAAAATGAGAATATACCATCAGAGGAGGAAGTGATAAGAAAAATCCTGGACTGTGCTGAGATGGACAAATTAACAAAAGAGATAAAAGAAAAGGAAGACACAGAATACTATTTAATATGGAACAAGTGGTATGACTGTTTGGAGAGTAGAAATAAGAGAGAATAAATGTGCAAAGGTTAAAAGTGGAAAATGTGTGTATAATAATGTAAGAAGGAAGAAAAATGCAAATAAGAAATAATGGGGCAACAAGGACAAATATTCTAAAGAAGAATAAGGGGGGAAAATGTAAATAATAGAAGATTACTGTTACGAAATCGCTGTAAAAAAAGGGAGGAATATATACTGTGTGTGTATGTGTGTTATGTTTTGTTTTGTTTTGTTGGTTTAAAAGAAAAAGAAAAAAAAGAAAAAAAAAAAGAAAAAGCACCTTTGGGACAACCATGATCGGAACGATTGAGAATCTCCATGAACGTTCTCGGATAGTCCCGGATCTGCTGAGTCTCATTTATCCTCTTCTCAGTGGAATTCCTCTCTTGTGTATGTTTTCAGCTGATAAATTCTAAACTAACCAAAGAGAGAAGCAACCTAGAACTAAGGAGAAACTTCCTGACAGTGAGAACAATTAACCAGTGGAACAACCTGCCTCCAGAAGCGGTGAATGCTCCAACACTGGAAGTTTTTAAGAAGAGACTGGACAGCCATTTGTCCGAAATGGTATAGGGTTTCCTGCCTGAGCAGGGGGTTGGACTAGATGACTTCCGAGGTCCCTTCCAACTTTATCATTATTATTATTATTACATCTCCACGTCCATCCCATGGAACCCCTCAGCGCCAATGGGAGACCTCCCTGTTCACTCAACCTTCTTCTCACCTTCTATGAGGAAGATGTGTGTGTGTGTGTGTGTGTCGATTAAGATGTTTAATCTATATTCTATATTCTATATATAAATAAAAATGTAAATGTTCGTTTGTTCAAAATCTTAAATCTCCGAAAGTTCTTCACCGATTGCTTTGAAATTTTGACACAACGTTGCATTCGAATATGCGCGTGTTTTTATATACCTACTATTATATATATGTCACACCTGTGACAGGTAAAAACATGCTTTTTTTTGAAAAACAGCACCATCTGTTGGACGTAAAAGCAACACACGCTAACCAGACTGAGCCACAGCAACGCGTGGCCGGGTACAGCTAGTATATAAATAAATAAGTAAAATATATTTGTGCCAGTATGCCACATTATTTGGCAAATGATGCATTGAAAATATCAGCGCATAGCTGGAAGAGAGGAAAGTGATCAGCTAACACTCCTACATTTGATAGAACCCACTTACATGCCTGAAGATAATTCTTCTGGGTCTCCCAAGAAATACCGAAGTGTGATTTATGTTAAAAGTCCACTACTGAAGCTCTTTGGCTTCCATGCCACTTGACAATCAAAATAATTCTGCCTGGTGTCCCCTGTCCTTCGGTATACTTCCTCTTTCTTCCCTCATCCCCTAAACATTTATGAGCATAGAATCACTTTCAGGGATTTACATTCATCTCATGAAATAGGCTTGATCCACAAATATTTGGGTATATCTAGTTTAATGAAAAAAAGGAATAGGGGTGATATGTTAGCCATGTTCCAGTATCTCAGGGGTCGCCACAAAGAAGACGGAATCAAGCTATTCTCCAAAGCATCTCAAGGCAGGACAAGAAGCAACGGATGGAAACTAATCCAGGAGAGAAGCAACCTAGAACTAAGGAGAAACTTCCTGACAGTTAGAACAATTAACCAGTGGAACTACTTGCCTCCAGAAGCTGTGAATGCTCCAACACTGGAAGTTTTTAAGAAGAGACTGGACAGCCATTTGTCCGAAATGGTATAGGGTTTCCTGCCTGAGCAGGGGATGACTAGAAGATCTCCAAGGTCCCTTCCAACTCTGTTATTCTATTATTTCCTGACACACACATTCCTTGTCTGTCCAATCACACTTGGCCAATAAAGAATTCTATTCTATTTGGATGCACTGAAGAGGATTAAGGTTGCTACAGAGCTCTGTGTTTTTGCGTGATGGCAAAAGACTAACCCGCCTCTTGGAAAAATGCCATCAAAATCTCCAATCCCTGCAGAATTTACTTAAACATTAACCATATTTTTCACACACACACCCTTCCTTCCTCATTTTGTTTTATAGTCAGAATTCAAAGCTGCAATATAAGCCTGTTCTCGTGCAGCTATTTCTGCTGCCATCTGCTGTTCTGTTCTTCAACAAGTGGCCAAAACTGCACAGAGGTGTAAGAACAGCCAGTCTTGTTCCGTCCATGTACACAGATTGTCAGGACAACCCTTTGTTAGGAACACATGAACAGGAATGTAATTTTGTGAACTTTTTAGTGGGATCACATCAGAGCCTCAAAACTGATTAAGCATCTCAATAATCCAACATGTAGGGTTATCAGGTTCAGACGTGCAAATATAAACAAATGTACTTTGTGCGAACTATTTACATGGCTATGCATTCTTTAGAAAATGAGGAATTATTTTTATTTATTACTTTAGCCTTTTTTTTCGCATGAAGATGATAACATTTGGAAGAATAAATAATGGTCAGGGTGCCCTAAATATTTGGATAAGGTTGTTGGCATTTAATGGGGAAAAAATGGGGCTATTGCAAGCTTGGGAGCTGATTGGGCTCATAAATAAATACAATAAACACAATAAATCTTTGCAGCTTCTACAGGTGAGTAAATGTGTAAAGCATTCGACGCATGGGTATGGAGTAAATGTGTAAAAAACATGGGTCTGGTGTTATCAAGTTCAGGTATGCAAATATAAATGAATTTCCTTCCAGGCAAGTCCAATTCCATTCCTATGCATTCTTTAAAAATTAAGACGTGGTTAAGAAATATTAATTTTTGCTTCTTCTTTTTCCCCCTTGAACAGGGACACCCCGGTCAGCCAGGATCCAGAGGTCTTCCTGGTTTAGATGGCTGTAATGGTACCATTGGAAGTCCTGGTACCTCCGGATCAGATGGATTGCCTGGTCTCCAAGGACCACCGGTATTTCTTAATATAGCTTTTGTCCTAGGTTGAGATAGGTGGTTGGGAAAGAGGCCTGGATATCTTATATCTATGTTTCTCAACCTTGGTGGCTTTAAGATGTCTGGACTTCAACTTAAACAGTTACTCCTATGAATGGTTCTTTATAACTGTTCCTAGAATAAAGTGATGAAAAGATTTGGGCGAATCTAAATTCTTTCCCTTTTTTAGCAGCCAAGCAAAAAGTCATTGATCGATATCACATTACATCACGTCAACTCTTTACTATCTTGAGAGGCAGATGGTTATCTAGAGATACTTCATAGATGCCATCCTCTTTGGAGAAGTCCCACGATGGTAGTGGGTAGATTTATACATTACGGCAAGCCATAGTCCAACTATAAATAACCAGCAGTATTCTAAGCCGTGATATATGGTTGGTAGACTACAATAGCTGGATTTAAACAACAATAGCTGGTTTTAAATTTGCTTAAATAAAATTTAAACAAGCTATCCTAAATTCAAGGTGTGTTATGGCTTAAAATGTTATCTGAATCATATACTAGTGGCACTTATTCAGTAATGTGTGTAGCATAGTCTATCTTCAGAGGGGCAATACTATGATGGCCTTCCAAGAAACACATTCTCACATAAGAGATGACATATAAAGTCTTCAATGTATATCTGGTTCGTTGGTTGGGCTGGGTTGGGTTGAGTTGATTGAATATGTGGCATCAAGTTGATGTCATCTCATGGAAATCCACCTAGATAGATTTTACCTCCATGACAATCTATTCCTAACTGGTGAAGTATTAATACCACTTTACAATGCCTTAGTAATACTGCATCCAGTTTTGGTCACCACGATGTAAAAAAGATGTTGAGACTCTAGAAAGAGTGCAGAGAAGAGCAACAAAGATGATTAGGGGACTGGAGGCTAAAACATATAAGGAACGGTTGCTGGAATTGGGTATGTCTGGTTTAACGAAGAGAAGGACGAGGGGGGGACATGATAGCCATGTTCCAATATCTCAGGGGCTGCCATAAAGAAGAGGGAGTCAAGCTATTCTCCAAAGCGCCTGAAGGCAGGACAAGAAGCAACGGATGGAAACTAACCAAGGAGAGAAGCAACCTAGAACTAAGGAGAAATTTTCTGACTGTTAGAACAATTAATCAGTGGAACAACCTGCCTCCAGAAGCGGTGAATGCTCCAACACGGGAAGTTTTTAAGAAGAAACTGGACAGCCATTTGTCTGAAATGGTGTAGGGTTCCTGCCTGAGCAGGGGGTTGGACTTGATGACCTCCAAGATCTCTTCCAACTTTATTATTATTATTATTATTATTATTATTATTATTATTATTATTATTATTATTATTATTATTATTATTATTATTATTATTATTATTATTATTATTATTATTATTAGTACTACTACTACTACTACTATCTTCCGACAGTGCATTCATCATAATTTACTCTATCTTTTTAAATTTATTTTTGCTAAAGGATATCTTTTTTTCTCTTGTTTTCTTAACTTCTATATCCAGGGTCGTCCTGGTCCTAAAGGTCCAAAAGGTGAACCTGTTTATGCCCCGGAAATTTTTAGAGGAGTGAAGGTAAGAAATGTCCAGATAAGGGAACTGTAGCAGGAGGCATGTCTAAGCAATTAAATTTTAAATTTTATTTCGGGAGAATGAAGACAGCTTCAAAAAGATTGTGCCCACGTTTGAGGAATTGGCTTTAGAAATGTCAGACCTCCTCGCTGGTCATTGACCATAATGAAATAAATTTGATTATGAGATGTCAGATCAATCATGGAAGCGAAGAATTTTAAAAATTACGATTGATAAAAGGAGTCCCTTTTTAAATTCAACACATGCATATACCCTTGGAATGCCAGCTGCTGGAGCTCAACGGTAGAAGAAAGCAACCAACTTCCTATCTTAAGTTGGAAGCTGCCCAGATATCTGTGGAAATCCTCAGTCATCCAGGTCTTGGTTCTCCCAAAGCTGCTGTCTTTCAAAAGGCTACTGAACTTTTCTTGTTTTGCTTGAAGAGGTCGGAAGTCAAAACCGAAGAAGCTTTTTGGATGAGAAGCAAAACCTCTTCAAGCAAAACAAAAAAGCCCAGTTGCCTTTTGAAAGAAAGTACCTCTGGGACAATTTGCCCAGATGTTTTTAGCCACTGGTGGCACCCCAAATGCTGGGCTTGTTGTGCCTTTGGCCTGATTTTTTTTTAAATCATCTTAATTCATTTTCAGTCAAATGTTTGGGGGGGTTTTTTGCCAACCTTTTGATTATCCAGTTAAATCCACACTCAAGACATTCTAGTAATAACTACAAAGATTGCATTTAAATTTTTGATGGGGAAGCTATCTGTCTCCCACAATTTTTTTGTTAAAAAACACACTTCTCATAATTTCTATAAATTGATGTATTTATATATTATAGGCAAATAATGGAATTGTATTGAAAGGAGGAGATGCTCAGCTGGTACCCCAAACTGCACTCGAAGAGATGGTTAAGAAGGGAGATGGGATGTAGGGAGGTAGAAAGGAGGAAAGAGGAGAGGATGTGGGTTTAGGGGGAGGAAGGAAGAGGAAAGTGAATGAGGGTGGATGCAAGGCGGGGACTGCCGAGCGTCTCCGAAAACGTATTGAGTAGGATTATCTTTTTTGCTTGTGTTTTAAGTAAATGCATCATATTTGTATTATTTGTTGTTTACTGTGAAAAATTAATAAAAATTTTATTTAAAAAAACAACAACACTTCTCTGTGTCCCCTTTATCTATCGTTAAGGGTGACAAAAAAGTAACTTGTGCAATGTGCATGTCGTGATCCCTACTTTTTTAAAAAAACAAGGAACATTTTTCTATACTAGCATTTCCCTGCCAATCTGATTTATGTTTCATCTCAGTGCTTGCTGTTTTTTATGTTGTTATTATTAGGGAGAAAGTGGTCTTCCTGGACTGGATGGTGCTATTGTAAGTTCATTTCCCTTGTAATGTCTGTTTTCCTTGTTTGTGTGTTGCATTATTTTTGGCAAAACTCAATTAGTAAAGAGAACGGAAGCTTCAACTTTGCTTCCAGCATAATAGTGTTGAACTAGCCTTAGAAAACCTTAGTCCCAAATCTACCCTCAGCCGTGGAAGTTCATTAGGTGACTCGGCTTGGTCACAACCACGACTCACATTATAGATTTCTTATGAGGAGGGAAATAGACTTGATTTCCTGGGGGAGGGGAAAATAACCAAATGAGTTAAACACGGATTGTTTTATTTGTCTTAACTGCTGTTTAATCTTTACAAAACCTGCAGAACCACTGAACTGTTTGCAGAGAGGAAATACTACAATTAGGAATACAGCCCAACATTCCCCTGCAGAGTTCCACACTGTGTGTGGTAGAAGGACAAACAATAGCTTTCTTGTTAGAAGAGGGAGATTCAACAAACACAGGTGTCTAGTGCAAGGCACAAGGGTGTCATGTGTGTCCTGTCACTATGGCATAAAAGATGCTGTCTGGGGTACCACTCGCCCTCACCACAGGTAGCACGAGAGCCGTGTGTTTACGGCTAGCATTTTTCCTATTGTGGATTTTCCATGAATTTCTGATTTAAGTCTGCTACATCCTTTTGGGGGGGAGTGGTTCCCAGAAATAGCTAGTTAAAGAGAGAGGAGGGGATGGATAGAATGGAAAGATAGATTAGATAGATAGATAGATAGATAGATAGATAGATAGATAGATAGATAGATAGATAGATAGATAGATAGATAGGGGAGAGAGAGATAAAATGGATTAGAGAGAGAGAGAGGATGGATAAGATGGATGATAGACAGACAGACAGACGATGATAGACAGACAGACAGATAGATAGACAGACAGACAGATAGATAGACAGATGATAGACAGATAGATATAGATGACAGACAAACAGAATTGAGATAGATAGATAGATAGATAGATAGATAGATAGATAGATAGATAGATAGATAGATAGATAGATAGGTGAGAGAGAGAGAGAGAGAGAGAGAGAGAGAGAGAGAGAGAGAGAGGATGGATAAGATGGATAAGATGGATGATAGACAGACGGACGATGATAGACAGACAGACAGACAGACAGACAGACAGACAGACATTTGATAGATAGACAGATAGATATAGATGATAGACAAACAGAATTGAGATAGATAGATACAGTGGAAAAGAGAGAGAGAGAGAGAGAGAGAGAGAGAGAGAGAGAGAGAGAGAGAGAGAGGATGGATAAGATGAATGATAGACAGACAGATCTATCAGCTTCTAGCTGTCCAACTGCCTTCCATGACAAAGACCCTTCAGCCCCTCAACCTCTTATACATTCCTTATATAGGACTGGGTTTAGCTGAAAGAAAAGCCAACGGGATGGGAAAGGAAGATACAAGGGAGAATCAAGAGGGAAGAAAAGGAAAAAACAAAGCGCACAAAAATTAGCTTCCTACATCCAGAGCAAACCTTTTTCTTGTCTGGCTTTTGGCCTTCGCAAATAAACAGAAATGCTGAAATTTATTTCTACTTTTCGCATGGTGTTTTCCATCCTGCGGGGGAGTTTCACATCTTCCTCTTGGGATTCTGCACGCCAGGAGACACCCTCTTACTGTGGAAGTAATCGAGCTAATAACAGGAGCGATAATAATGAGAGATTACGATACCGGTCTGGTTTTGCATTCCACGTGATTATCGTGTTTATGACCCTGTGATGAGTTTGGCTTGCCAATCTGGCAGCAGGCAGATGCGTGAAGAGAGTCGACTCATTTGGGGGTGAGCAGGACAGGTGACCCACTGATGCTGCTTTCTTGACTTTGTTGTCCTTCCTAACAGGGACCAAAAGGTTTTCCAGGCCGACCAGGTCCTGCTGGCCCCATCGGGCTACCTGGATTTCCGGTAAATCCTCCTCTTTTTTTTTTGTTATTAATGATACCTTGAATAATCCGCCATTGTAGCTAGTTCGGAATATATGAAATAGCTAGTGATTGTTATCTACAGTATTTGTGGTCTTGACAGATGTTGGCTGCTTTATTAGCTCATTGTTAACCCTTTGAGTGAGTCCAGTCGAGAAGCAGTGAGAACAAGTAATCAGTGGAGCAACTTGCCTCCAGAAGCTGTGAATGCTCCAACAGTGGAGGTTTTTAAGAAGAGACTGGACAGCCATTTGTCTGAAATGGTATAGGGTTTCCTGCCTGAGCAGGGGGTTGGACTAGAAGACCTCCAAGGTCCCTTCCAACTCTGTTATTCTGTTATTCTGGTCAGTCTCTTAGGAGACTGCCCTAATCCAGATTATTCTCTTGTTTGGGAAGACGAATGACAAGGTGGACAAGGATTTAACTCCACCTCCTTTGGTTTCGGATCTAGTTGGGTGGGATGCATCTGCCCTTTTTAAATATCCTTTTGCTTAAATATTAAATATAAGGGCATCAGCCCAGGAGAAGATGTAGGAGTGAGATTCTCACCTCATGCAAGGGAGGATTTGGCACAAGCTAACTGCTCTCATTTATTACTGAGTAATTCATCTTTCTCTTTGCTTCCTAAATAATATTGCACGGTGAACAACTTTGGATATTTAAGGAGCCATTCCCCTTTCATTTTTTAACAACACCTCCCTCTTTTTATTTACTTGCTCCACACATAAATTGGCATTTGTTTCTCAAGTGCAACGTCTGATTAATATTTTTTTTCTTCCAATTTAGGGACCACCAGGTTTCCCAGGTCCCGCGGGACCTGTGGTAAGTATTGTTTGATCGTTTCCCTGCGTTCTGCTTTCCCCATCCGTCAAAGAAATTGTACTGTTTTCTCACTGATAAACATTAGGAGTCTTCTCCAGCACCATAATTCAAAGGCCTCAATTCTTTGGCGCTCAGCCTTTCTTGTGGTCCAACTTTCACAGCCATACATTGCAACTGGGAGAAGCATGGCCTTGACTGTACATACTTTTGTTGGCAGGGTGATGTCTCTGCTTTTTAGTATGCTGTCTAGATTTGCCGTAGCTTTCCTCTCCAGGTCATGTGGTCATGAGGACTACCTACATTGGATCTTAGATATGCATTATTCCAAGTAATGCAGCTCTTCGTAACTAATGAGATTCTGTCCATTCCTGTTGTGTCCAAGTGCTTTTGGTATGACATCAAGCTAATGAAATTAGTGTGAGAAAAGAGAAGCATTTTAATCCTTTGAACCCAAACAATTAGCTCTCATTCCTCATAGACCCAGGTTGGATTACCAGAACCAATACGAAACCATTATTATTTTTTTCCAAACAGTAAATGTTGATGATCGCTTTTGGAAGACAGATATAAGAAAACAAGCTTTAATTCCATTGAACATTTCTTTTGACTCTTATTTGGATGCTTCTGTGTTTAAATTGTCCCATTTTTGGGGATGTGTGTGAAATCACAATGATTTGATGTTTATTTTTTGTTATTTTGCAGGGCAGTAGCAATCTAGTTTTCCAGGGAGAAAAAGGAGAAAAAGTAAGTAGTGGTGTGCATTTTGGTTTTGCGGTAGGACGCCAAATGTCTTTTTCTCAGATCACTGCGAGATTAAAAAGATCGTTACCTGTTCTTCCACACGTTGGCCATTTATTCAAGTTCTTGCCATGAAAACATGCTGCATGTCAAAAACAGAACTGGGCAATGGAGAAGAGGCTTGTTTTTTGTTCACTGCTTGCAACTTACAAGTTCCAAAACTGGTATCAGCTTCCAAAATGTTCTCCAAAAAAGCTTCATTTTCAACTCTTTTGGAAGCAATGGACAGTAGAGCCCATCAAACGTCTTGTGGGAAACCGTTCTAGAGAACCAGCTCAATTATAAACAATCCCTCCAGGCTTTGACCCCTTGACCTCCTGAAAAAAGGGGACAACCAGCTGCTTCTCCCAGCATAATAGAAAGGATTGGGTTGACTCCAGGGGGAAGATGAAGTTCTTAAGTGAGCCAAGCCATAAAGTGCCTTTTAGATGAAAATCAGCACTTTAAATGGCTCTAGGACACTAAGAATCCAAGGCAGGGCCTGAAAAATAGATATAACGTGAACCTTCCCAGCATGCACCTGGAAGGAGCTGGGCCGCTGCATTTTGTACCACCTGAAGTTACCAAATAGACTTTAAAGACCACCCCATGAAGAGCACACTGCAGTAGTCTAGAGCAGTGTTTCTCAACCTCAATATAACATATGTGGATTTCAACTCCCGGAATTCCCCAACCAGGACATTTCAAAATTGCTGAGGTTGAGAAGCTTGGTCTACAGGAGTGGTGACGAAGGCATGAGCCACCTAATTGCTTTTTAAGATGTATTTCTTTCTTTCTTTTTTTCTTTCTTTCTTTTCTTTCTCTCTCTCTCTCTCTCTCTCTCTCTCTCTCTCTCTCTCTCTCTTTCCTCTCTCTCTCTCTCTCATTCAATTTCTATAGCCACCCATCTCAGTAAATGATTAAAAGAATTATATTACAATTAAAAATACTAACATATATATCTATGTTTTCCAACTAGGGAGATGTGGGACTGCCAGGACTAGCAGGACCTCCATCTTCCACAGGGACAGAAGAATATGTTGGAGTGTCCAAAGGACAGCGAGGAGCAAAGGTTTGCCCTTAAGAATTGATAAACTCTGAATAAAATGTTTTTTAAAAATGAGGCTGAACGTCAGGCTTGATTGCTCATCGTTTCGTCAACAAATCAGGGGTTTTGGCAATAATGTAGAAAAGGTTGGACATTACCTTTTTTGGAGAGCTTTCTTTCAATTTCTCCATATAATGTAGGGCTGCCTAAGAAGTCCCCCATCAAAATATCTCCAGGTCTTAATCTGATTAGTATTATGAGATCAGCCAAGGCCAGGTAGGCTGCTGGGAATGAAACTCTCCTTTGGATCAGGATGTCTTCTTGATGATTTGATGAACGTATCCATATTATTTGCAATAGTGGTGAATATCACTGATGATGTTACCTTTTGTTGTTAGTTGCGAAGTCGTGTCCGACCCATCGCGACCCCATGGACAACGTTCCTCCAGGCCTTCCTGCCCTCTGCCATCTTCTGGAGTCCATTTAAGCTCACGCCTCCTGCTTCAGTGACTCCATCCAGCCACCTCATTCTCTGTCGTCCCCTTCTTCTCTTGCCCTCCATCTTTCCCAGCATTAGGCTCCTCTCCAGTGAGTCCTTCCTTCTCATTAGGTGGCCAAAGTACTTGAGTTTCAACTTCAGGATCTGGCCTTCTAAAGAGCAGTCGGGGTTGATCTCCTCTAGGACTGACCGGTTTGATCGCCTTGCAGTCCAGGGGACTCGCAGGAGTCTTCTCCAGCACCATAGTTCAAAGGCCTCAATTCTTTGACGCTCAGCCTTTCTTATGGTCCTACTTTCATAGCCATACATTGCAATGGGGAAAACCATGGCCTTGACTATCAAGCTCAGAGACCATCCTCTCAGAGACAGCTTCTTTAAGCAAATTCTCCAGGAAGGTGGAGAAAGAAAAAATGTGAAGGTCATAAATGCAGACACTGGTTGCAAAGTTACTTTTTAAATCACCGTAATAACTGCAATCAGTTACAAGCTGAGGCAGTCGCTAAATGAGAACTGTCCTATATAGAAACATGGGCCACTATGGTCCCTTCATGACCTGGGAACTTGCTGGCTCAGGAATTCTTGCATTTGAAGTATTAGGTTGTAAAGGGGCCATAGTTGCCCATCCCTGCTATAAAGGACAAATATAGTACGTATTTTAATGAGAACTGGCACAGTCAAGATTAATAAACCAGCTGGTTCCCCCCCCCCAGTCTCTTCACTTTTCTAAATTCTATAATGTAGCTCTGAATTCCACTCTAGGATATAATAAATGAACATCCAGGGAGATGTATGCAAAAACGCATGTGTTAGGAGAAAATATAAACACACACTGTACATTCAGAGAAACCCTAGTATACACAACCCCACAAATGTTCCTCCTTGCTTTTCAGCTCAGTATTTGCAAACTTGCGCAAAAAATGGTTAGAAAGCGTGCATTAGAAAGTATGAAAGTTGAAGCTATCAAACGAGGCAGATATATTCACGGCTGAGCACAGGGCAACAGCAATTAATTTATTATGATATAAGCTTTGGCAGGCTAAGGTCTGTTTTGTTTTTTGAAGCAGACTCTAATCTAGGAAAACATTCATATGCCTGGATACATTTGTCATTCAGTAATGGAATAAATTGATGTGTAGGTGTGGTATGGAATGTCTGTTCCTGGAAAATTTAAAATGTGGCTTAAATGAAATTACACGGCTTGACTTCTCTGTAACTTTGATACTGTAGTGATTTGGGCTGTTATTTAAAAGATAGCACAACTAATTAATTGGAAATTCAGGGTCAGAACCTAGATTAACTCCTTGTAGAATCAGTAAATTCAACACATTCTTCTTTGTTAAACAAAAAGTAGGAATTTGCTTAAGAATTTAGGTATATCCTCCCAATTTTTCTTTCCCTGGGGAAAAAGCAAAGAGATAAGAGAATGTACCAGAAGCCTCTCAACAATTAAAATTATTTTCAGTCTGTTTAGAAAAGTGATTATTCTCCCTTTCAAAAAAGCCCAGAAGAAAAAAAAGAAAGCAAGCAATTTAAGCCAGTCTTGGACATTTCTTTATCTCGGTAGATGATTAACTCATTTAAAGTCTAATTTCTGCAGAGTTTGATCAATGATTTCCAATGAAACCGTTTCCCCCACCCTGAAGAATCCTGAATGTTTACTCTTGATAGAGTAGGACTCTTGAATGTTTGTCACTGAGAATGTCAACTTTCCCGAGACAAGAGGCAATCCAAAGGATGCCCAAGGTTGTAATCATTACCATGGAAATGTTGACATACCAAACTGTTTTTCAGCTAAATGTCTGGGCGGTGAAATTATGCTTACCCAGGTGAAAGATGTAAATCTCTTAAAGAAACACTCGACGGGCACTCAAATGGTAGCTTTTGATTTGTACCATGTACAATGTGTCCAATAAGCCAGTTGTCTTAAGTTAACCAATCTCAGCTCTTTGACTTCATCATGTTGCTTTGGATATACCTAATGGCAAACCGCACGTAATCTTCCCCAGCAGAGTTGCAAGAGAGGGTGAGAACTTTTGTTTCAGTATTAGAGAACAGAAGAATAGAATTGGAAGGGACATTGGTGTCTTCTAGTCCCACTCTCTGCCCAAGGCAGGAGACCTAACATCATTCTGGACAATCTTTTCTTGAAATCTTCCAGTGATGGAGCATCCACAGCCTCTGGAGGCAAGCCATTCCACTGGTTAATTGTTCTCACTGTCAGGAAGTTTCTCCTTATTTCTAAGTTGCTTCTCTCCTTGATTAGTTTCCATCCATTGTTTCTTGCTTTCAGGTGCTTTGGAGAATAGGTTGACTCCCTCTTCTTTGGGGCAGCCCCTGAGATATTGGAACACTGCTATCATGTCAGCCCTAGTTCTTCTTTTCATCAAACTAGACATACCCAGTTCCTGCACTACATTAGATACCCTTGCCCTGTTTTTCAGACTCAACAAACTGATGAGTCTTAGCGATTTTGAAACAAGGCAACTTCAAGCCGTATGTTAACAAGATGACTCAATATAAATTGGCAGTGATGGTTAACCACAGTTTAGAATTCGGATGTCAATGTATCTATGGGATAAATGAATAGAGGTAAAAATGGATGATCAAACCTAGATCTTACAGTGCTGAGTAGTGATACATTACTTAGTGTTTTGATTTTGTACTTGTTTGTTTCAGGGAGTTCCTGGCCCCAAAGGAATTCCAGGCCTACCAGGAGTTCCTGGACGTCCGGTAAGATGTTTAACCACAAGACAAAACTTTTGTTGACCTATCTCCCCTTTGAAGAGGTTGGAAGGGGTATGTAGTTCAGAAGGAACCCCACCCCAACCCAGGCATTCATCTAGAATTGAGCCATGTTTGACAATCATGGAAGCAAAAGGGTCCCCATTCTGCTTCTGAACATGTGGAAGAAGGAGAAAGAGCAGAATCTGAGCATGTTCCCACCACACATTTATCTTCTCCTTGTTCCCATCATCCCGTCATTGTCTGACTATGAGCCTGGTTTCCACACGGGGATAATAAGCCATTTATAATGAGTCCTACAGTATTAGTACAGTTTCATTGCAATAATAGAAGCATAATTTGTTGGTTTGTTTCTACTCTGAGTCTTTTGTTACACATAAACAAATTCCCTCTAATGTAAATTGGAATTTTTGACAAATGCTTCTCGTTCAGAAGGATGGTTTCAATGACAGTTCACATAGACAGAAGTTTTTATTATAGCTTGTTAGCATCTGGCACAAATCCTGCACAATGACTCTTTCCCCCTACCCCCCCCCCCCAATCCTCTCTGGTCCCTTCTTGGGTGGTGGCAATGAATTTTGTACCCCCTACGAAACATTTGCGAATGTCTTTGTAATCTAAGAAAAGAATGTTTTAGGAAACTTTGCAACCATGGAGTAAATTGTTTACTAATTGTGTCATTAAATTGCTTGCGGGCAGCCTCTTCTCCAAATAAGAGGTGCACAACTAGGGGGTTTCTGTCAGTGGTTTGGTATTCCAGAGATGTTCATTACTATCTAAGGGAGACGATGCGTGCTTTTTTAATGTAACCTTTGGGTGAGTCGTAATGCAGAAAATTTATTAAAAAAATAGAGTTGGAGGACAAACAGACAGTGATATCATCAGTGCTGTGTACTTACAGAGCGATTCAAGCTTTTAGATAAAACCTTACTTGAATTTATTTTGAACATAAAAAGATGAAACATGCATAATGAAGGCATTGATTGTGTGTGAGCTCACCTCCAATTAACACAGCCTTTTTCTGTATGTGCATATTTTTACTTACCCTAGAGTCGGACATGACTGAACGGGAAACCTTTACCATAACTTTTTACTTTCATGAATATGTATATTGGAAACCTATATTCTATTCCAGTTTGTACTTCCAAGCACTTTTTTACTTTCTGGAGAAGCATCAATGAAGCTGCCATTCTTTTGTTTTTTGGTTTTTTTTAATGAAATAAAGATGCACTTGTTAACTCTAACGCAATACTAAAGGGATGTTTCAAAGATTAGGAAAGAACTTATTGTTTGAATCCATTCTTCTAACATCTAGAGCAAGGATTTCTTTCCATTTACATAAGATAACATACTTTGCTGAATCCCCAGGCTTCATAAACCTACAGTTCTTTATAAAAACATCAAGTTTAATATTTGGGGAGTATAATTCAATATCCTATTTACATCATATCGTAGATAATGTATTGACTTATGGAACTCAGGACTACAAGATATTATGATGGCCATAGTTTGGGCAGTTTTGGAAAAGGGATCAATAATATTGACAGAGGTTAAGCCTTGCGGTGGTCACGACAATTATTTAAAACCTCAATGGTATGGGGGCAATGGACCTTGATATCCTTTGCTGGGAAACGGGATAAAAAATGGCAATTGATTCTAGACTTATGTGCTTCTAAGAAGTATCTCATTAAACCACAGTAGTATATTGGATGTTAAATCCTGTTGCAGAATAGCAATCCCGTATCTGCCCATAATCCATTACAGCCTGGTTCATGCTGCTACAGGTGGCTTCAGCTACACAAGACACCTGTGTAAATCATGTAAAATCCAATGTGCATGACAGGAAGGCGGTGCAGAGAGTGGTGAGGACGGCAGAAAAGATCATTGGCAGTTCCCTCCCTCCCATCCAGGATATAGCACATAAGTGTTGCTTGAGCAGGGTCTGCAAGATTATCTGGGACACTACACATCCTCTTCACAACCTGTTTTCCTTGTTACCTTCTGGGAGGAGGGGGCTCCGTGGTATCCGAAGCAGAACATCCAGATTCAGCCATAGTTTCATTCCATACAGCATTAACCTTGTGAGCTTCCTCCTTCCATTATGTATTCAAGATCGACAGTGATTAATATTTATATGTTACTTATATGTAAGGGTGTAGGTCTATACATATGTTGTATATTGTTGTTGTTAGTTGCAAAGTCGTGTCCGACCCATCCCGACCCCATGGACAACGTTCCTCCAGGCCTTCCTGTCCTCTATCATCTTCTGGAGTCCCTTTAAGCTCACGCCTCCTGCTTCAGTGACTCCCTCCAGCCACCTCATTCTCTGTCGTCCCCTTCTTCTATTGCCCTCAGTCTTTCATGTTGTATATAGTATGTTTTAAATGTGTGTTGTGTATGTGTACACTTTGAGAGGAAGCAATTAAATTTCATTTTTAATGTGTGCCATTGTGCCCACAGGAAAAAAATGACAATAAAGGTTAAATCTAAATCTATGTGAATGAATTGGGTAAATAAGTTTGAGCTGATCCAGATCTTTTGTTGAATGGCTTAATTAAGTCAGTTGGACTCAAATGTTTGCGTTGACTCAGACACGGCTAAATGTGCATGCATCTGATACTCCTGTTCATTACTTAGCATGATCGGTTTTTTTTAGCCCCATCCAGTCCTTTCATCCTAAACATGGTGTCTGCTGACTTACTTATAGCTTTGTGCCTCTTTTGCATTCTGGGAGAACTATGGAAGTGGAGATGTGAGCATTAGACCGCAAAGCAGAGAGCTCTGACATCCAGAAAAATTTAAGCCTACATGAAGACATGGAGTCATCAGTCTTATCTTTGTTTTTCCTGTCCTCTAGGGTTTCTGGGGCTTTGGAGAAAAGGGAGAAAAAGGCATCCCTGGTTTACCAGGACCCAGGGTAAGAAGCTTCACAAAATCTTGCTCTTGGGAATATATTTGTACAGATAGTCCTCAACGTTTGGCCAATTGCTTAGCAATCATTCGAAGGCACGCCGGACTCCCCCAAAGACTTAGGGAACGTGGCTTAGGGCCGTGGTGGTGAACCTGTGGCACGGGTGCCAGAGGCGGCACGAAGAGCCCTCTCTGTGGGCACGCGCGCCATCGCCCCAGTTCTAGACCTTCCGCTGGGTTTTATAAAACCTTTTCGCTTTAGGCCTCCGCTGCCATGTGCAAAAACAAAGTTCAATCAATCCATTTCAACTTCTCGTGGGGAAAAAAAAGATCTCGCAAATTTTGAATTGATTGATTGAACTTTTTAGTCCCAACCAGTCTGCCGTTACCACCGCAGCCACAGCCACCCAATTGACCACACCTACCCAATGGGCCACGCCCACCTGGCACCCGACGATACATAAGTGGGTTTTGGGTTGCAGTTTGGGCACTCGGTCTCTAAAAGGTTCGCCATCACTGGCTTAGGGTATGACAGAACCCAGGGGAGGAACCTGTAGGTGTCAAACTGGAGCACATAACTCATCAGCACATTTGATTTTCTTTCATTTCAGGGAGACATGGGACAGAGGGGACCGGAAGGAAGCATAGGCAGAAAGGTATGTCATGGGTTCAAACCCATCTTTATCTGTCTAGCAGCTGATGCCGCAGTGGGTAAGGTCCAGCAGAACATTGGAACAATATGCCTAGTTTTATACAGGAGATCCCGGCTCTTGATCCTTTAAAGCAGTGTTTCTCAACCTTGGCAACTTTACGATGTGTGGACTTCAACTCCCAAAATTCTCCAGCTAGCAACGCTAGCTGGAGAATTCTGGGAGTTGAAGTCCACACATCGTAACGTTGCCAAGGTTGAGAAACACTGCTTTAAAGGAAAGGCTATTTTATCAAGGCTTTGGACAGACCATTGGACTCTCTAGATCAGGGGTCCCCAGCCCCCTGTCTGTGGACCGGTATCGGGCCGCGGCATGCCAGCAACCAGTCCACACAAACAACCAAAGACCCATCCGCGAGATGCAGGCAGCACACAAAACCACGAACCCTCCGGTCCGTGGAAAAACCTTTCTCTACGGAACCGGTCCCTGGTGCCCAAAATGTTGGGGACCTCTGCTCTAGATTATTTGAGAGTTTCAAAAGGCAGTTGAGACCCTTTAGTTCTTCTGCTGGACCTTTGGAGTATAAAGGCTATGTAGAGTACCAATGTCATGTTGAGGTTGATTGGGGTTTTCAGTTTGATTGATGGTTCAACTTGATTCTTTATGAGCATGCAGTAGTTCCTGTATACAAGAGTCTCTCCAGAGTCTTCAATTAGGAGTTGGCTGGTTTGCTGGCTTGCTGTTCAACCACTCAGCTCAAATGTTATTATGCAGCGTGCAGAAGAAATGTTTTTTTTCAATAAATGAATAAGTACAGAAGAAAAGAGGGAATAAAACCCAGTGTTTTTCTCATTCTGAATCATCTGTCATTGTTATTCAGGGGGTCCTGGGCGAATCGGGATTTCCCGGTTGGGATGGATCACCAGGCAAAAAGGTAAACTTCCTGCATGAAGAACTGACCAGGTAGCACAAATAATTTTAGAGAAGGCAGGGAAATAGCCCAACGGTAGCTGTGACTGGACAGTCCTTTCTCTTTTTCCTTTTAGTTAAAAGGGTTACTTTGTTCACAGTGTTAAAATGCAAATTCCAGAAAAGGGAAAAAAATACAATACAAAACAAAATTAAACAAGACATTTAAAAAGCACATAAAAAACACGTACACGTAGATTTACCTCCAATGGAATATTGATAAATATATTTCAAGAGTAATAGTTCCCCCCCTCTTACAAACCAGGCCCACAAATTATGAATTTCTATACTTCTGTTTACCCAACCAAGTCCTTTCCTGATCTGTCACTTCTTCACTTTAGATAGATCTGGAAAGCAGACATTGAAGTAAGAATCTTATTAATGTCTTCCTAAGGCACTTCCAGGCTACAGGGATGTTTCTTGATTCAAAATAGCTGAAAATTCATGTTTTCTTCTTTTTTTTAAAAGGCGAACAGTTTTAGCCAAGCTTTCTCCCTGGCAGATTTGTCTTCTGCACTACAGAGATTTTTATTTTGTTTTTGTGCATGCAGTCATTCAGCCACCCACTTTGCATTTGTGTCTTACTTCCCAAGTTACACTTTGGATGAAGCAGAAGTGTTTTAACTAAGCTGTGAAGCTCTTGTTTTTTTCTGTTTCTTGCTTTTAGGGTGACTTTGGCGATGTGGGTCCACCAGGCCTTCCAATAATTGTTGACACAAGTGGTGCCATCATATCAGGTGGACAATTTTCCTTACAAATCCATGTCTTCTCTAACATGTACGACAAGGAGAATGAAACGTTTCTCAAAGCTAGGTTAATGTTACCGCTCTTGCTGTACTAGGGTTCCATGGCATTCAAATCAGAGTAGACCACAAGGAGTGCAGTTCCAGATGGATCACATTGCAGATCCCATAATCCCCACCTGATGCGCTGAACAGCTCTGTTTGCTTGGAATGTGGGAATGCATCTGGAGCAGGGGTCTTCAAACTGAGCCCGTCTGAGGAATTCTGGAAGTTGAAGTCCACAAGTCATAAAAGGGCCAAGTTTGAAGACCCCTGATCTGGAGGAACCACTACAGGATTCATAAATGCAAAATTGCTGTATCTGGCTTGTCCGAGCAATCTTCCCTTGTGGAAATTGTTGCTGCTGGGATTGTGCAATTAAGAAAAGAGGAAACCCTCAACAAAAGAACCTAGAGTTGGAAGAAACCATAACGTTCATAAATTCCAGCTCCTGGTTCCGTGCAGGAATCCAAATTAAACCCTGTGAAATAGGTCGTTCAGCTATCACTCTTTTATAGGAAACTTTCTGGAGAAAAAGCATCAAATTTGGGGCCCATCTTCTCCTCTGTCTTCCCAATCATTGGATCGATATAGGAGACATACAGACAGTAGGAGCATGACTCAGAGGTCCCTAGAATTGGAAAGGGACCTTCAGACAATGAAATCCAAACTTCTGTTTAGTGCAGAAATCAAGTTGAAATCATCCGTGCACGTTTGGTCAAAATGAACCACAAGAGTTTCACCCACCACAGGCTGTATTCCTTGGTCTTCTTCCATCTCCTCCCTGGTATCAAAGATTTCTTAAATGCCCATTTTTCTTTCTAAGACAATTGTTGTACAATGTCTGAAGGACCTCTTTGCATGCCAAAGATCTCTGTTTCAACCGTATGCATTTACAGTTAGGAAAAGTGCTGAATTGATCAGTTTAGGCACCATTGAATTTTGTGGGTTCCAAACTCCAGCTAAATCAGATTCTTACTTTCCAAAAGTAGGCTACTAGTATGATGAGTGGGATAAATGAAGAGCAGTTCTGAAGTTATTTGCTTTCCATCTTTTAACCCTAGGTCCCCCTGGAGAACCCGGCACACCAGGAAACCCTGGATCTAGAGGAGATGGGGGGACTATTGGTTTGCCAGGATTTCCTGGGCAACCAGGACGAACTCCAACCTTTCCAGGTAACCTAGTTAAGGATCCATGGGTGGTGAGAGAATCCCAGGGATATCTTCATGTAAGAAGCTGACTAAAAAGTGTCCAAGGTGTTTTCTGATAAGTGTTGTTCATGTCTCTGGAAAGACATGGTCATCATGATTGTGAAAAAAATGTCTCAGAAAATAACAAAGAGAAAAACACAAGGAAATAAGGAAGAAGGACCTAGAGGAACTTTTAATATGCCTCACATATTGGTGGGAAAAAGTGGGAAATGGGGGGAAATGTGTAATTTACTGATATTTGGAGTGGTTTTTCAACCACCTGACTTTGCTTAATTTCTGGAAAGAATCAATGAAATCATCCCCATCCATCCACCCATCCCAATGTATTTCTGTTGTCCTTCCATCTTTACTCACCCAGTTTCATCTGATGAGGATGAGGATTTTATCCGTTCAGTTGATTCTATGGGCCAGGTCTCTCCACATCTTTCGATCTTGCACTACTTTTTTTAGTTTTTCTATTCTTTGTCTGGTGTCAGCTTTGATGGTGTCCAACCACCGTGTTCTTATGGATTATCTATGGATCTACATATAGTAGGTTAAGTTTAAAAGCCTTCCCCACTGAACCCCTGCTTAGTTAGTTAGTTACACCCATCCTTGCTAACCAGAATTGGCAGTCTTCGCTGGGCACAATGTGAGCTGAAGCCCAAAGTGAGTCAGACAGGACACATCTGGCAAATTTCCATTAAAATATACCATCTCCTCCTTTCCTTGAAAGCAGTGGTGGCATCCTAGCAAAACCTGTTCACAAATGCTAGCAGAACAGCTTTCTAAAACTGTCCATGGCTCTTCCAATCCAACAGGAATGTTGAGTGTTGGCTTACCTGGCCAAGATGCCTTAAACTAGAAAGTTGGGTTCTACTGTTTTTAGTAGTTAAATCAGAAAATAAAGGACCAGATTATTGGGTATGGGGGGGAATGAATTGAGAGGATAACTCCTGAAACATAGTCTTCTTTTAGGTCCCCCAGGTTCAATGGGCATCCCAGGGATCTCAGGAGTTAAAGGTGACCGAGGAGAACCAGGAAGGACCACAGTTGGATCTCCAGGCCTACCTGGGAAAGATGGAGCTCCAGGGTTACCAGGACCTCCAGGGTTACCAGGTGCTTCAGGTAAGCCCAAGATCAGGTACAACTTCTATTCTGCACTGATTTTGAGTATGAAAATTGGTCTGCCTTCTCTTGGCTGCATCCTGCTTCTCATGACTATACAATTTTCTAGATCCTTGTGGATTTTAACATCTTTTTTTTTAATGCAGATACAGCATACCCAGCAGGTGCAATCCTTAGAGGAGAACCTGGGGAACCAGGTATTCCCGGACCAAGGGGCCCCCCAGGAATCTTTGGCTTAAGAGGATATAAAGGTGAGTAGAATTCTCATTGTCTGAACATTCCTCCAATGTTCCCAAGCACTCAGTCAGGGTCTTTTCAGAAGAAAGTAGCTATAAGATGTACAGCAAAATTTTACATGAGTCCACTGGTGCAACATTTGTTTTTAGCTCTTGGCCTGAGTGATGACACAGGTTTGGAGAAGCCATGGCCCAAACAAAACCTTCTGTTTAGGAAAATATGGACTTCATCTATTTATTTATGCAGCTTACATCAGTGGACTAGACGTAAGATGCATAAATCTTTCCACTCCTAATCTAACACCTTAATCACTCTCAGAACATGGAGGAAGGAGCCAGGCTAATTAATTGACCACTTCAGTGAGCTGGAGGAACAAACAGTAGAATACATTCTTTCAGTGTCTCCCATAAACCCAAGATGGACTGAGTTATAATCAAGACAGGATTTAATACTGAGTCAAGGATATGTTATGAGAAGTTGGCCATTAATATACGTTCAGAAGTTTTTTTTGCTTAGAGTGAATTGAGTACAAGGAGTACAGTTGGCCTTACGTTGCATTAACATCTGGTGACCTCCTGGACACATTTCTGAAGCATTTTATTTTCCAGAGATCTTCCACCCAAGTACCGACCAGTCCAGTCCCTTATTAGTTTTCCAGGATCTGCCAATTACCTGGGCTTTGTGTATCTGTAGAAGCATGTATCCATTCATTTAACCCATTAGCATGACAATGTTTTTCACTCATGCTACAGAAGAAACGGGCTCCCTATGTTCTCCTGATCCTACTTTTGGGGTTTTGTTGATTACTTTAAAACACACATGCACAGAGAAACAAGTAAAATACAGATATGGAGGAACTATGTTTGAACCTACGCACACTTACAGGTAGAAATTTGATTTTAAAAAAACCCCACTGATTTGAGTTCTCAGCTGTGGAGTGGTTTTGGCGCATGTCTGAAGTGAATAATTGTTTTCCCAGGGGAAGGTGGTGATTGTGCCTGTGATGGAGGAATCACGAGAATAGGCTTGCCAGGAGAGTCAGGCAACCCTGGTCAACCTGGAGGACAAGGTGATGTTGGGCCAAAAGGATCCGTGGGGGATCCAGGAGATGGTATACTAGGTCCCCCTGGGCCACCCGTAAGTAAGGAATAAATTTCTTTTGTTTGATAGGGAACAATGTTGCAAGACGTTAGACAGGTTAGATAAGCTAAATTAGAAAATTAGAAAGCCTTCATCTTTAGAAGGCTCTTTATGATGGGTGGCCATAACTATGTGACTTTCCTCTATCTCCAAAGAGGACCAGGCCAGGGTCATATTTTGCTGAGAGACTACTAGACCAAGGCTTTTCAACCAGTGGTACGGGTACCACCTGTGGTACATTGGCACCTGGCAGGTGGTACGTGACCATCCTTGAAAAGTGGTAGCGGTGGAGGGGAGTGAGCTGAACCAGTGGTAGCACCGCACAAGCCTGAGCGAGCGATGGCTGGAGCTGCAGGGCTATCAGGGCTCAGCAGAAGCGCCAGGATCAGTGCTTCTTCGGGACTATCAGGGCTCAGCTGGAGCTCGGCACTGATCCTGGCGCTTCTGCTGAGCCCAGAAGAAGCACCGATCAGCTGGAATGTTGCAGCATCTCCAGGGTCTTGTGATTTACATTCAGATGCTTGGCAACCGATTCATATTTATGACGGTCACAGTGTCCCAGGGTCATGTGAAGTGACCAAAACCTGCTGCAACCACCCAGCAGACGGGGGAATAAAAACCAAACACCCCCCCACCCCACCCCCGCTGCCAATCCTCAACAGAAATGCTCACAACAATGAAAACCTCAAACAGGAGGAAGAGTGCCGCTGGGTGGGCAGGCAGGTGTCTTGCTCGGCTGTGGCTTTGGGAGTGCTTTTTTCAGTGCTGTTGTAACTTCAAACAGTCACTGAGCGAACTGTTGTAAGTCGAGGACTACCTGTACTTTATCACTTTTTTCCTTTTTTGGGGGGGGGTCATCAAGTTTTTGACACCTTGCTAGGCGACTGGTGGTACTCGGATGTTGCCATATCCTAAAAGTGGTACAATGGGTTAAAAGGTTGAAAAGCCCTGGACTGGACTACTCTTCATCCTCAGCCATCTTGAAGAAAGCCCCAAAATATCTTCCTGAAATAACGAACTATACTTTTGTTTTTAATCCTGCTCAAGTTTTCTCTCCTCTTCCGCTATGTGCAAGAATCAAGCTTAAATCAACATCTCCACATGTTGGGCTAACGTGATCCAAGGGGGTTCCAACCGTCACAAGATGTATTCCTTTGACCTTCTCCTCTTTCTCTAATACTGAGGGGTGGAGTTAAACAAGGGATTGGCTTAGAATCTCTCTGTAGCCACAAACGAAGTTAGTTGAGAAGATTCCTATGCATAGGCATGAGTAGCAATAAATCAGTTTAATTGGATCTTCACGTGTGGACCTGATCTTTCATGCCTGATATATGGACAGAATTTATGGTAGTGCATAATTTTTATTATCTGATTCATATTGAGCACCAAAAGCAGTAAGAATAAAAACATAGCATGTCCAGGGCCAATCTGATTCAACCAATAACTCCCAAAGCCTTCCCAGGTAAACAAGGCAAGAAACATGACCAGTTGACCTACTTCTACCTTATTCTAGTACTAGAAGATTCAACAGAATCTTCCAAATTTGAAAGTACAAATCTCCCACCATCTTTTTTACAGTCTGAGATATTAGTGAGGTTCCTTTCTGAGGCTCTTTCTCTGTCCATTATGGAGCTGCAGGCTAAGTCTTCTCTTATCTGATGATTCCCTAGAGCAGGGGTGTCAAACTCAATTTCACTGAGGGCCGCATCAGCATTGCGGTTGCCCTCGGGGGGGGGATGTGTGGCCAGGGTGGGTGTGGTCTACTGGGTGGGTGTGGCTGGAGTGGGTGTGGCCTACTGGGTGGGCATGGCCAGCTCTACATCGTTCGCGTCAAGGGTGCCTGTGGGGTCCTGGGCAGGAGTGGGACAGATCTGGGGGTCTCGGGCAGAAGGGGGTGGGACCGGGGCAAGTGCCAAGGCATGGTCCATTTCTTCATTCCTCACAAAGGGTGACACCTCCCCAGCATGCACCCAGGGGGCGGGGCCGACACAGCAGGGGCTGGTTCCTCGTTGCTTCTAGATGACCTTGTGGAGCTAAGACTGAATGTGTTTCAGCATAGATGGCCACCATAAAATTGCACATTGGCTCCCGGCCAGCCTGGGCCAGGACCAAGGCAGCGGGGGGCATTCCCTCACTGTTTCCAGGATGGCTTCGCGGGCCACATGAAACCACTTCATGGGCCGCATCCGCCCCCCCCGGACCTTGTGTTTGACATGTCTGCCCTAGACAGTGCCTTTTCTCCTCGCTCCTTCCCCATCTCCCAAGATCATTCTATGTACCATTTCACTCCCATAATTAATGAGTACATCATCTTAACTCTCTCTGTTTGTCTTCCAGGGTTTCCCAGGTCAACCTGGTCTTCCAGGCATTAAAGGACAAAAAGGGGAACCATCTTCAGTCTCAGGCAGAGGACCTCGAGGAGATCCAGGGAATATTGGACTCAGGGGTCCTTCAGGGCCACCTGGAACTCCTGGTAGGGATGGTGTGCAAGGTGTCCCAGGTCAACATGGTCCTCCGGTATGTTTGTCCATCTCAAAGCCCCTTACAATAAAATGTATGCCCTTGTCTCCCCAAAGTGGAATCCAGAAATGTTGAGTTTCATCACCTCAAAATTCCTAGCCAGTATACTCTTCCTGGCTATGGATTGTAAGGCCACACTGCTTTTCTTTGATGGTGTGGGTCACTATGTACAACCTGTCAAGTCCTTGGTAAAATAAGTTCTCAGCTTTTGTAAACTTTCTTCTGCCTAGGTTAAAGGACTGACATTTAGATCAGATGTAGTGGTATTCATAGGAGAAGATATGATGATGAACCATCTCCACTCCATCTGCTATCTTATAACGGAGGTCCCCATTCCCCAGGCTGTGGACCAGCACCGGTCTGCGGCACACCATAAACTGGGCCAAACAAATGAGCGAAACCCCATCCATGCATGCGTAGGATGCAGGCAGCACATGAAACCATGCTCCTTCCAGTCCACAGAAAAACCCTTCTTTGTGGAACATGTCCCTGGTGCCAAATGGTTGTGGGCCACTGTCTTACAAGAGCTTTTCATCTACCTCTAATTGATTCTCCCCACCACCACCACCACTTATCTGATTGCTTCTTACACACCATACCAGGAAGCAAGTAGTAGACTTAGGATACATCATTTCCTCAAAGATAACTGCAGGATCAGGGATCTGCCATATTTGGGGGGGGCTTGGAGACCGCATTAGTTCCTTTTCCAGTTCAGATCCAACTCCGAGCTGGAGGTGCAGGTTCATCTTCCTTAGAGGTGGCCCTCAGAACCTTTGCTTCCAAACCAAGAATATGACTCTTGAACAACTTTGCTAACCATCATTCTTGGTATGGGGCTATCTCCCTTCTGCATGGTCTTTTTTTATATCTCTGTAGGGTGATGATGGATTTGGCTACCCGGGGGACAAAGGTTTCCCTGGTTTAGCTGGTGCAAAGGGGAAGCGTGGTGAAATTGGCCTACCTGGCATTGGTTTTCCGGGACCAAATGGAAGCTTTGGACCTAGAGGTGATCCAGGGATCAGTGGCATTCCAGGACAACCTGGCCCACCAGGGCCGCCAGGTAAGTGATGTGGGGATTCATTTGATTTTGGATCAGAGCCAGGAAAGTGGATCATTCAGATGGTTAGATATGGACTTGGAGATCCACGTTCAGATCCCCGCTAGATACCTGAGGGTCAACAGATGCATTTGGGCCCCTCAATCTCAGCCCAAACTATTTCACAGGACTGTTGTGGGGATAAAGATGGGGGGGAAACCCATCCCTAAGTAAGCCACCCCAACTTGTCTAAGAAGATCGAATTGCATTTAGTTCCTCTTCTCACAGAGCTTGAGGTGACTTTGCAGACATAAAGAACGATCTTAGAGACTACATTTTCCTAAATAAACCAATTGGATTGTCTTGATGATGATGATGATGATGATGATGATGATGATGATGATGATGATGATGATGATGACATAAATTTTGCCCTGTGGGATTGAGTCTTTACATTCTGCTTGGGATCCACCTTGCCTTGGCCCAAAAGACAAAAGACCAACACCATGGTCATTTCTTGTTTTTCACGCAAGGTTTCCTTCAATAGATGTAACAACGGCAGCATGGCTGTTCTTGGGTTGAATTTAATTTAATGTTGTTCATCTACATATGAATTGGATCTTCATCAATGGAAGTGCTTCATCTTGCATATTTTAATGATAGGCCTACTAAAGGCACAGGGGGGAGCCCAGGTTTTTATGTCGCCCCATCTGTTGTCCGCCTTGTCTCTCAATGTGACGCAGACTTGTTTTCTAATGGCTTTAGAATTTCTAGCTCTTACGATGACTCTCTGGGTGGATTAACCCCGCATATTGTACCTGTGGATCTCGGCGGCTTGGGATGCAAACCAACCCTCTCGTGGGTCATCTTTTCTTTCTCTGCTTCCCCTTCCGCTCTGCTTTGTTTTAACTTGTGCTCCTTTGCTTAACTGGTATAGGTGATTGCTGCTGCGGTGAGGAGGTTGGTAATGGAGACTTAGACGCTCAGGGAGGTGAGAGCGAGGATCTGGGAGTTCAAAAAAGAACGGGTGCTCTCCTACACACACATACACACCCCAAAGCATCTTGTTCCACAACATGGGAGGGGCAGGTCCTTCTCTGTGGACAAAGACATCAGTAGCAAGGGGCACCATCCACGGGGAGCTTGCTTACCAGTGCTTTTCTCCTCTCCCTGCCCCAATCCCAAAGTTGTCCACTGCCGTGCTCGCCATCTGCTTCCTTCTGGCTGTGTGTTCTTGTGCCTTACTTATTGCATGAAGCTGATCAAGGGCTGTGGAAGATGTGAGTGCTTGGCCCCTGAACAATTGGAGCTGTGGAAACCAAGAGGACACCCCACTGCCCTACTCCATAGGCTGACATTTTTATCACTCGGCAGAGGATTGAATTCAAATCCACCTGTGTATTCGCTGGATTGGTGCTCATTTGGGGGGGGGCATGTTCTGTTAGTTGCTGTTTCACGGGAGCTTAAGAAGGCAAGGAGGGAGGAGGGAAGGGGAGAGGATTTGACGGGGGGGGGGAACCTTAGAAAGCTCCACTGCTACTTTCCTTTTGATTTTACATCAGTAAATAAAGTGTTTTGCAAATCCTAAGTCAGGCGGACAAACCGGGAACCACAACAGGATTACAAAGCTCTTTCCTTGACATGAACATTTTGGACAGTTCCTTTCTACTTCTCTTTTAGGATGGTGAAAATGAAACCACCCAAAGAAATGGAAACCAAAGATATTTAGAATTAGAAATTCATGGGAAGGTTCATGGGTCGTTGTTCTTAGGTACAAGCAACCAGAACCACTCGTGAATCATCTCAAGCAGAAACTTTATTGCTAGCCACCTATATTACAAGAATCTCCCCAGTGTCAACGCTGCAAATACTGTGTATTCTTGCTTTGACAACATGCAGAGCTGTCTGGCATTTTTATAGTTAAACCAGGCAGAAGGGGAAAAGAAACCGGAAGTAAATCACATCTTCCAAGTTGATTGGAAGATGTGAACCATGACCCCAAAGAAAGGTGGGAGGGAAATGCTTAGAAATACATGCATAGCGGAAAAGAAGCCAGTCCTAAGCATTTCCTCCATGTTGTGCTGACGTATCTGTAACATTAATAAATGCTTTTAGGAGAAAATATGCCTGAAAGTCCTTTTTAGTGTTTCGTTAATCAGACACATGACACCCAGACTGACTGCATTTCCTTGGGAATGGTCAGATTTATTTATTTATTATTTATTTATTAATTTGATTTATATACCGCCCTTCTCCCGAAGGACTCAGGGCGGTGCACAGCATATTAAAAACAAATAACAATACAATAAATAAATAACGAAATAAAAAACCCCTCTAAGACCAAATTAAAAGCCAAATATTGGTAGCTGTGTCGTAATTAAAATTATATTAAAAATCGTCCCTAACTAAAATCCTNTCTTGAGGGCGCGGCGGAAAGTGAGGAGATCCGGAATCATCCGGATCTCGGGGGGTAGTTCGTTCCAGAGGGTGGGGGCACCCACAGAGAAGGCCCTTCCCCTGGGGGTCGCCAGCCGACATTGCTTGGCCGACGGCACCCTGAGGAGACCCACTCTGTGGGAGCGTACCGGTCTGTGGGAGGAGATCTGTGGCAGAAGATGAGGCTTCAAGGATTCTGGGGGCGGTTAAAAGCCTGTGCTGCTTTCTGCCATGCAAAGACTCTAAGCTCAGCCCCCACTTAACGCCTCCTTCCAATCCAGCTGGATGATCCACCACATGATACAGGGAGATCCTTGGATCATGACTGAGGCTCAGTAGTCATTTGCTTCCTTGCATTAGGTACTCCTTGCCCCAGTCCTTCCTGGCCAGTCTTAACGATGGCTAGCGGTAGTTTGCCAGTGCTAGATTAATCACTCTCTGTCAGTCTAGCTACTTACCACAAATGCCCTCATAGCTACTATGAAAAATTCAAGGTGAGGCAATCAGAAGGTACTACCGTTCTGATCAAGAATAGCACTGCTGAATTTTATTTCTTACAGTGGCCAACCAAATGCCTCTGGAATGCCCAGAAGTTGGAGGTCAGGACTAACCCTTCTCCCCCCCCCAATGTTCTCCTGCAAGTGGTATTTGAAGGCGTGCCTGTCCCCTACCTAGAAGTAAGCTGGAGTCTTCAGACACCTCAGCGTCCTCCACCATTAATCAATCCATCTTGGAAGTCATTTTTTGGGTACTGTGTCCAGAGGGAGTACCAAAATCTGCCCTCAGCTATGTTTTCAAAATCATTAGAATCCTACAATGGAAGGTTGAACTCTCCAGCAATCTAGTCACCACATTCTGGACCTGTTGTAACTTTCAGGTCATCTCCAAAAACTGTCCTATGTAGAACACATTGCAATCACCAGCTGAGATCAGCCATCCATCATGCTTTTTTTAAAGCAGGAAAAACATTTTGCTAGCTGCAAAATTACCTTAAATCCGGGCGTGAAAATCTTAGGATGCTACAATAGATTTGCAAGTATGGGAGCAAAAGAGAAGCAAAAATTTGGGAATGGGAGGCTGATGGCATTCTCCCCAGGGAGAAACAGGCTACGCTGCAGGTAATTGCCAAGAAAATCAGCTCTGTTTCTTGTTGTGGTACGGAATGACAGAATTCCTTCATTCACCTGGACCAAAATTCCACACGCAATTGTCCCTAAGTGACAGAACAGGATCTGAGCACTTTATTTTCTGGTGGATCTTGAGATGTTGGCATTGCCACCTGTTTCTAGGGGAAAGTTCTTACATGTTTTGTTTAGTCAAAAAAAGAACATCAAAATTTTAACACGTTTCCTATCTTCAGGAGAAGCTGTGCCATGCATAATCCCTGGAATCGTGGGTCCACCTGGACTTCCGGGACTTTCAGGATTACCAGGTAGGTGGCTTTAACCCCAGCTTCTTCTAACAGTCAGAAGGTATGATGAAAACTCTTTAATTTCACATCCTAAAGACAGACTTCACCGTAGTTTCAATTGGGGAAATGGGACCATCCTAGACCAAACCAAGTACAAACATGCCAGGGAATTCTGATTCTGACAGATCAGCCATCAACAGACACCTAGACATTAACAACATCTACAGATTATGCAAAAAAGACTATCAGCCAGCCCCAAAGGGAACAAAAAGACTCAATTACCTCCCCACCCGCAATCAGCACTTAGAGGAGCATAGATTAATTCCAAGATTAACATTGGATCAACAATCAAGTAAACAATACCCCAGTGAAGAAACTGCCAAGACACCAACAGTAAACAGCCCAACCAAAGAACTTCTAAGACCCCTCCCCCCCCAAACACACACCAACACTGACAGGGCCAGCCACTAGAACAGTAGTGGTGAACCTATGGCATGGGTGCCAGAGGCGGCACTCAGAGCCCTTTCTGTGGGCACCCGCGCCATCGCCCCAGTCCTAGGCCTTCAGCTGGGTTTTATACAACCTTTTCGCTTTAGGCCTCCGCCGCCATGTGCAAAAAAAAAAAGGTTCAATCAATCAGTCAATTTCAACTTCTCGCGGGGAAAAAAAGATCTTGCAAAGTTGGAATTGATTGATTGAACTTTTTAGTCCCACCCAGTCTGCCGTTACCACGGCAGCTACGTCCACCCAATGGGCCACACCCAGCCAATGGGCCACACCCACCGGGCACCCGACGATGCATAAGTGGGTTTTGGGTTGCAGTTTGGGCACTCAGTCTCTAAAAGGTTCGCCATCACTGCACTAGAATATAAACTGAGAGCCAACCCCACTCCTTACTAGCACTGGTGATTTTGCCTAGTTTGGGTAATGAAACATCTGCAAGAAAACAGGACACGAAGCAACGGATGGAAACTAATCCAGGAGAGAAGCAACCTGGAACTAAGGAGAAACTTCCTGACAGTGAGAACAATTAAATCAGTGGAACGACTTGCCTCCAGAAGTTGTGAACGCTCCAACCCTGGAAGTTTTTAAGAAGAGACTGGACAAGCATTGAACTGAAATGATATAGAGCAGGGGTAGTCAACCTTGGCTCTTTTATGACTCGTGGACAGCACAGCTGGCTCAGGAATTCTGGGAGTTGAAGTCCACGAGTCATAAAAGAGCCAAGGTTGACTACCCCTGGTATAGAGTCTCCTGCCTGAGCAGGGGGTTAGACTAGAAGACCTCCAAGGTCCCTTTCAACTCTGTTATTCTGTTAAAACAAGTGAGCTCAGAGAGCACCAGAGACGCCTCATTTCACCCCAGCTAAATTAACTATACTCGTTGGGGTGCTTCAGTGCAAAATGCATTTAGGGGAGTCATAGCATCGTTGCACTTTTCCTAGGAGGCTAAGAAGGACAGATGTTTGTTTTTCCCCAAACTGATTTTCTCCTCCTCCTCCTCCTCCTCCTCCTCCTCCTCCTCCTCCTCCAGGTTCCAAGGGTAGCAAAGGATTCCCTGGTTTTTCAGGGCAGCCAGGTTCAATTGGCTTAAAAGGAGAGCCAGGCACACCTGGAGAGGCTCGGTTCCCAGGAATGCCAGGTAAGAACCAGGAAAGAGGGGAAAATCCAGACGTCATTGGCCACACGCTTCCTAATCTTTCCAAAACCCTTCTATGGATACATCCATGAAATCACCAGGAATCAACTGAAATTCCTGAACACTTAAAAAATGAACTACAGATAGTCCTCGACTTACGACAGTGTTTAAATATGCCCGGTGCCCACGGGGTTGGTTTTTTCAGGACTTCTAAGGACTCTTTTTTTAATGCCTTAGCAAACCATGGTGCCACCACATGCCTGTGCGCATTTATTTTGTGGTATAGACACAATGGTTGGCTAGCGTAACTGCAACATCATTCTCCACCTATCAAGTGTATATGGAATGAAGTTTGCTTTCCTTACGGACATCATCTGAGTTTATTGCAGCCCAGGTTTTGCTGTAAATCATAACCACCCTGAATCCACTTGGATCTGGCTTATAAATTTATGAGCAGATGATGAGACACATCAGCTATTGCTGAAAATGTGGCCAGGTGCAAAGAATCAGGATTACATATTAAATTCCAGCTAAGCTGATCTGTAAATTGGTACTAGATAACAGTTAATGGAATTCAAGAGAGGCTGGACGTAGACCTTTTGTGGCTACATAGAGAGTCTAGGCCCGTGGTGGCGAACCTATGGCACGCGTGCCACAGGTGGCACGCAGAGCCCTCTTTGTGGGCATGCGCGCCATCGCCCCAGTCCTAGGCCTTCAGCTGGGTTTTATAAAACCTTTTTGCTTTAAGCCTCCGCTGCCGTGCGCAAAAAAAAAAGATCCAATCAATCAATCAATTTCAACTTCTTGCGGGGGGGGGGGAAAGATCTCGCAAAGTTGGAATTGATTGATTGAACTTTTTAGTCCCACCCAGTCTTCCGTTACCACCGCAGCCACGCCCACCCGATTGGCCACACCCACCCAAAGGGCCATGCCCTCCCAGCACCGACGATAGATGAGTTTGGGTTGCAGTTTGGGCACTCGGTCTGTAAAAGGTTCGCCATCACTGGTCTAGGCTGATTCCTCTCTTGTCTACACCCCCAGACTCTGCCTGTTTTTCTCTTACACTTTCTCCTCCTAAAGCAACTCTTCTCTGTTGCTTTAACATTATTCATGCCTTCTTTTCTTGAAAGGGTTTCCTGGCCCTCGTGGAGATCCAGGTTCAAAAGGACTACCAGGAATTGATGGGGCGGATGGGCTGCCTGGTCCAGAAGGCTGTCCTGGTGTGGTTGGTCCAAATGGATCCCCTGGTGATGTGTTTGGGGCTGAACCAGGATCCCGAGGAGAACCTGGGCCACCTGGCTTACCAGGAGATAAAGGCTTTCCTGGAGATTTTGGCTTTCCTGGAACACCAGGTGAGTTCTAAGCATCTCTTGTTTGGTTGAAAAACACCGAAAAGTTGTTGAATTTCAATGGTTCCTTTTTGGATGGGAAACTCTTCAATGTATCTTAGCTTGGGTTCAAAGAGTGAAGATAGAAAGATTTAAATGGGCTAAATGATCTAAGACAGGGATCTTCAACCTTATGGACTTATGGACTTCAAGTCCCAGCTTTGCTGGCTGAGGAATTCTGGGAGTTGAAGTCCACAAGTCTTAAAGTTGCCAAGGTTGAGGACCCCTGATCTAAGAAGTCTACTGAAGAAAATATTGATAGCTTTTTGATTTCTTTAAGGAGCCATTGATGGGTTGTCTTTCTGGAACAATAGATAGTGGTCTCATTTTATATTATAGAAAAATCAACCTAGTTTATAGGTCACCGTGACTGGCATCACATATCCCCAAAAAGATAGAAACCACAAGTCGAAAATCACATCTTGCTGGTAAAATGTTGAGATAGACATTGCCATTTTTTGCAGTTCCTGGAATATGTTTTTCTTTCCCCTAAAATGAATATTTAAGGGAAACATGAGCAAATAAACCAAATCAGCCAGCTATGCTAACTTGTTTGACTTATACTTTCCAGGGAGAAAAAAGCAAGCACTGTCTTACTTCATTTCAAAGGCAATGTAGACAATTCATTGTGTATTTATTTAAGTTGATACCCAGAAGGTTACAGGTCCTTGCATCATTTTCAAAACTGCATAGATCTTTGCTTTGTGAGGCTTCCAGAGGTTGGAAACATCAAACATCATATATCACAAAGCCAAGGACCTCAGGTTTGTCACATCAGATTCACTAGGGATGACATGGTAGCAATCTTCCAATATTTGAGGGGATGTCCAGAGAAGAGGGGTTCAACCTAGTCTCCAAAGCACCTGAGGGCAGGACAATAAGCAATGGATGGAAATTAATCAACCTAGAATTAAGGAGAAATTTCCTGACAATGAAAACAATTAATTAGTGGAACACCTTGCCTCCAGAACTTGTGCTATTTCATTACTGGAGCTTTTCCAAAAGATATTGGACTGCTACTTGTCTGAAATGGTATGGGGTCTCCTGCTTGAGCAGAGGCTTGGACTAGAAGACCTCCAAGGTCCTTTCCAACTTTGTTATTCTGTAATGATGCCTGAATCAACCCCATGAATTTTGTTGATCACCCATGTAAGAGGGAAAGAATAGGAGTCAGGTCTTCTTTGGTTTTCAGGTCTGGATGGAAAGCCTGGCCTGCCAGGTAGAAAAGGAGGATTTGGAGAACCAGGTCTTCCAGGCTTTGATGGACCGCCAGGACCGCCAGGACCAGGAGGTCCATTTGGCATCAAAGGAAAACCAGGTCCGTTGGGAACAATCGGCCTTCCAGGATCACAAGGTATGGATTGTTTCATCCTGGATGAAGGTACGTGTGGCCTTCAGACATCTCCTCCTGCAGGTTGCCCACTTGAGACATACCCTTCAGCTTGATATCACCTTGGTCTTCAGGTGTTCAGGCTTCTAAACTTACTCAGGCAATTCCAGAGATCTGGAGATGAGGTGGGAGAGCAAAGCAGAGGCTGAAGCTCTCAGCCAAATGTACTGAACCAGCACTGGATAGAGGTAGTCCTCGAATTATGATCATCATTGAACCTGGGATGACAGTCATGAGTCATAGCGGTTGTTAAGCAGGTCGCTTACATGACCACACCCGACTGCACATTTTTTTGCAGTGGTCGTTAAGTGAACACTACAGTCTTTAAACAAATCCATTGTTCCCCAGTGGGCTTTTTCTTTTTTTTCTGGAAACTAGAAATAAAATGGGCTGAAAACCCATAAAAAAACCCCACCGGAAACTGCAGTTGTGAGACCGGAGGACCGATGCATTGGCTTTCGTTTATGTAGACAGCCATAAAGCTAGTTGCTAATTGTCCAAAATGTGATCACATGACCATGGGAGAGGGTTAGGCGCTTGTCAGAACTTGAAAAATCAAGTCGTAAGTACCTTTTTTAGAGCCCGTTGTAATTTTGAACAGTCACTAAGTGACTAGTCATTAAACAAGGACTACTGTACTTGTATAGTTTCACTGAAAAGAGTACACAGGGGGCTGGGGGGGGCTGGCACATTGCAAATGATTACATTAATGCCCAAGAACAGTGGTGGTGAACCTTTTAGAGACCGAGTGCCCAAACTGCAACCCAAAACCCACTTATGCATCGTCAGGTGCCGGGTGGGTGTGGCCCATTGGCTGGGTGTGGCCCATTGGGTGGCCGTGGCTGCGGTGGTAACGGCAGACTGGGTGGGACTAAAAAGTTTAATCAATCAATTCCAACTTTGCAAAAAAAAAATTCCCGCAAGAAGTTGAAATTGACTGATTGATTGAACCTTTTTTTTTTTGACACGACGGTGGAGACCTAAAGCGAAAAGGTTTTATAAAACCCAGCTGAAGGCCTAGGACTGGGGCAATGGTGCGCGTGCCCACAGAGAGGGCTTTGTGTGCCACCTGTGGCATGCGTGCCATAGGTTCGCCACCACGGCCCAAGAATGTCTCTGGGTGCCATATAGATTCTCTCAGCTCAACCCACCTCACAGAGGGAAGTAGGAGATAAGTTTCCTTTCTTGAGTTATTTATAAAAATATATATAAAGGCAGGATAAAAAAATATTTTTTTAAAAATACTGCCCAATCTGCCTCAGATAGATAGGTCATTGTACCAACTGTTTCACTGAAGATTACGTAACTGTCTAAAATGAGCCTTTTCATTTCATGATCATGTCATTCACGACTAATTTTCATGATCCATATTCATTAATTAATTTCAGGACATCCCCATGCCATGGGAGATTTGCACCCCATCCACCTCTTCTCATTCATATGGCCCAATGTCTCCCTGTGATCTTCCTAAGCAGCCAGAATGAAGGTCCCAACGGTGCTGTTTGCAACTGGACTTTTATTTTTCCTTGAAAGTGTTTCACTTCTCATCCAGGAAGCTTCTTCAGTTCTGTTCAGTTCAAAACTGAAGAAGCTTCTTGGTTGCGAAACAAAACATCTTCAAGCAAAACAAAGAAAGTCCAGTTGCCTTTTGAAAAAGCATCTTTGGGACAACTGTGATCTGGATGACTGAGAATCTCTATAGATAACCAGAAAACTGGTTTTCTTAATTTCTCAAAAGCCTCTTGGATGTATTGCAGTTGTGATAGCCACAAGCCCCTGTGGATGAAACTGCTTGGAGTTTAATAAATGGCACTATAATAAACCATTCTATTGTCAAACAAGAATACAAACAGTTCAAGTACAGTGCTCAGCTCTATGCCAAGCATAATTCACAGCCATTCTTGTTCTGGAACAGAAATTATCTTGCAAATCCTTACGTCAGTGATTCTAAATAGAATTAAATTTAGGCACTAAATTTAACAATTGCTGGGTTTTGTACCAGCTGTAACTGCCGGGCTGTCCTCAGTTTCCCTTTGTTACTTGATCCAGTGGCCCCTCAACAATCTCAGCAAATGTCTTTCCATCACCCTCCTGGTCCTTTTAATGAAGGTGCCAGGAACTGGTTTACTTCTGCTTGCAATATAGAGTATCTACACTGACTTGAGATATTTCCACACGAGCATACATGGATGCTTCACCTCGAAGAGAATCCATCTCTAATCCACATCCTGAATAACTGAGCTGCCAATTAAGATGGTAGAAGGTGGTCTTCTCTGACCTTGATGCCACAGCAGAAATAGTTCCTTCAAATAAAAATACGAAGTCCCGGGATGGAAGGGAAAGAAAACAAAATCTGGAGGAATAAAAAATGTTCAAAGGAAATCCAGGAGGAAACTAATCTTTCCCTTACCCAAATATTTCTACCACCACCAGCATCAGCCCAGTATTCACATTTCTATCTGCTGTCTCCATCCACCCAACCCCAGGGAACCCCATCCATATGTTTGATCTAAGCTGTGTTGAGAAAGAGCTCAGTTGTCCCAAAGGTGCTCCTTCAAAAAGCAACTGGACTTTGTTCTGAAGTTCTAAAGAAGCTTCTTGGATGAGAAGCGAAATGTCTTCAAGCAAAAATAAAGAAAGTCCAGTTGCCTTGAAAAAAAAGCACCTTTGGGACAGTCACGACCTGGATGACTTGAGAATCTCCATAGACGAAGAACTCAGTTATTTTCCAAGTCATTAACTTCATTCTCAGCCTTGTGCTTTCTTCCTGGTTCACATGTTTTTGTCTGTTTTTCCTCACCATGTTTCTGTTCCATTTGCCATCATCTCTCCATTTCTGATGTCACACTGTTTTGGTTTTGGGGGTTCTCCACATAGGCTGCCAAGGTGAGAGAAAAGGCTTTGTAGCATAAAATCTCTCGGACTAACAGCTGCCTAGCTGATTTTGCTGTAGAACTTGCACTGATCGTGATACCCCTTATTTCAATCCTGCAAAGCATTGTGGCCCTCACCTTTTTTTTGAAAAGGGGTCTGTACATGAGCATGATGGACTTCTCATCCCGGAGAAGGTCTGTTTGTGTGGCCACTAAATCTGGAGAAGGTCTATCAGTCTGGACATCGAGAGTCAACACCAACTCAATGGCAACTAATCACTCAACCAACAGGGACTTTCACTTAATTTTAGATCTTTGGTGTGTTTTTTTTTTCCCCATCTACAGAAATTTTATATTTTTCCTGAAAAAGAAGCTGTGGCTTTTAAGTGATGTTAGTCACAACTGCACAAAGTTTGTTAGATTTTTTTTTTAGCCTCCCAGCATTAATCATTTTAGTTGTTGCATGTCTAAAAAATTATCTGGACTATTAAGACTCTCCCTGTATTCAGAAGCTAAATTCCACCCCGTTGGGCTGGTTTTATCAGCGAAGTTATTTCTAACGTTTTCAGCACAGTTTTGCAGATTGTTATTTAGGTTCTGCCTTACTCACGCTTCAGCTTTTAAATTTAATTTTAAAAAGTAAAGACTAGGTCAAATTGAGCTTGACTTCTGGTGACTGGATAGATACACCCATGATAATTTTACTGGCAACAGCATGGATGTGAATTGCCAAAGCTTTCTCCTGGAAGATTTATAATTTTACCGTCTAGACTACAGTCCTGTCCATTGGTGTTCCATCCAAGTCCAATTCTGCTTAGCTTTGTCAAGATCAGATACAGCCAGTTGACTGCTGCCACTAGTGTGATTTAGTCTTCCTTAAGTCAAGCACAATTTGTGATTTCATCCATGTACTTCAACGTTAATAGGTTTTCTCCACTGGAATCCAGCCCAGTCCATTGTCTAGTCAAGAGCCTAGAATAAAGGAAAAGCAAAGACTGGGAAAAACATTTTGGTATGATTTAGATTAGAATGAGAGTAGAGAGTGGAATGTGACACGCCAAGAAGTTTCTAGTCCCCTTTGGTAGCCTTACACGACTCACGTTATTTCCAAATGGTAACTGATAATGCCTAAATTATCCCAAACATAAGGGGTTTCACTGTTGGCAATTGTCCATTGGTATATAGGCAGTAGCTTTCCTAGAGCGCTTAATCACTAGGCAACTAATACTTCTTTTTTTTTTTTACATTTCTAACCCTGTGTGCTTTAGAAAGTCTGCATGATTTTACTTTATTGTTTTGCCGCAGTTCAGTTAGCTTTACACCGATAAAATGCTTTAAGTGTTAAGCTCTTGAAAGTTGGCGCAGCCATGGTAGAAACGTTGTCCTGGGGAAAACACGGTGATGGTTTGGGTTTTGAACCATTCAGGGCTTCCTGGAACAAAAGGACCAAGAGGAGATGCTGGTTCACCAGGTCCCGCCGGCATGAAAGGGCTCCCAGGGCTTAATGGAAGGCCAGGAGAGGCTGGAGAACGAGGATTGCCTGGACCTCCGGGTCTCTGGGGCCCAGACGGAACTCCAGGTTTTCCCGGCTCAAAAGGTAATTTTTTTCCGAATTTATAGCCCCGGGCTTGAATGAGAATTGTGGGCTTTGACCTGGGTTGAGCTTCCAGGTTGCTCTGAATGAACCTGTGAGCTTGGAGACTGGCCTCGGAAGAAGATTACAGCAAGTCCTCAACTTATAACCACAACTGAACCCCAAATTTCTTTAGCTAAGTTGAGTTTGGCCCCATTGGGCGACCTCTCCTGCCACAGTTGTTAAGTGAATCACTGCAGTTGTTAAATTAGTAACACGGTCGTTAAATGAATCTGGCTTCCTCCATGGACGTTGCCTGTCAGAAGGTCGCAGAAAGTGATCACGTGACGCCGGGACACAGCAACCGACGTAGGTACATGCCAGTTGCCAAGCGTCTGAATTTCGATCACACAGTTTAAGGCATTCCTATGCACCTTCGGTTGTGTCCATGTGGTGATGGCTCTATAGAAACTCTAAGCCATATGTTGCTTCATTGCTCTTTATATAAAGACTCTCGACAGATTCTTATACATCCGATATTGAAGAAATTTCCAGGCAGGGGATATGAATTTTATCTAAAGTTGCTACTTTCGGATAAGGATCCGAAAATATCAATTCAGGTTTGTGCCCAATTTTGTGCCACCATTTGCACAATACGTCGCACCGTTATTAAGGTCTGAAAAAAAATTTAATACGATGTTTTATTCTGAGAATTTTGGATTATACTATATTGATTGCTTGGTGGTTTTATATCCTGTAAATATGGAAGTAAAATTGTTACTGTTGTTAATACATTTTGAATATGTCTGGCCTTATGGCTGTAATAAACAGATTGATTGATTGATCACACGAATATGGATTGCTGCAATGGTTGTAAGTGTGGAAAACGGTCATAAGCCGTTGTCTTCAGTGCCATCGTAACTTTGAACGGCCACTAAATGAATGGTTGTTAGTCAGGGACTGTCTGCTCCTCCTTTCCCCCCCCCCAAAAAAAATTCCATGTACTTTGCTCAGATTAACGCTTGGTTGTTTCAAACCAGGTGAAAAGGGCTCGTTGGGCGTGATTGGCTTTCCCGGGATGCCAGGCCCACCTGGGCTTCCTGGCGTGGATGGCCTCCAAGGAACGTCTGGTGAACCAGGAAGAAGTGGAAGCCCTGGGTTTTCTGGCTTCCCTGGCCTCAAAGGTGAGTTGAGCAATTTTGCAGGAAGCATGGTGTAACACCAACCCAGCCCCAAAGCTTTTGTTGTATGTGCTGTCTTTGCTTTCTGATTATTATTATTATTATTTATTGAATTTATATACCGCCCTATCTCCCTTACGGGACTCAGGGCGGTGAACAGGCGATAATAAAAACCACGATAAATATACACAAGTTTCTGTTCTAAAATCAAATTAAATAACAGGCCTGCTCTAAAAACACACCCATACAAAAAANCGGGGGGTAGGTCATTCCAGAGGGCAGGAGCTGCCACAGAGAAGGCTCTCCCCCTGGGGGTCGCCAGCCGGCATTGTCTGGCCGACGGCACCCTAAGGAGGCCCTCTCTGTGGGAGCGGACTGGTCGAAGGGAGGTGTTTGGTAGGAGGCGGTCTTGCAAATACCTAGGTCCATTGCCACGGAGCGCTTTAAAGGTTGTCACTAACACCTTGAAGCGCACCCGGAAGGCCACAGGCAGCAGTGATGAAACTAGGACTTGAATTCTCTTGCCCAATGTTCAGAATTGCCTCCCGGAATACACGTTAAGATACAAAGTCCTATTTCACATGCCTCCTCAAAAACCATGAAGTCTTAGTCACGACTTAGTCCTGGTTTCTATGTACCGATAAAGGAGAATATTTGTAGCTCAGGGTGGAAAAGAAGGGTCCTTGGTGCTCTCTGAGCTTGGTGGTTTTCTTGCAGACGTTTCATTACCCAACTAAGCAACAGCATCAATGGTGGAAGGACATAGGGTTTGCAGAGAGGAGAAGGAGGAGGTCCTTAGTGCTCTCTGAGCTTGGTGGTTTTCTTGCAGATGTTTCATTACATCACCAGTGCTAGTAAGGAGTGGGCTTTGCTCTGAGTTTATATTCTAGGGGCTTCAACCAAACTCAGAGACCACCAAGGCCCCCTGGTTCCTGTGTCCTTGCAAAATGCCACTTAGGACTATAGTTATTTGCAATGCCACTTAGGGCTATGCAACTGAAACAACTCGTTAATCGCTTTCCTGCTTACAGCTGTCTCCGTCGTCCTTTAAGTAGTTCTTTTGAACCGGACTCCTGATAGTAAGTTCCTTGGTTGAGAGTTCAGTCCTCTTCTATTCTATATATTGTAATACGCAAAGTGCTTTTGAGGTTCTATAAATTAAGACAAGATCTAAATACTTCTGGTGCTCTCTGGATCAGTATAGGCCAGTGATGGCAAACCTTTTAGAGACCGAGTGCCCAAAAACTGACCCCGTCCCCGCTCCACCCCCTGCCCCGCCCCCACTCCGCCCCACCCTGCCTGCCCGCAGGGCCACTCACCGCCTCCAGGGCCCGCCGCAGATTGCCCAGGCAGCCGAGCAGCGCCATGGCAGCTACACCCTCTGTCCGTGCCCCGCAGCATCAACTGTGTGCAATGGGGCATGAGGGCAGAGTCTTGTCTACGCTGCCTGGCTGCCATGTCCTTGGCTGCACTGCTCCGCGTGGACCATGCTCAGGGGCGACTCTCCTCCAGGGGCTTGCTGGCGAGGGGGTCGTGGGGGAGGCAAGGCTGGGGCAACGGCACGTGTGCCCACAGAGAGGGCTCCGAGTACCACCTCTGGCACGTGTGCCATAGGTTCACCACCACTGGTATAAGCAGAATAAGCATCTTGCTGCGTTCCTCTGTCTTCTTTTGTGCAGGGGACAGAGGTGTCCATGGTCCTCCTGGCCCTCCCATTTCCATACCCCCAGAGGTGGCCCTCCGATTCAAAGGGAATAAAGGAGATTCTGGACTGGTTGGACAGAGAGGGTATCCAGGACCAAGAGGTATGTGTTTGGCATCAGATAACGTCCATTTTATTTTTATCCTGAACTACGTGGGCCATGATAGGTGTTCAAGCTGACTCTCTTTGTCCTGTTGTCCTTGAGATATATTGGAACTCCTACCTAACCAATCTAGATCAAAGAAATCTGCTCTTGCCTATGCTCGTGAGCATTTCATTACAGATAGGTGAGGATCCCCAAATCTCCATTTGTGGGAGACTTGCTTCCTTCTAATGGGCAACAGAGAGGGAGACTCCATTCTTTTAAACTGTGGCTGCGGAAATCAAGACGCTGGGCTACACCTTCCATTGGTCCACCACCCAAGGCAGCATTTACGCACAAATGGCTACTTGACCTGGGAGCTAGAAATGAAATATTTTGAGGATGCAGGGATGACCATCAGAAGAGAACTAGGACCACCCTGCTTTTTCTGTGGTTGTTGTTGTTGTTAATTGCGAAGTCGTGTTCGACCCATCGCAACCCCATGGACAATGTTCCTCCATGTCTTCCTGTCCTCTACCATCTTCTGGAGTCCATTTAAGCTCACGCCTACTGCTTCAGTGACTCCATCCAGCCACCTCATTCTCTGTCGTCCCCTTCTTCTATTGCCCTCCATCTTTCCCAGCATTAGGCCCTTCTCCAGTGAGTCCTTCCTTCTCATTCGGTGGCCAAAGTACTTGAGTTTCAACTTCAGGATCTGGCCTTCTAAAGAGCAGTCGGGGTTGATCTCTTCTAGGACTGACTGGTTTGAACGCCTTGTGGTTAATTGTTCTGGAAAGCAGAATGCTAGTCCCGGCACTGCCTGCCTTGCGAAAGAAATCTCTAATTATTGTAGCATTGCCTCCTTCAACCGGTAACTCATCTCACAATAGGCTGGTGGTAGGCAAGGTGAAACCTAACCAATCTGCATTTTTAAAGAAGCATTAGACCCACTGTATCACTGTTTCTCTTTCTGTAGGGGGAAAAGGAGCTCCTGGGGTCCGGGGGCAGCCGGGACTTCCAGGAAGATCCGGATCGCCATCTAGGGAGAAAGGACAGCCAGGAGAGCCAGGTTTTCCAGGAACGTTTGGTCGTCCTGGGTTATTGGGACAAAAGGGATCTGGTGGCATCTCAGGCTTTCCTGGAATGCCTGGGGGAAGAGTAAGTATCCTTTCTCTTTTTTCCTCCTAGTTGGGTGGGAAGCACTTCCACTGTTCTTCCACTAAAAGTGGCCACTACTTTTAGACTTTGGGTGTCTTAGTGAGCTCCTAACAACTTCAGGATCCTTTGGGTCCTTCATAAGGTTTTGGTCCATATATTCTTCATGAGGTAGAAATGCACTAGCTGTATAACGTCTACTCAAAAGGAACTCTGGGTCTGCTTTGGCAGAAGACATGAGGATACAGTCAGGAAACAGCTTCTCTGCATTTCCCTGGATCTCCCGTATCACACAATCAACAACTGGGAGAGGAATCTAGGTGAAATTCCTTGAAGCTGTTGATCTTGCTGTTGGGTTGAGTAGCACTATATAGATCAGACATGTCAAACACAAGGCCCGGGGGCCGGATGCGGCCCATGAAGTGGTTTCATGTGGCCCATGAAGCCATCCTGGAAACAGTGAGGGAACAGCCCCCGCTGCCTTGGCCCTGGCCAATGTACAATTTTGTGGTGGCCATCTATGCTGAAACGCATTCAGTCTTAGCTCCACAAGGCCGTCTGGAAACAATGAGGAACCAGCCCCTGCTGTGTTGGCCCCGCCCCCTGGGTGCATGCTGGGGAGGTGCCACCCTTTGTGAGGAATGAAGAAATGGACCATGCCTTGGCGCTTGCCCCGGTCCCACCCCCTTCTGCCAGAGACTCTCAGATCTATCCCACTTCTGCCCAGGCCCCCACAGGCACCCTTGACGCAAACGATGTAGAGCTGGCCATGCCCACCCAAGTAGGCTACACCGATTCCACGCCCACCAAATAGGCCACACCCACCCTGGCCACACCCACCCTGAGGGCAACCGCAATGCTGATGCGGTCCTCAATGAAATTGAGTTTGACACCCCTGATATAGATTGCCAGAAGTTTCTTCAAATGGAAATCAAAACCTGGAGTTGGCAGTGACCCTGCAGTCTTCCTTTTCCAGTCTCTAGAATCCCTACAAATTACATTTCCCTTCCCCCAATGTTGTATATACTATAGGTAGCCCTCAACTTACAAAAGTTCATTTGGTGACCGTTCAATGTTACAAAGCCACTGAAAAATGTGACTTATGATCATTTTTCACACTTACGACCATTGCAGCATCTCCATTATCAGGTGATCAAAAGTCAGATGCTTGGCCACTGACTCATATTTATGACGGTCGCAGTGTCCCGGGATCTTGTGATCCCCTTTTGGGACCTTCTGACGAGCAAAGTCAATGGGGAAGATGGACTCACTTAACACTTGTGTTACTAACTTAACAACTGCAGCGATTCTCTTAACAGCTGTGGCAAGGAAGGTCATAAAGTTCACTTAACAAAGGTTTCACTTAGCAACAGAAATTCTGGACTCAACTGTGGTCGTAAGTCAAGGATTACCTGTATTTAAAAAACATTCTGTGCTACCTTGTGAGTTTTCTGAGTTTGTACATTTCAGGTCAACTACCACAACTCTTAAAAAAGGGGACATGACAGTTTTTCACCCTTATGACCGTTGCAGCATCCCCACGGTCACTGTCGTCGTTTCAGATAGCTGGTGGTCACAATAATAGTAACTAGAAAGGAACTTCCTCTCTGGATACTACGAGGCCAATCGCACCACCATGAAAGCTGATTTCAGTGCTAATTTTGATTATTGCATGACACTTTCTTCATTAGGGTGCTGAAGGTATACCAGGCTCACTGGCCCCCCCAGGAATTAACGGATTGCGTGGTCCAAAAGGTAAATCATTGATATCGTCTTACACTTTTTGCTGAGAAAGGGGGGAAAAAATGAACTGACGATTTATAGAGAAGATGATTAGAAAAAGTAGATTAGGGAAAGAAGGAAAGCTCGATGTAACCTTAGAGAGAGAAGCAAAATAGAAATGTACTTATAACAGCTGTTAAGAAAATCGAAAGCCACTTCTTTTTTATTCTTTCTTTCTTTTATACTTCCCTTTCTATGGTTCTTTTCCACTTCTCTATTACTTTTCTCCATTTATCTAAACTTAAAATTTGTATTGATTATGCTCTTTGGGGGAAAAAAAAACCTCCTTAAAAAAATGTGGAAGAGAAAATGGTACTGGAAAAACCGAAGGGTTTTCCCAGAAAACTCTGGGCGTGGGAGAAGTGGGGTGAGTTGTCAGAACTGCTGAGATAAAAAGCAGATGATTGTTTTTCTTTTTCAGGTGACCGAGGGGAAACCCGAGGAATCCCAGGTGGTGTGGGACCTAAGGGCCAACGAGGGGACCGAGGGCTTCCAGGTAAATAAGAAATCAATAGCCTACAATGACTCAAGGAAGGGGAACTAGTAAGCTTACCTTAGATTACTTTTACTATACATTAACTGAAAGTCCACTTGTAGGAGAAGAGCACACAGCTGGGGGGAGGAGTTAAGCATATCATCAGTTTAGAATCATTATATTTCCACAAATGGTCTAAGTCCGTGGTGGCGAACCTATGGCACGCATGCCACAGGTGGCACATGGAGCCCTCTCTGTGGGCACGCGTGCCATCGCCCCAGTCCTAGGCCTTCAGCTGGGTTTTATAAAACCTTTTCACTTTAGGCCTCCGCCGCCATGTGCAAAAAAAAAAAAAGGTTCAATCAATCAATTTCAACTTCTTGCGGGGAAAAAAAAGATCTCACAAAGTTGGAATTGATTGATTGAACTTTTTAGTCCCACCCAGTCTGCCATTACCACCGCAGCCACGCCCACTCAATGGGCCACACCTACCCAATGGGCCATGCCCACCCAGCACTCGATGATACATAAGTGGGTTTTGGGTTGCAGTTTGGGCACTTGGTCTCTAAAAGGTTCACCATCACTGGTCTAAGTTCAGTCCCACTTGAATTCCGGTGACCCTTATCTGCCACCAATTTAGTACTGACCTTGAGCTGATTAGAGTCGTGTGTATAGGCACACGAGCAATAAACCTTCTGAACTGCAATTTAATGTATGGTCTTGATCCTTTGAGCCTGACACCACCTTTCTTAAGGGATCAGTGTTAACTTTCTTACAATCCTTAGAAATGAAGTCCTTGTCAAGCGAAATCCCGGTGAACCCCCAGCATGGTTGAGTGACTGTTGACATGCTTTACGAATAGACATTTGTCGGCTCATTTCCTGCTAAAAAGGGAGTAAATTCCTACGCATGATTTTGGAATTTTTCTATCCCATGGAAATACTGAGTTCATTCATTTTAGAGATGTGAAAACTGGAGGGGGAAAAAAATCAGACAGGGGTACAAATTTTCAACTCCAAGAATTTCCTAGGTTGGGGAAGATGGCACTTTAATGGGTCATCTTACGGTTTTTGAAGGTATCACAGGTGTCCAAGGAACAAAAGGTGACCCAGGATACCCAGGAGATCCTGGACTAAATGGACAGAAAGGTTCACCAGGAAACCCTGGACAAGAAGGACCAAGAGGTAACCAAAGCCATTTGTTTTTCATATTTGGGGCAAAGACATGTCATTTGCAAGGTGGATCTTCTAAGGCAGAGGGGTTAGCAGCTATTTTGCATCCAGAACTCTCACAAGAATATTCTGCATAAATTCTCATGCAAGATCATCCAAATCTCGTCCGATTTTGACAAAGTTTTTGCCCAAAAAATATTTATGGATGTACTTGTGTAGTCCCCAGGAGTTGACCTTAACTCAAGGGAGACTTATCCAATCTGGCTGAATCTAAGGTGGCTTAGATTTGATCAGTGTCTAGATGAGAAAACTCTGGAAACCTTCTTACGTTGGTTCATAACTCATAAAGCTGTCAACTTAAGTAGGTGCTAAATACTTGATATTTTGGTCCTGTGTTTCCATTCCTTAATTCTAAATTTGTGTCCTTGGAACTCCCTTTCATTAGGGTTCAGTTAAGTAAGACTCACGGCTTTTGAAGATTTTAACATTATGTAGCTATATATTCTGCAACTTTGGGAGCTCCAAATGTAAATTCTTTCTTTTCCCCCTTTAGGCTTTCCTGGATCTGCGAGAGGCAGCCCAGGTTTTCCAGGTAATCCTGGGCAACGTGGACCTCCAGGATTGCCTGGATCTCCTGGATCTCCTGGCCCTGCAGGACCAAAAGGTTTGTGCTGCATTTTGGAGTTGTTCTTTGAAAACCTTACTTTAGAGAGAAATTCAAATTATGGGTTGGAATAGCAAACCAAATCTTGCAAAAACTCTTGGCACCGCACTGAAAGAAAAATGATGAATTCACTTTTCCTTCACTTATTAACAGCAGTTAGGTCAGGGAGAAATCCGCAATTGATGACTGCTAGGTGTCCTCGGTTCGCCAATCCCAGCAGGCCATTCCTACTTCAGGATCGATTAACTGGATTCATACATGATGAGGATATAGAACAGGGTCTCTGATGAAGTTGCTCGGATGAGCAAAGAAATGTCTCAGATTAACAAAGTTTGGTCCAATTGCCACGATTCAACCTTTAGACACCGTTGGCCTGGATGATTGAGTCTTCGCTGACATACAGGATAGGGTCTTTTTAATGAAGAAGTCTACTGTAAAGGATTCTACTCCCAAGATTTTTGTTTCACTTTCTTACTTTGACAAGCCGTGGTCCAGAATTTCTCAACTTCTTTGGAAAACGTCTTGCGTGACCTTGACATTATTTAGTGCTGTATTATGTTACTGAATTGTTTTTTGTCTTCAGACAAAGCTTTTTTCAAGCTTCCGTGCGGGTCTCTTGCCCAAACATCTACCATGTTCTTGTAGTAGGTAAAAACAATAAATACGCAGCAGCAGCAGCATCAAACCTTCTAAAATGTATCTACAGGATACCCAGGATTTCCAGGACTGACTGGCCTAAATGGTTTACCTGGCACTAAGGGCTCACCTGGAAAACAAGGTAAATTGAGACATCCTTGAAGGCTTCCACAATAAGGCCAAAAAATGCAGTATTTTCTTCCTCTAAATGCTTCTATTTTGTCCAACCTCTGACGCAAATGTGTGATTCCAATAGAAGAGAATCTCTGTAGCTCAGCGTTGAGCTGTGGAGTTCTTGGTTGTTGGCTTGTAGACATTTCATTACCCAGCTAGGTAACCTCACCAGTGCAAGTCAATTAATCAAGCTGAGTGACAGGCGCTGATGATGTTATCTGTTCGGTAACAAAACATCTGCAAGAAAATAATCAAGTCTGGAGAGCACCAAGAATTCCACAAATAACGTGAACTGAGACTGTGGTGCGATGATGTCATCAGCCATGTTTTGGCATTTGGCTGCTCCCTGTAGAAGCATCTAAAATCCTTGGGCCCTTCAAATCCTTTTCCTGCAGATTCCCCAAAGCCGTATTTTGCTTTCTCCCATTTTGCTGTCAAATTCTGAGGTATCATAGCTACCGAAACAGGAATGTGCTTTTCCAACTTCGTGGAAATTTGGTTCCCTGGGATTTATTTCAGCCATCAAGTATTACCAATTGCTAGTAAACAAGGGCTGGGTCAAACTGCTGTTCATGGTTTTTCTCATTTTATTAGGCCTGAATGAAAACGGACTCCCTGGACCGGCAGGAATTCCAGGTGTCAAAGGTCAACGAGGTGAACCCAGTTTCCACTTTGGAGCTTCTGGTCTTCGTGGACCAAAAGGGCCTGCAGGAGAAATAGGTAAATAATAGAAGTTGCAAGAGAGAGAGTACTTGTAAGGACCCACCTCACTTTACATCTTAAGAAGACAGAACTCTTGGAATAACTCTTCCAACAGGCATCTTTATTAAGAGAAAATGATTGCAGGCATGCTAGACAGGATCTGGGGAATTCTCTCCCCTCCTTCAATGTTTTAAAGTGTTCCCAAGCAGCCCCCACCCCACAGTTCTTCCAGGCGATGATCACTCATCCTCCCTTTTCCCAGATCCCAGGCATTGCATTGTTCCCCCCTTTTCCCTCACTGCCCGCAAAAGGGAGACTTCAGAGAGAGAGTAGATGAAAGGCGATGGCCATATTGTTATGGTCAGTCCTCTTGATGAGAATCAACATACAGTCATTTTGTAGTTTAATGAAGGAAATGAGAGTCATAAAACCCCCTTGCTTATCCTCCTCCCCTTTCGTAATATGACAGAATCTAGAGACAGTAAGAAATGGGTTTTTATCAGAGTAGGTAGCTAGAAATGAAATATAATTGGATTCTGACATCACTGTAGTTGAATAGCATCAAGAGCTGTAACAGCATTCAAATTATCATTAATGATGCCAAGAATTATTAAGATTGAGAAGACCCTGGTTCATATCTTACCTCCATCTGAACTTGTCATGAAGGTATCCAAAGGACACCCTTTATACTCCACTGCAAAATAAGCCACACATAACTTATAGGATTTTTATAAGGAATACTCTACTCAAGTATGATAAATCCAAGCATTTAACATTCAATTACTTAACATTTAATTCTATCAGATTATTTTCTAAGGTTGTTATATCCAAAATGAAAAGTAGGGTTCTCCTTTCCCCTCAACAATTAACTTTTTAAATAAAAAAAGATTTTTAAATTTGCTGAGAATGCAGGAAAATATCTTCCTTTGAGGGCTCGGATAAATTCAGTCGCAGAATTAATCTTGTAAAAATGGTCAAGCTTGATGCCCAGTCATAACATCCATGTTGATGTCTTGGCAATGTATACAAATGTGATCTTCCATGGCTGCCTTCTGTTGTTTTTTCCCCTTCTATTTTTGCCCTAGCCTATAGCTCCGGACTTGACTTCTTAGTCTCCCACTTAAATACCAATCTACTCCAACTCTACTTAACCCTTGTTGAGACAATGGACAATTGTTGGGACAGTATATTTGGGTGAGTGTGGAAGCCCTAGCTGGCTTTTGATGGAAAAGGAAGGCTCACAAGCTATACTAAGGAGCATGCAAGATCTTTGCTGAGTTCCATCTGGCCATGTTTTCTTCTGCATTCTCCTTATCCCTATGCCAGATTTTCCTCCCAAACCTTGAACATTTGTAACTCCTCTGAGTATGCCCAGTTCGTATTTGGTTGCCTTTTTTTTGGAAGGGGGGGGAAGAGAGATTGTCTCAGGGATTGTCATGCCTCCGTCCAAGCCTGACTCTGAGGAAGACATGGAGTTCCCTGTTGAGTCCCAAGAGGGGGTGTCTGTGGCTTCGGAGGACTATGGGGAGGAGCAGGCTGAAGCAGGCCAGGGCCCTTCCAGTTTGGAACAGGGAAGGCAGGGCTCAGGCGAGGAGCAAGGCCCCTCCCCACCAGATCCCAGAGCAAGGAGAGCAGAGAGGAGGAGGGAACAACGGAGGCAGGCTCACTTGCTCAGGAGGAGAGCATCATGCCCCACTCCACAAGGCACACCTGGGGAGTAGGTATTTAAGGAGACGCTGTGGGGTGGGGCATTTGCCGGAAACAAACGTGAACTCTTGTGACATGAGCTCTTGTACCTGGACTCTTTGTATTTTGGATCAAGTTTGTTTCCTGCTGAATTCTCCTTGCTGTCCTCCGTTTTGCAATTTGCAGGTTACAGGCAAGCTGGGCGTGGAAAAGATCATACTTTGTTATCTGTTTTACTTTAAAGAACTGTTGAACTCCGTTGACTGTTTTATTGAACTTGTGCCAGCATATGCGGGGGCTGTTGGGTGAACGTTGGCAGTGCTTACAAAGACAATTATTCTGACCAGCTAAGTGCTTTGCCTCCGTTCGGGGCCCTGGGTCATCACAGGGATGCTGATACTTAGCAGAATTCTTCTCCTCCTCTTTTCCCTTCTCCTTCCCCTCCTCCTCTTTTCCTTCTTCTTTCTTCCTTCTCTTTTACCACTTCAGGTGTCGAAAGCTCTGGTTCTTTGCACTTCTGGCAACCTCAGTAGGGTGTCTTTGATGTTGGCACTCCATCTTCTGGGTCTGCCTTGTGTTTTTGGCCTTTTCGCCTTAGCAGAATTAGAAGCTTCAAATCCAGCATGACCATCACCTTATTACATCCTTAAGTTTAGTCAATTAATGTACATTCTCTCCTCCAGGCTTTTTTTCCTAAGCAATGCAGAGTCTGGGAAACGTTTGTTTCTGTCAGGGATCTGCAACCTTGGGCTGAGGAATTCTGAGAGCTGAAGTCCACAAGTCTTAAAGTTGTCTAGGTTGCAGACCCCTGGTTGATGTCCTTTTAGGTCTTCCTGGGAGCCCAGGTGCCACTGGTGTGCGAGGCCCCCCTGGCACCTCTGTGCCTTCAGACATTCCTGGAAAGCCTGGTGATGCTGGACGTCCTGGAGAAGATGGGCTGCCAGGTATGGAAGCAGAGAGCTTTGGGATGGGTTTTTACGGGAAGATCTCATTTACAAACTGGTTGTAGTATCCCTTGTGCAGGTTTGATTTAACATGTGTAAACCTAACCCTTGTGGCTAATAAGTCCATGATTTATGGCAAGGGTCTTCAAACGTGGCCCTTTTATGACTTGTGGACTTCAACTCCCAGAATTCCTCAGCCAGGCACGCGTGCCTGGCTGAGGAATTCTGGGAGTTGAAGTCCACAAGTCATAAAAGGGCCACGTTTGAAGACCCCTGATTTATGGTCTAGAGTAGTTGCAAATTCAGCCAATTGTCATTTATTTAATAACCACAATTGAATACACTCTGGTTCTAAAAAAAATAATGAAACCCTACTTTAAAAAAGAGGATAACTTTATTTACTTACGGAAAAAAGTCCACAAGGAAAAATTAAGCTGGATCGAGAAATAATGACAAGGGTTGCATCACGTGTTACAAATCTAACACCTGCATTCCCAGGATATATATTAAACTTGGTTAGCTGTGACTTAGCCTGATAGACAAAGCCAAGCCTCAAGGTTAACTTTTTATTCAATGGATTGCTGAAACCTAGAATCATGGTTTAATTCAATGACAAGCATGCTGGGGAAACACAGCTTATGTGTGATTCCAGATCTCTTGAAGTCACTAATTTCTCCTCTTGAAGAGCTTGGATGGATTGTTAGGTGTTTGAGCCCATCAGGAATTTAATTCATGCCTTCTCCAAATGCAAAAAAAGTGATGCGTTGTAGTGGTTGATGTTATTATGGCTGTTTGCACAATCAGCCAGATGTTCAAACTGCATTTGGCAGTTTTATCCACCATCAAGTCCTTCCCAAGGGCCTGAGATAGGCAGGTGTGGATATCTGATGGTAGTAATGCCAGGATATAAGCTGCTCCAAGCAAAGCTGCCTTTTGCAATTGACTGATGGGGGATTTTGCCAATGCCAGTCGGGTTCAAGTCATGCTCCAGCTGCTTTGTTGTTGTTCTTGTTGTTGTCGTTAGCCTTCTTTGAAGGGCCAAATGATACTTTTCATCTGATGTTTTTTCGTACATCAAATGAAAGTGGCCATGTTGGAAGATCGGCTTTTTAATACGGGTAATCCTTGCTTAGCAACTGCCTCAGTTAGCCACCATTCACGGTAATGGAAAAAAAAATGACTTTGTGACCAGTCCTCACATTTATGACTTTCTCAGGTCTGTAATCCAAAGGAAAGCTGAAGCCAGATCATAAGCACAGTTACAATTTCACTTAGCGACCAAGTGTCCACTCCCAGTGAGGGTTGCTAAATGAGGACTACCTGCAATCATTTTTAAAGGGGCCTCTCAACAACTTCCTAGGCAACCCACGGACACAGTTTCAGGATTTGGAGCTGCTGGAATGAGATAAGGGTTACTCGTATAGCAGACCAAGGACTAACTGGCAACATCTCCTTGGCTTCTTCTTTGTCCAGGCTTCCAAGGACCTCCTGGGCCACCAGGACCTCCGGGCCCAGCCTTCAATCAAGGTGATCGAGGTAATCCAGGCCCCACCGGTCCTTCTGGCTTCTCAGGCCTCAAAGGCAATGCAGGCATCCCTGGATTTAGTGGACCCCCTGGAGAATCAGGTTTCAAAGGTGAGGAGATGTAGTGGAATGTAGTCTGGATTCCCAGGAGGGAGGGGCTGTAAGAGACAATGAAGTTTAGATAGTTTGTGTGGGAGAAAGAGGGTGAAGACAGCACCTCCCTAGGTGTTCTCAATATATGTTTAATGGTGTAAGTAGTTTGCTTTCGTTTGGCAAGGTTTTGCCTATGGGCAAAAAACAATAAAGGGCACCCCTGAGAAGAACTTCAGTGTATCTTTCTTGGTTTTTGGAGTCTGAGGGGTATTATGATGGTTTAATCCTATGTAGCGGCAGATGTTTCTCAGGGGGCAAAGAGAGAATATTTGCTGCAAACTCAGGAAGGGCACCAAGCCAGTAAACGCTCAGCTCCATTCAGTCGCTCTGACTCTACCCTGAATTAAGGGATTACAAGAGTAGTAAAAAGGGAATTTATCCTCAAAGGCCTCCAAATTGAGATCCATACTGAGGTTTTGAGGAGGGGCGCAAGTCCCCGTTTTTTTGTCATACAGCCTGGCATGGTGGATATCAAAGCAACTTCAGTGTTTGTCAAAGTGTTCTAAACCAGGGCTTTTCAACCAGTGGTACGGGTACCACCTGTGGTACATTGGCACCTGGCAGGTGGTACACGACCATCCTAGAAAAGTGGTAGCGGGGGAGAGAAATGAGCTGAACTGGTGGCAGCACCGCATAAGCCTGAGCGAGAGATGGCTGGAGCTGCAGGGCTGTCAGGGCTCAGCGGAAGCGCCAGGATCAGCGCCAGGCTCCAACTGGAGCTCGGCGCTGATCCTGGTACTTCTGCTGAGCCCTTAAGAAGCACCAATCATCTGGAATGTTGCAGCATCTCCAGGGTCTTGTGATGTAATTCAGATGCTTGGCAACTGATTCATATTTATGACGGTCACAGTGTCCCAGGGTCATGTGGAGTGATCAAAACCTGCTGCAGCCACCCAGCAGACGGGGGGAATAAAAACCAAACACCCCCCACCCCACCCCCGCTGCCAATCCTCAACAGAAATGCCTCACAACAATGAAAACCTCGGACAGGAGGAAGAGCGCGGCCGGGTGGGTGGGCAGGTGTCTTGCTTGGCTGTGGCTTGGGGGGCACTTTTTTCAGTGCCATTGTAACTTCGAACAGTCACTAAGCGAACTGTTGTAAGTCGAGGACTACCTGTACTTTATCACTTTTTTCCTTTTTTTTTTAGTCATCAAGTTTTTGACCCCTTGCTAGGCGACTGGTGGTACTCGGATATTGCCATATCCTAAAAGTGGTACAAGGGGTGAAAAGGTTGAAAAGCCCTGTTCTAAACAAGGAGAAACTGCTGTGTCTGATGAATTTTCAGTCCTGCCTAATTTAGAAGCCCACCACTGATCTTTCTCTTTTCTCTCTCAGGATTCAGAGGGGACCCAGGTTTCATAGGAAAGCCTGGGCAAGATGGACCGGCAGGTGATCCAGGTTTCCTTGGGCCAAAGGGCAAAGCAGGCCGTCCAGGTAAGTCTTGGAAAATGCATGTAATTCCAGATCAAACCAGACAGGTAATCCTCAATTTATGACTGATCACATAGCAATCCTTTGAAGTTATGACTAACCTCCCCAGTTCCAGAATCCCAGTGGCCTCCTTCCCTGCAGTCACATGACCACATTTTAGGCTCTCGGCAGCCAGCACGCATTTACAGGCGTTTGGGCCATCCCACAGTCACGTGACTCGTGTTTTACAACATTTTTGTCAAAAACCATCCTTTGCTTCTGATTTTCAGCAAAACCAGCCCCTAGCAAACAATTGGCTTGCTTTACAGTCTCCACATTCACTTCACAACTGCTGCAAAAATAAAGTCGTAAAATCTAGTTGACCGTTTGGCTGACCTGCTTTACAACTGTCATGATTTACAACTGTCATGGGCAGGCTCCATTATGGTTGTAAGTTGAGGATTACTGCATGAGCATCAGACAGATGATTGGCTATGCACCCTTTATGAGAGGTTATGAGGAAGCTGGCAAGGAATGGAAGAAAGAGCAGATATTCAGCAATTGAAAATCCGTATCTCATAAACAGCAACTCTAACCAGGCAAGGTTGAGCACTCGGGATGTCTTACTGAAATCTTTATACTGTAGTTCTTGCTTCCCTAATTTTAGCGTATTGGTAAAGTGGCCACCACATTTTCCAGACTTACAAAGAGAGTATGGCTTAATAAAGAAGTTGACAGAACATACAAAGATCCAGGTCTATAGACCTGCGACTTGAGCACACTCTTGTATTGCAGTGAATCTTGGACCCTTTACGTATGGCAGGAGAGAAAGCTGAACACCTTTCATATGCGCGGTCTCCAACGTATTCTCGGCATCACCTGGCATGACAAAGGCCCAAATAGCACAGTCCTGGAATGTGCTGGAATCTCTAGCATGTATACACTATTGAAACAGCGACGTCTACGCTGGCTTGGGCATGTCGTGAGAATGGCTGACGGCCGGATTCCAAAAGATCTCCTGTATGGAGAATTAGTGCAGGGAAAGCGCCCCAGAGGGAGACCTGAGCTGCCATATAAGGATATCTGCAAGAGGGATCTGAAGGCCTTGGGAATGGACATTAACAGCTGGGAATCCTTGACCTCTGATCGTTCAGCCTGGAGGCTAGAGACGCAGCATGGCCTTCTCCAATTCGAAAAGACACTTGTGCGGCAGGCTGAGGCAAAGAGGCAGTCCCGGAACCAGCGAAATCTGGGGGCTGGACAGGGGAAAGATTGCATCTGCTCTCGGTGTGGAAGGGACTGCCACTCTCAAATTGGCCTTTTTAGTCACACCAGATGCTGCTTTAGGACCTCTTTCCAGAGCACGATACCATAGTCTCTCAAGACTGAAGGATGCCAATGAATGCCAATGAATTTTAGCCCAACTGTACCAGGCTTAACATCATCCTAGAATCTAGGATGAACCCCAAATTCAAATTTGCTTTGAAGTTGAAGTTATGGTAGAGATGTTTACCAATGTTCAGAACTTATGGAACTTGGCCTGCTATATCAGTTCAGGAGGACGTGGTGGTCCAAAAGTGGTCACTGCTTCCCTGGGTGCTACATTTGGGGTTCCAGACAGGTAGATATGCCATTTTATAGGACATTCCTCTACTTTGTGAGGCATCCTTGGGTTACTTTGGAGTCTTTTTTTTTTAACCATGATCTTTTTTGAAAAGTTGAAGATGTTGTGGGATTCTCCAGGTTGAGACGTCTTTAATTGCAGATTGAAGACCAGAAGAATGATTGGGAGGGAGGAATGTTCTACACGTTAGCAATTCAGTTGCATGATTGTTGTGCATTGTCCACTCTAACAATGACAGAAAAATGTGACCTTGGCTTTTACAACCAAATTGGTAGGATATCCCATGAATGTCATTTTTCAAGTCATGCTTCCTCTGCGTTATATAGGTTTTCCTGGGCTGCAAGGATCTCCAGGCTTAACCCAAACACCAGAAGATATCAGAGCTCCTCCTGGCTTAATGGGATTGCCCGGAAATGATGGCAACCCTGGTTTAAATGGAGACCCTGGCTTCCAGGGGCAAACTGGATCACAAGGTAAAATAAGTTACACTGTCCAGAGAAATGGGCATAGTATACAAAACTGGGAAAGTTACATTGCCCATATGTAAAGCTGGGACTCTGTAGAAGGTGGTCTCTAAAGAATCCTGGGAGGATCCATCTTCCCGTGGTTACCTACAAAGACCTTCAGGCTTCAAGTAGGATACTTTGAATACTAGCTTCTAAGAGAAACCATAATCAGATCTTAAGTTTTTTATTCTGTGTAAAAGCAGAATAAAAGACGAACAGAGTTGGAAGAGGCCCTGGAGGTCTTCTAGTCCAACCCCCTGCTCAAGCAGGAGAACCTATGCCATCTCACACAAGTGATTGTCCAATCCCTTCTTAAAATCCTCCAGCGATGGAACATCCACAACTTCCAGAGGCAGACCGATTCACTTATTAATTGTTCTAACTCAGGAAATGTCTTATTAATTGTTCTAACTCAGGAAATGTCTCCTTAGTTCTAGGTTGGTTCTTTCCTTGATGAGTTTCCATCCATTGTTTCTTGTCCTGCCTTCAGGTGTTTTGGAGAATAGGTTGACCCCCTCTTCTTTGTGGCAGCCCCTGAAATATTGGAACATTACTATCACGTCACTACTAGTCTTTCTCTTCATTAGAGTAGACTAATTCCAAGCAAAGATAAACCGCTCTTGTTCTTAAGGGTATCTTTCTCTTGTGACTTCTGAATGGAATGGGTTATCAGAAATGAATGGGACAATTTTTTTTATATTGATGACCAGGTCCAAAAGGAAAGGCAGGCATACCTGGCCAGGTGGGAATCAATGGCTTACCAGGTTCTCCTGGGATGGTAGGAGACCCAGGTTCTCCAGGAACTCTGGGGCTACCAGGATTTGAAGGTAAGCTTACATGTGTTAGCTTCTTCCAACTTGAAGTGCTATAAAAACTGTAAGATAACAATGACCGATAATGATGTGTGGAACACTGCTGATGTGTATATGCCACAAAGGTTAATCTTCATAGAACAGGGGTCCTCAACCTTGGCCACTTTAAGACTTGTGGACCTCAACTCCCAGAATTCCACAAGTCTTAAAGTGGCCAAGGTTGAGGACCCCTATCATAGAAGATTCTTTTTCATCTTCATTGGATTCTGTGTAGAGCACACTGGACAGCAAGTGTTTTCCAGAGGTTTTGATCAGTCACAGGATGTCTGGCATCATCCCAAGAGACATTAATAATCTTAAGATCTTCCTTAAGTGTTTGGCGCCAAGTTTTCCAAAGACCGGTCTTGTCTGCAAGCAGGATAAATAAGGCATCAGTTGTTCCTAAATGGTACTTCTGGAAGAAGGTTCTAGCCTGACCAAACAGGGTGTGTCAAAGTGGGGCATTCCCAAAGACATCTTGCTTTAGATGAGAGCCAATAACAGAATAACAGGGATCCCGGAGGTCTTCTAATCAAGCAAGAAACCCTATAGCATTTTAGACAAATAGCAACGTGGTATGGTAATTATAGACTAGAAAGTCGGAAGCTAATTTTTAGTCTTGCGTTAGACCCAAAATCATCTGGGTGACCCTCTCAATCAGCTTTCGGAAGGAGGCAACAGCAAACTCTTTCCAAAAATGTTGCCAAGAAAACTCCAAGGACTTGTCCAGGCAGTAGCCAGGAGTCAACACTGCTCGGAAGGCCCACATGGCAGACACAAAAGCAAGGGCCTTCAAACTTGGCTGTTTTATGACTTGTGGACTTCAACTCCCAGAATTCCTCAGCCAAGTTGAAGTCCACAAGTCATAAAAGGCCCAAGTTTGAAGACCCCTGCAGAAAAGGGTGCCTTAGGTAATCTGTTTATATGCAGCTGGAGAAAATGCAGTCCTACAAGAAGTAAAGGAAACGATGGTTTGCACAAGCCAAACTCCAGTCTGATGTGTGGCCTTCAGCTGAGACTGATCTGTATGGGGCAGGTTGGGAATGAACCCTCTCCAGATCTTGCTGGGCAGAATCCAATCATGGGCTGCATGGAAATCTCCTCTTTCTCTTCACAGGACGTCCTGGGAATCCAGGTCTGGCTGGGCTGCCAGGGATGCCAGGGCGTAGCATTGGAGTGGGCTATACCTTGGTGAAACATAGCCAGTCGGACCAGATTCCACCCTGTCCGGTGGGCATGAACAAACTCTGGGAAGGTTACAGTTTGCTCTATGTGAAAGGCCAGGACAAGTCCCACAATCAAGATCTGGGTAAGTAACGTGTCCAGACTGAAAAAAAGGGGGGGAAGCAATGGGAAAAGAAGAGGACAGGAAAGAATCCCTCCGTTCATTAAAGAGATTTTATATCGGGAAGGGAAGGGGAAGGGGAAGGAAGGGGAGGGGAGGAGGAGTGGGATGGAAGGGCAAGGAAGAGGAAGGGAAGAGGAAAAGAAAGGAGAAAGGGAAGGAAAGGAAAGGAAAGGAAAGGAAAGGAAAGGAAAGGAAAGGAAAGGGAGAGGAGGAAGGGGAAAGGAAGAGAAAAGGGAAGGGAAGGAGAGAGGGAAGGAAAGGAAGTCCAATTAATATGTTATTTATAGCCCAGAATTTGTTTGTCTCTATGGCCCAATACAGTCTAGCTCAGGGGTGTCAAACTGTCAGCCCACGGGCCGGATGCATCATGCCGAAACTGTGCCCACCCCATTGCCATCAATGGAAAAAAAGTTGCAATACGTCGCAACACGTCAAGTGACGTTGCGAGTTTGACACCCTTGGTCTAGACTAGGGGTAGGAAACCTTGGCTCTTTTATGACTCGTGGACCTCAACTCCCAGAATTCCTGAGCCAGCATGGTGGAACTATGGCCCCCTTCATGACTTGTGGACTTCAACTCCCAGAATTCCTGAGCCAGCGTGGCTCAGCTGGGAAACCTCTCCCTGTCCCCTCAGCATGGCTGGCTCAGGAATTCTGGGAGTTGAAGTCCACGAGTCATAAAAGAGCCCAGGTTGCCTACCCCTGGTCTAGACTCTAGCTAAAGAATTAAGCATTATGCAATCTGAAAGACTTACAACCGGTCATTTAGTAACTGTTCAAAGTTATAACCGATTTACAACCCAGCCTTAAAGTTATGAGGGTTGCTTCCCCAATCCCCAGTTCCAATTATGCTCATGGGTCAAGGAACTGAGATTTTACAGGCAGCTGCTTCTGAGCATGCCACACTTATACAGGTAGCCCTTGATTTACAATCATTTGTTTAGCGATTATTTGAAGTTGCAACGGCAGTGAAAGAAGTGACATAGGGCCATTTTTCACACTTAACGACGTTGTAGCATCCCCGTGGTCACGTGATCAAAATTCAGGCGCTTGGCAACTGGCATGTATTCATGACAGTTCCGCTGCCCCAAGGCCATGTGATCACCATTTGTCACCTTCCCAGCCGGCTTCTGACAGCCAAAATCAATGGGGGAAGCCAGATTCGTTTAAGGACCACGTTTCACTTAACAACTATAGCGATTCGCTTAATAACTGTGGTAAAAGAGGTCATAAAATGGGGCAAAACTGACTTTAAGAACTCCCTTCCTTAGCAACCAAAATGTGGGGCTCTCTGTACTCCTGCAGCCACAGCTGCAGAAACGAGAGTCCCCTTTAATGCTCCATTCCATGCTTTGCGTCTCCACTTCTTCTTAACCCCTCAAAGGTTTTGCTGGCTCCTGCCTGCCTCGCTTCAGCACGATGCCTTTTATTTATTGCAACATCGACGAAGTGTGCTACTACGCCAGCCGCAATGATAAATCATATTGGCTTTCCACCACGGCTCCAATACCCATGATGCCCGTCAGCAGCTACCAAATCGCCCAGTACATCAGTCGCTGCTCAGTGTGTGAAGCACCGTCCCAAGCTGTGGCTGTCCACAGCCAGGACATCACCATCCCACAATGCCCCGAAGGCTGGCGCAGTCTCTGGATTGGGTACTCCTTCCTCATGGTAAGAGATCCCCAGAGGGACCGCCACGCGTGGGAATGCACGTCCTTTCGGGGCACATACACAGAGCACCTATCCATGCTCATGTTAGGATAGAATAGAATAACAGAGTTGGAAGGGACCTTGGAGATCTTCTAATCCAGGGGTCCCCAACCCCGGTCTACAGCCCGGTACCAGGCCGCAGCATGCCAGCAACCAGTCCGCACAGACAAGCAAAGTCCCATTTGTAGGATGCAGGCAGCACCCAAAACCACGCACCCTCCGGTCCGTGGAAAAACCTCTCTCCACGGAACCGGTCCCTGGTGCCCAAAAGGTTGGGGACCTCTGTTCTAGTCCAACCCACTGCTCAGGCAGGAAACCCTATACAATTTCAGACAAATGGTTGTCCGATCTCTTCTTAAAAAAACTTCCAGTGTTGGAGCATTCACAACTCTGGAGGCATGTCATGTGATCTGTCTAGCTGGGTGATCTTCAGGGCCACCAGTGATACTTCCCAGTTGCCACTGAAGGGCCATGTGAGCCCCTTGCTCATCCTATCACCAAAAATGGATTGCAGTTTAGTGTCTATGGAGGCTCTCAATCATCCAGGTCATGGTTGTCCCAAAGGCAACTGGACTTTCTTGGGTTCCCCCCCCCCCAGAAAACATTTCACTTCTCATTCAAGAAGCTTCTTCAGAACTGAAGAAACTTCTTGGATGAGAAGTGAAACGTTTCCAAACAAAAAACAACACCCCTCCAAAAAATGCTAGTTGCCTTTTGAAAAGCACCTTTGAGATTGCACTCTAGTGGCTTTAATTTGGGGGGGGGGAGGTCATTGTGTTAAAATTTTTAAAAAGGGGCTTTGATGTTCATTGGATTCTTTATTTTGTAAGCTTTCCTAGCCTGCTTGGTGACACCCAATGAGGCTTTTAATTGCTGAGAAAACACACAGCAAATTTAGTATGAATACAGAACATAGAATCCTAGGGCTCAAAGGGACCTTGGAGGTCTTCTACTCCAATTTCCTGCTCAAGGCAGGAGACCTTATACCATCCCGGTCAAATGTTGGCCCAGTTTATTTTTGAAAACCTCCAGTGATTCGAATTTAGCTGTGACTGCCTGCTGTCAGCTGGGGCACCCATCCTGATTTATCACCCTTCAGAAACCAGACGTTCGTAGGGCAATGTTGACTCAGATGGTTGCATTTGGTCTCCTGGAGCGCAGTTGATATGATTCTTCACACCAACATTCGTCTCTGGCTGGTTTTTTCTTTCAGCACACGGCTGCCGAAGGCGGTGGCCAATCCCTGGTCTCCCCCGGATCCTGCCTGGAGGACTTCCGTGCCACCCCTTTCATTGAGTGCAACGGTGCCCGAGGAACGTGCCATTACTTTTCCAACAAGTACAGTTTTTGGCTGACCACAGTGGAGGCGACCAATCAATTTGCTGAGTCTCCCATCTCCGAAACGCTGAAAGCGGGTCAGCTCCAGACACGGGTGGGACGGTGCCAAGTCTGCATGAAAAATTTGTAGCAAAGGCCCGGACACGAGACCTTGTTTCTTTTAAGACCAAGAAATTAGCATTTGTGTCCTAGCTGGGCAATTGACATTTTCCTAAATCTCTCCAGAGCCTTCCTTGTCTCCATCAAAACATGGTGCTATCTTTCCCCCTTGTTTTTATCTTCCTGGCTACCTCAAAGTCTTTTTCTACCTTCCCAACTATCACAATCCCTTGGCATTGATGTACTAAACTGATTTTCTCACAAGATACACGGATCTTGGGCAAAGAGTATGATCGTTAAGGTCTTAAGGATTTAAGGCATGTCAGGATTTTCACAAATGTTTTTGGCTGCATGCACACACTCCTCTTCTAACCATGTTCCTCATTCATATTCAGCTTAAGTTAACTGCTTATTTTAGGCCTAAAGAATAACATACTGTCCGGAAGTGTTTCTGTTCTATGATCAGTGGTATGATCAGATTTGAAGGTTCAGGTTTGTGAAATAGTTAACTGTGTTGATCAAAGCACTGCTATTAAGCAGTGAAGTGACAATAAAATAAAATAAACTTGTTAGGAGAGGACAATATTGGGATTTTCCATCCGTTAACATGAGCAGCAGGCCTATTAGAAGAATGATAATATGCATCTTTTGGCATAGCATCAACCTGAGGATTTCTTATGGTGATAATNGCAGTTTGGCTTCACCTGCTTGATTATTCAGCCCAAGAGTGTTAAATCTAGCACTGTTACTACTCTGTGTAATGTTTTCTTACGAATGTTTCCCTCTCAGCGTATTTATTAATGTGCCACAAGTAGCATTCTTTCGTGGCATCCAGTGATGCTACTCACAGACACACACACACCCCGCCCTGAACATGATAAATCTTGGCTCAGATGCCAAAGTATAACTTGAATTTATCCAATGAGACAGCTGCTTTCTTCCTGTGCTGGGACATCTGAATGCTTTCTGGGCTCATGAATCATAGTTTCATGTTGCATCCAGACCAGTGGTGGGATTCAAATAGGTGAACAACCGGTTCTCTGTGTGGATGCCACTTCCGGCAGTCCATTCTTGGCCTGGGCAACAAAAAATTAGCTACCGGTTCTGCCGAAGTGGTGCGAACCGGCTCAATCCCATGACTGATCCAGACTGAAAAACGAGGTAGGTAGCAAACCAACTTCAAGCACAGTAATGGTTGCGAGTTGTTAATGTGTTCCACTCTGATAACAATCAACCCTTGGCTTGGTCATAGCTAGGGTTAATAAACCAACAAAAACTTTTTAGATCTGATGGAGTGAAAAGAAAAGAGAATGGCAAAGAGGTCCAGCACATAGGCTCACTCAAAGAAGGTAGATGCAGATTTGACCATGGTGGACTAGGAAGCAACTGGACGTATTAGATGATTTACTAAAGGAAACTATGTTAAAAATGTAGAAAAGTCTGAGGGGTACCTCCTGCCAATCTGAGCTACAATTCTGCTGGTTATGAATCCTGAACATAGGAAAGGCTTGGTTTACATCTCCTAAGTTATCCTGGTATTCCAGCCAGGAACGAATGGATTAGTAAATTAGCATGTTTTCTAATTTCTGTCACCGCTTAATTCTGATGTTTCTTTGTCCACAACTGCACGGTCAAGTTGTGATCTGCTACCTGTGTCTTCGCTCACTTCCTTGAGTAGTGTCCACCCTGCTTAACCCTTTGACTCCCTTGGGTCTACATTATAATGTCTGTTTTGTCCTTTTTTTATACAAGCTGTTTTTACAGCCTCAGCCCATCTGTTTCCACCTGGAGAATGGGTCAAATCAATCACCTTTAAGACCATCTTCTTAATTCCTTAATAGCATACCGATATTCAGACCTCATAAAAATGTTCTTGGACTTTATACAGCCATTAGATGTTGATCCATGATGTAATCCACTATTACAGATGTTGGCAGAGGACCTTCATGTTTATATGACAGACATATTACTCCATTTGCAATAGGTGTATAAGCTAGAGCCACAGTTACTAATCTTTAATGAAAAGTTTCAAAGATCGTGACTTCAACTATCTTTGTTCTCTAGTTGTACATAAGTTGAGAAAGTCACCTACTGATGATTCAGTTGCATGTTATGGATTTCATTTCCACAAGAATATTTCACACCTTTTTTTTTTGAGGTAGCCTTGGAATTGCTGGTGCTTGAAATAATATAGTATTAAATAGGTTATTTTTATGTAAATGTAACACTGAGTAGAAGTTGGATGAACTGCCAACATTATGGTTTTGATTTTATTTTTGCTAGTCTTGCGTTTTGTAATGCACTGCTGAAAGTATCTTCAGAGCACTGATTATATTTTGACTTATTTTTTCCCCCTAAAACGTAGTAAAACAGGATGTCCGTTTTGTGAGTTATATTTTATTCCCTCCTTACAATAAGCTTGGTAACTCTCTCCAGACATGTGACTCAACTTGTGTTAAGTTGTCAGGTGAACTTATACTAAGCTTAGGGGACCGAAATAGAATTGTGGAGTTGGAAAGGACCCCCAAAGATCATGTAGTCCAACCTTCAATGACCAAAAACACCAATTAAACCATCAGCAAGGGTTTGTTTGCATCCTCTTAAAAACCTCTTGGACTTGCCAAAAGAGAGAGCAATTTTCACACAGAAGATATTTGGAATTAAATAGACTTTGAAGGGAATTTTAGAATGCTTAAAAAAGAAATTGGGCTTAAGAGTGGAGCCTCAGTATTACATAATGACTGTATCAATCAAGCCAACATGGGGGAAAATATCAACAGATGCCGTTGCTGTTTTTTTCTTGTTCATATTCAGATTTTATTTTGCTCCCATTTAAACCTCTCTTGGGTTGCGTCAAATGGGGAACAAAAAATATCCTCATAACTATACTGTAGTTTAAACTCCACTCCCCCACTTTAAAGTATCTTTAAAAGCTCATGAGTAACGCTTTACTAATGTTACCTTCTCCCACAATTATATTAATTCCTCCCAAACATACAGGCGATATTGACTATTTTTTTAAAACAGGAGTCTTCAGCCAGCGTGCCTGGCTGAGGAATTCTGCAAGTTGAAGTCCACAAGTCATAAAAGGGCCACGTTTGAAGGCCCCCGTTTTAAAGAAACAAGTATGTTAAGATACCCCATACCGCAACAGAATTGTGCAAACCTTGGCAGGTTCCATATTCTGAAAGTAGAGGAAGTCCTCAGCTTATGACCATACTTGTTTCTGGATCTTCTGTTGCTAAGCAATGCAGTCATTAACTCACGGCCAATTTTACTACCTTTTTTTTGCAACGGTGAATCCAGCTGCCCCCATTAATTTTGCTTGTCACAAACTGCTTGGATAGTGATCATGGTGATCATGTGACCCCAGGACACCACAACCATCATAAATACATGCTGGTTGCCAAGCGCCCGTATTGCAACCATGTGACCGCAGTTAACTCTGCAATGTTGGAAGCGTGAGGGCTGGTAGTAAGTCACTTTTTTCAGCACCATTGTAACTTCGAACAGTGACCAGCTAAACAAATGGCCGTTAAGGGATGATGCAGTTATGCAAAATGCTGCAGAGATTTACAGGTGTAGCGGGTCAAATACCCGTGCACCGCACTAAGGCTGAAGAATACAAGTGGTTCTCAACTTACAACCACAATTGGGACCAGAATTTTCTTTGCTAAGGCGGCGGTTAAGTAAGCCGTGCCTGATCTTATGACCGTTTTTATGCCACCGTTTTTATGAATCAAAATTAAGATTGCCGGGAGAAATATCAGCAACCTAAGATATGCAGATGATACCACTCTAATGGCAGAAAGTGAAGAGGAACTAAAGAGCCTCTTGATGCGGGTGAAGAAGGAGAGTGCAAAAGTTGGCTTGAAACTCAACATTAAGAAAACCAAGGTCATGGCATCCGGCCCTCTCAATTCCTGGCAAATAGATGGGGAAGAAATGGAGGTAGTGACAGATTTTATCTTCCTGGGCTCCAAGATCACCACAGATGGGGACTGCAGCCAAGAAATTAAAAGACGCTCCTGGGGAGGAAAGCTATGGCAAATCTAGACAGCATACTAAAAAGCAGAGACATCACCCTGCCAACAAAAGTGCGTATAGTCAAGGCCATGGTTTTCCCAGTTGCAATGTATGGCTGTGAAAGTAGGACCATAAGAAAGGCTGAGCGCAAAAGAATGGAGGCCTCTGAACTCTGGTGCTGGAGAAGACTCCTGCGAGTCCCCTGGACTGCAAGGCGATCAAACCGGTCAGTCCTAGAGATCAACCCTGACTGCTCTTTAGAAGGCCAGATCCTGAAGTTGAAACTCAAATACTTTGGCCACCTAATGAGAAGGAAGGACTCACTGGAGAAGAGCCTGATGCTGGGAAAGATGGAGGGCAATAGAAGAAGGAGACAGCAAAGAATGAGGTGGCTGGATGGAGTCACTGAAGCAGCAGGCGTGAACTTAAATGGACTCCAGAAGATGGCAGAGGATAGGAAGGCCTGGAGGAACGGCCATGGGGTCACGATGGGCCAGACACGACTTCACAACTAACAACGCCACCATTAAGCAAATCATTGCAGTTCAGTGAATCACCTGGTTGTTAATGGAATCCAGTTTGCCCTACTGACTTATCAGAAGACACCCGAGGAAGGCTGGAGATCCCTTGATCCTGGGATGCTGCAGCTATCATATGTACATGCTGGTTGCCAAGCGGCCACATTTTGAGCAGGTGACCGTTGAGGATGGTGCAATGGTTGAAAATGTGAGGGCTGTTGTAAGTCCCTTTTTTCAATGCCATTGTAACTTGGAATGATCACTAAACAAATGGTTGTTGAGGTCTACCTGTAAATGCAAATTCCACCAATGAATCATTTAGTTTTGCATCAGGCAATGACATTCGCTAATATTAGTAGTAATGGTTGTTACCTATGTTGCTACACAGTGTGCAGCAGACATTACGCATACATGACCCCATCGGGGTGGTAAACAATCAGAAAACGGAGGCCAACCAGTTTTATTTTGATAGATGCCCTTCTCTGGTTCTTAAAAAGGTCCAACTCCAACCCCCCACTCCCCAAACTGGCATCCAACCTATTCAACAGTTAAAAAATGAGAAGCACAAAGAAAGTGCTCTTAACAAGGGGAAACATGTCAATGTTTAATTTAAAATAAATAAGATAACAGTTGAAACAAAAAACGTGTTTTCTCTTTTACTCGGGAGCAAAAGGTTTAATAATGATTTGAAGTTAAAGCCAAAGTGAAGAAGGGCCGTCATAATTATAAAGAGACCTCCTGTATATGTTGCAAGAACAGGGGAGGAGTTGAACGGTTGCCTCCCAGTCCTCTGCTTATTCATGTATTTTCCTAGAAACGAGAAATGTGGTTTTGTGTGTGTGTAAAATTGCACATAGCATACGTGTCCTTCCATAAAAAAAACGCTTTGGGGTTGTTGTTTTTTGAAGTGCAGTGCCAAGAAATGTGAAGATATTGAATAAAAGCATTGGTTTCGCCCGATCGGGTGAATCGTTGAGAAAAAAGAAAAGAGAGAGGAAAAAAAACCAAGGCGATGACATTTACTGCTTAAAAAAAAATTGTCCACGTGAAGGAACGAGAGGTGAACGCACTCCTGCACGCCGCCGTGCTTTCAGCGTGAGCAAAGCTATTGCATTATAATTACCGTCCAGCCATCGTTGACGCTGGCCATACGACAAGCCCGTTTTTGATTTCGGGTTTCCCAAGAGCACGTCTTCAGACAAGGTTCTTTTCTTGGGGAGGGGAAGCGGGATGGCGGGGGGACAAACACACGGGCTGGGGAACCAGGATCCATGCCCTTCTCAAGAAGTGCTTTTTTTTTTTTTTTTGGAACTGTTCTCCTGAGGTCTTGTGTCTGTTCACAGGCACTTCAGGCTAAGAAAGGCTCTGTGGTTTTACTGTGGTTTTACTCCCGGTCCTGGACTGCGGGCCAGGTTGCCTTCACACGCTCAAGATCTCAAACTCTTCTTCCATCTCAAACAGTTTGTCCGTGGAGTCAATCAGCTCTAAGGAAAATGGAGAAACTGGATTTCTTTGTAAATATATATATATATATATATAAACAATACCTCCCCTTGCTGGGAATGCCAAACGCTGCACTCCGAACTATAGGTAGTGCTCGACTTTCAACCACAATTGAGCCCCAAATTTCTGTCGCTCAGCGAAACAATTTGAATTTTGGCCCATTTTACGACCTTTCTTGCTACAATTGTTAAGGGAGTCGCTGCCGTTCTGTTACAGTTAGGAACACAGTGGTTAAGTGAATCTCGCTTCCCCACTGCTTGTCAGAAAGTCTCTAACAGGGATCACATGATCCCTGGACGCTGCCACCGTCATAAACAGAAATCAGTTGCCAAGCATGAATTTTAATCATGTGACCATGGGGAGGCTGCAACGGTCGTAAGGGTGCAAAATGGCCATAAATCTCTTTTTTTTCCCTTGCCGTTGTAATGTCAGTCACTAAATGAACTGTTGTAAGTCGAGGATTACTTATAGGTGGGAAATTGGATGGAGAATGGATGTTGGAAAGCAAACGAGTAAGGAATAAATCAACCCGTCAAAGATTGCAGAAAGCTCTCCCTGTGTAACTTAACTATCCATAATGACACACCCTTATAAACCTTTTTGTTGTGGCTTAAATATGCTTACAAAGTGCCAGCAGATGCTTAAGTCTGACTTCACCCCAACTGATCAGGTTTCTTGACCCAGAAGAAATGGACAAACACGTTTGCTAGTCCAAACTAGCCAACTTTGGCCTTGTTTCCAAAATGTTGACACCCACCCACAATGGCTGTTATCTCTTCTGAGGATTATGCCACTGCTTTAAGGAAGCTGCCATTCAGAAATTTACTCCTTGGGGCCAGGTGTCCAAATAGGCTCAGGTCAGTTATAATCCTTGGGGTGGCGTTCACACAACATGATGCTAAACTGAGGTTCTTTAGCAGTAGGGTGCCTTGCGTAAATGCAAAAAAACGAATCCGTTTCAGGCTGTGAGCATATTGTGTGGACAAATTAATACAGATCACAGCCAGGCAGTAGGGTGGAGGAAAGTGAAGTAGCTCTCTATGAAACACCTCTTTACCTGCCCCGGTGGTGGTGACTTCTGGTTTCGTGGGCGGTATGAACGGGGGCCAATGTGGTGGGTGCTTCTGAACCAGCTCAAACATTCGTAGACTCTGCTTCTTATGTATCTCCTGGGAGGGAGAAAATGCCATTGGTAAATTGCAGCACATAAGCAAATGTATTAGCCACCCAACCCTCAGGAATTCAAAACGCCATGCTGAATGTTCAAGAGCTGGGGAGTACAGCTCATTTAGCAAATAATAATAATAACATTTGCATGTTTATGCCTTCCTGTCCGTGTTTAACAGTCATTAAATTTTGTATGAAAAAATGCAATCCAAAATTAGATGTTTATCACATGAGCTATTTTTTGCACTAAAAATCCAAATTCACTATGCTGCTTTAATGCTCGTTCTTAAATACCAAATAAAGGGCATTAAAAGGCAAGGAACGAATGAATTTCCAGGCCAATAAAAACCCATTTTTAAAAAGTAATCGCTGTATTTTTCTATTTGTGCTTTTCTTTTGGGGTTGCTTGTGCAAGATCACAGCTCCATTTAAAACACCATATGTGTTAAGCACACAAAAGACTGGAAAGCTTACAAAGCCCTTTTCTGGAAGAGAAGTTTAAAAATATACTAGCGCACCAAAGAAACAACAATAAAATAATTATAGTAACATTCAGTATAATGGACTAAACAAACATCAAATATGTATCAGAGCTGGTGGGATCTCTCTCTGACACTCTTTCTATCCCTCTGGTTATTATCAATCCTTTACTCGTAAACCTGTTGAACACAAAACAAGAAATGATAATTTGTAAGTTTTATGCCTTTCCTAATACTTGCCTTTTGCACAAGACTACACCAGTTGTCAAAGTCCTTTTCTTCTTTACAAAAAAATCCCTGTAATAATTGAAGAATATTAGAAAGGGAAAAACAAGGAATAATCCAACGATGGAAACATTTGGGCATTATACATTCTTTCCAATTATCTCAGAAGGGCATTAGTAATTATTATTGGCAATCCTTGAAGCAGTAAACCTAGGTGCTGGTAAAAAAACACTCACAAATAATGGGAACAGATTCAAAGTGGTTTCTCATCTCAGTAAGAACTAAGCCAAAGCTCACACATGAATTGTGCTCACAAGGCATGCGAAGCTATTGCTTGGTCTCTCCAAAACTCCCTTTTTGTACAAATCACAGTTTTAGGTGTGTGAGGCACTGTCAAAACAAGCAGACTAGATTATATTTTACTCTGTTGTATAAATGCGTTCGGTCTAATGCAGGGGTCTCCAAACCTGGCAAACTTAAGACTTGTGGACTTCAACTCTCAGAATTGAGGCTGGCTGGAGAATTCTGGGAGTTGAAGTCCACAAGTCTTAAAGTTGCTATGTTTGGAGAGCCCTGGTCTAACGCCTAGAACCATGGTGGCGAACCTATGGCACGCGTGCCACAGGTGGCACTCAGAGCCCTCTCTGTGGGCACGCGTGCCGTCGTCCCAGTCCTAGGCCTTCAGCTGGGTTTTATAAAACCTTTTCGCTTTAGCCTTCCGTGACTGTGTGCAAAAAAAAAAAAAAAAAGGGTTCAATCAATCAGTCAATTTCGACTTCTTGCTGGAAAAAAAAAAGATCTCGCAAAGTCGGAATTGATTGATTGAACTTTTTAGTTCCACCCAGTCTGCTGTTACCACTGCAGCCACACCCACCCAGTGTGCCATGCCCACCCGGCACACGACGACACATACGTGGGTTTTGGGTTGCAGTTTGGGCACTCGGTCTCTAAAAGGTTCACCATCACTGTCCTAGAACTATGTTTTATTACAATTTATTACATTTATTACATTTATTACATTTATTACAATTCCAACAAGAAATGTCTTCGAAAATGTAACCAGCAGCCTGATGCCTATGTTGGATTCCCTGAACTCGGCACTCCCTTCGGGGGGGGGGGGGTTCCCACCTCTTCACTACACCCCATCACAATACTCACTAATGCTACAGAGGGATCAAGATTCATTATCTTCATCCGCTGGGGGGGTTGCTGGCAGTGGAAGCTATGGTCATCAACTGCACCATTCTCATCCGAATCTACAAAGACCTGGGTGGTGTGAGGGTCCAGGTAGATCAATTCATTTCCTACAAGAAAGAAGGAAGGAAGGAAGGAGTTGGCTAGCCAGGAAGGGAACTGAAAATCGGGCATTGATTTTTGTCCCCCTAAAATCAAGGATCTGCTAAGGCCCCAACCCTGGATTTCCACACAAAGGGAGGGATTCATTCTTCAAATCAAGTCCTGAAGCTATTCATCTCTTCAGCTAAGAAACAAGCTGAGATGAATATCACTTGTGTGAATCTTCCCTATGGCAAGGCGTGAGGCTGTGGAGAAGAGACTGGGCTCCAATCTTCAGTCTAGGCTCTTTCCTGTGATTTCTCTTCCCCTGGGGTTTTTTCTTATTTGCTACTTCAGATTTAGAAGAATCCTTCATTGGAACTACTCCAACACATTCCAGTATTTTTCCTTACCCAGAAATCCTATAAAGTAGTAGGCATTGTTTGGTTTTCCTCCTAAAGCTCCTAAAGATTGCGGCATCTTAAAGCATTCCTAAAGATCCAAAGGAGAAAAGAAATATATATATATATATTTATGTCTCACTTTCCCACAAGTATCCTATTTGTGCTTCTTCAACAACGGAATTCAAGGCAGCTTATAATCTAGTTCCTCTATTCCAGGGCTTTTCAACCTTTTCACCCATTGTACCACTTTTAGGATATGGTAACATCCGAGTACCACCAGTCGCCTAGCAACCTTGATGACCTTGATGACACCCCCCCCCCCAAAAAATGTGATAAAGTACAGGTAGTCCTCAACTTACAACAGTTCGCTTAGTGATTGTTCGAAGTTACAATGGCACTGAAAAAAATGCCCCCCAAGGCACAGCCGAGCAAGACACCTGCCTGCCCGGCCACACTCTTCCTCCTGTCTGAGGTTTTCACAACAACTACCTCGCTTAACAAGAGAAGTGTTGGGCTCAATTGTGATCCTATGTCGAAGACTATATAGTATAAATTCCTCCTCTGGATCATCCAGGTCATTTCGACGTTTTAATGACTACATATATTGCCTGTGTGTGTGTGTGTATGCATGTGTGTATGCATGTGTGTATGTGTGTCCGTGTGTCTAATGAAGCAATTGATCGGTTATAGCAGACATGTCAAACACAAGGCCCAGGGGCCGGATGCGGCCCGCGAAATGGTTTCATGTGGCCCACAAAGCCATTCTGGAAATAGTGAGGGAACGGCCCCCACTCCCTTGGCCCTGGCCCAGGCCGGCCAGGAGCCAATGTGCAATTTTGTGGTGGCCATCTATGCTGAAAGGCATTCAGTCTCTTTCTGACTTTGCCCTGGTACCCATCATGAACAACCTGGCTAAGGAGAGCAAGCACAGCAGCAGCAGCCTTGGGGAGGAGGTAAGTGCAGCTGGGCGCCCTCTTGGGGAAGTGGAGCTGGGCTTGGTGCCACGGGTACTCGAGGGCCAGGCTGGGCATTTGACCTCTGCTGCCCAGGGCTCCGGCCAGCCCGCACCACCAATCCAGTCTCCCCCATGGCCTGAGAGGAACAGTGAGGTTCCTCCAGTGGACCATAACTTGGCACTTGCCCTGGTCCCACTCCCTTCTGCCAGAGACCCTCAGATCTGTCCCACTCCTGCCCAGGCCCCCACAGGCACCATTGACACGAACAATGTAGAGCTGGCCACGCCCACCCAACAGGCCACACCACACCCACCCTGGCCACCCCCACCCACCCCCAAGGGTAACTGCAATGCTGATGCGTCCCTCAATGAAATTGAGTTTGACACCCCTGGGTTATAGCTCCAATGATTCCTAAAGCCCACCAAATCTCCTGCCAGAGAGCTATACCTTAAAAGCGTCAACATAAACTGGATTGATGTGGTTTATCCCCAGGCGGAGGGGCACGATCAGCAGCAGAGGCTTCCAACTGCAACAGGGAGCCCCTGAGGTCTTGGCTGGGTTGGCGGAGCTCCTATATGACAGTGAACTGCTGTGAGACCTGGGGCAACCCTGGGGTGGGACCCCGCACATTTTTTCTGGTGAAAAAAAGAGAGAGAGAAATCCTTAATTCTCAATTCCTTATCAATTTGTTGGGGGCCAAAGAATATTCCCCTTGCTTACAAATATTTTCAGCAAATGTAAAGTGAAGGAAATCTGAATCCGAAACAGACCACTCTACTCGTCTGTGGGAAAATAAAATGGGAAAATTCTGTATTTACAGGGATTCGTTGGTTAGGCCCAACCCTCTCTCTTGCAGAAAGACTCCAGAATTAAGAATATTGTTGTGATTCTCCCTGCAATTAAGGAAGTCTGGAAGGAAACGAGTACCAAACAGATGCATTTTTAAGCCTTGGATAAATAAGGGGAGCCTGTTAACTGTTTACACGTTCCGTGTGGTGATCCTTAATTTAAGAAAGATTAGAAATCAAGGCAGAAGCACTTTGCTCGTGATGCATCCATTATGCTCTCAGAATAGCCCATTCATTCCAATTTCACTGCGTAACAGAGGTTGCAATAGTCCATTTTTAGATCAGAGGGCCATGGGTCAACCATCCCAAAGAGAGAAATGTTAAATTTGGAACATTTCTGCCTCAAAGTTCCTTGAATGCTGAACACACACACACAAACACATACAATTATATAGCAGACAGCAATAAAAATATCTGCCATCTGGTTTCCATTTGAAGGAACAAAAGAGAAAATGAAATGATAGGAGTGCTCCAATATCTCGGGGGTTGCCACAAAGAAGAGGGGGTCAAGCTATTCTCCAAAACCCCTGAAGGCAGGACAAGAAGCAATGGATGGAAACTGACCATGGAGAGAAGCAACTTGGAACTAAGGAGGAATTTCCTCACAGTGAGAACAAGTAATCAGTGGAACAACCTGCCTCCAGAAATTGTGAATGCTTTTACGTTTTTAAGAAGAGATTGGACAACCATTTGTCTGAAATGATATAGGTTTCCTGTCTGGGCAGGGGGTTGGACTAGAAGACCTCCAAGGTCCCTTCCAACTCTGTTATTCTGCTGTTCTGCTATCTATGATGATCAACTCAATGTTTAGGATTGATACAGGGGGAAAAAAAACAAGCTTCACCCGAGTAACTCTATTCCACTGCTCTTGTTCTGACTTTGTTATACGCTAGAGACGAAACAAGGATTTAAAAAAAGGAATTTTTATCTAGGTAACCGCAGACAGTATTTCCCAGATTCTGAATGAGGCTAAGTTAAAAGTGAATGTTAAGTTGCTCAGGTTCTGATGATGATGATGATTAAAAACTTACTGATATCTTCAATCACCACAGTGTTGTCCATAGACACGTAAACAGCTAAGGAATTCCATTCATCAAAGACTGCGAGTTTCCTGAATAAAGCAAGACAGCTGTCAATCAAAAAGTGTGCTCAATATTACGAAAAGGTTCTTAAATAAAGCAACTTTTGGGATGGTTGATGAGAGTTTAATTCTATTCCACTAATGAAATTCTTAGTAGTAGGGGGAATATTAGAACTTCCGGATGAGGTATATATTGGATAGTTGTCCTACTACAGGCAGAGAATATATCAGGGTACAGTTTTTAACTCTTTTCTGCTATTTTTACTCCTGTCTTTTTTCTTACTATTCCCCCCCTCTTGCTAAAATATATCAATGGAGGGAAGAATGAAACAGTATATAGCTTATGGATTGGCAATGCTAGGAAAGGCAGCATCAACCATTTCGCTACACTTGGAAAAATCCAGGAGAAAAAAGTGGCTGTTGCAGATGTTAACTTGGATTCCTTATTGAAAGCTATTTTGACAAGCTTTTCTGAATAAGCAAATTAATTTAGTCAGCCTGGCATTCAAATGTACACTACTTATTACTCGCTACTTCCATTATTCAATGCTTACACCTGCTTCTGCTTGGTTTCTGAAGGGGGAATCTCATTCCAAATATTTTCCCGACGCTACTGATGCAGAGCAGGAAAGCTGTTGCTCCATTACTGCAAGCACAGAATGTAAATATTTGGCACAGTGATAAACCAAACTATAAAGCTTGAAGTAACTACTCAAGACGGCATTTTCCAGAGGTAACTAGATGTATTAGCTAATAGTTCAGAGAGCCATTCCAGAGGTTGCGGAAAGCAGAATCCACATTTAAATGTGCCAAAAGATTTTTGGGTGGTTTGGCTGCAAATGCTTATGCATCTTCAGGGACAACCTTTAGGTACAATCAAAATGAAGAGTCAAACTTGCACTCAAACGTAAGCACAAGGAATTCAGCTGCCTTGGCATCCTTCAGCCATCGGACCAAGCTCTTTTTCTCTGCAAATACAGGGAGTCCTCACTTAATGACAACTGAGCATGGAATTTTGTTTGTAAGCCATGAGGTCCGTCAAGCAGGTCACAAAGTGACCTGGCTTGATTTTACGACCGTTTTTATAATGGCCAGAAAGCAAGTCGCCAGAGTTAAGTGACTGTTAAGCGAATCCACTAGCCCAGCACAAAATGCCAGAAATCAGCAAAAAAAAAAATGCAAATCACAGTCACATAACCACAGAATGTTACAACCGGTTGTAAAGGTGAGACAGTGGATAGGTGCCCAAAATGCAATCGTGACCGGGGTGACAGGAGTGCAGCAGTTGTAACTTTGGGGGCGAGTGGTAAGTAACATTTGGGGGGGGGGGGTATAACTTTGAACGGGCGTTAAGCGAGGACGACCCGTATAAATTCCACAACACCTATTGCAGAATACACATGCTGGCTTACTTGAGTACTTGGGCAACAGTATTTGGTCCGAACCATTCCCCAATAGATTTCCCTTCGCCAACACCCATCTGCGCTGTGTGGATCAGGAACAGACAAAAAAATAAAGAAAGAAAGAACGTCAGAAAATAACCTTTGCCTATTAAAATAACCTTTGCATTTATTTAAATATTGCATTGTGTATCTCTCAAAAGAGTCCAGGATCAAAACTGTCCAGAAATATTAACCCAGATCAGAGTATTTCAGCTAAACTTTGTGTGGGCAGAAGGATGAACAGGTCCAACTGCAGATCTCTCAGTATTCAGCCCCCATCATGCCCAGCATAGCCATCCTGGCTGGAGGATTCCGGGAGTGGAAATCTACCCCTTGAGAGGTTAAACCAAACCTCCAGCCCCCATCCTTAGCAGAAGCAGAGATGGGGAGGGGTATGATACCAGCCTGCGATGCTATGAACATATTTCAGTTGCGCAACCGAAGGACTTAAATTCACTTTGCCTCCTGCAAAGTGCCTCAATGTGGGCGGCCTTGGAAATGCGTAGATGGCTAATCTCAGACTCTTCAGCAGACTCTTGAAATGGGATTTTCCTTTTACAATTCCAGGGCGATCCGTCCGTTTCAAGGGACAACTGAAATCGCTCACCATCAGCTCTAAAGCTGCACATCATGCGTGACGATAGGAGTTTCAGAGACTGAATCCTCCCTTTTGAAACCCTGCATACAGTTTTTAAGAACTGAATAAAGAGGACAGATGGACTGCCACACTGACACTAGAGGTGTATTTGGCAGGGATATTTAGAGAGGACCTTTTCCAAAAACTGGAGCTTCCTGGCAAGCAGAATCTAGAAACAAAGATGCTGTTATTCAGATAAACCTTTGGTTTTTATGAAGTTTGCTGAAGTCCGTTTTAACCGACAGACGGCGATTTAATTTCAAGGAACGTGTTTTCAACTGATTTTGCTTTCTGCTATAACTACAATTGTGTATTTTCTCTTAACATTTTAACCCAGGAACAAGGTCCAAGAGTAAACAGGATCCAAACTACTGTGACTGGAAACCATGCTTTACCTTATTGTGCAAATTCAGTTTTTGTGTGTATCTTCTAGGGCCTCTATGCCATTAAGTCAATCTTGACTCCTGGTGACCGCCAGGACAAGTCCCTGCAATTTTCTTGGCGAAGTTTTTGAAAGTACCTTGCTGTTGCCATTTTCTAGGGCTCAAAGAATATGACTGGCCCAAGGTCACCCAACTAGCTTCGTGCCTAAGGTGGGAGTAGGACCCGTGGTCTCATGGTTTCTAGTCACTAGACCAAAATATCTCAGTGAAAATCCAAATGTACTGAAACTTACTATACCATAACAGAATAACAGTGTGGGAAGGGACCTAGGAGGTCATCTACTGTAGTCCAACCCCCTGCTCAGGCAGGAAACCCTATACCACTTCAGACAAATGGCTGCCCAGTCTCTTCTTAAAAACTTCCAGTGTTGGAGCAATCGCAGCTTCTGGAGGCAGGTTGTTCTACTGATTAATTGTTCTCATTGCCAGGAAATTCCTCTTTAGTTCTAGGTTGCTTCTCTCCTTGGTTAGTTTTTTCATCTGTTGCTTCTCGTCCTGCCTTCAGGTGCTTTGGAGAATAAGTTGACCCGCCCCCCAATCTTTGTGTGGCATCCCCTTAGATATTGGAACATTTCAGATTGGAGCATTTCATTTCATTGGAGCATTTCAGATTCAGTTCCCAAAAAGATGCTTCAGAATATATGGGATCATGCACGTGATTCCTCTTTGCAACTTTTTAAAAGTCACAATTTTTTTCATAGGATTTATGCAGAGGGTGCATAGGCCAGTCATTTAATCCAGAGAGACAATTCAACTGTTTCAAAGGGTTGCAGATTGTGCCCCTGTGCACTTCAAAGCGCTTTTTTTTTTTTGAAATGAGCCTCAAAACACCACACATCCATAAAAAATAGCTATAGCTTTGCCTGGTATGACTCCATGCTGACACTGTGAGGATCTCCCTAGTATGACGTCAGTATTGGCTACTCTTTTGCCCAGACTCACATCTGTATTTTTTTTTAAATTTTTATTTCCACTAACACTTTTCTTTATTTTATTACCAGATGGGATTTTTTGCTTTATTTTAACTCCCTCCCAATGACACGTTCGTTAGGACTACACATTGCTCTCAAAATCTGCTCTTACCCATTTGATGAATTGAGTAACAGCAATCTTTTCTGTCCAGGAAGCAGCACAAAATCTTTTTATATTCTTCTGGTTGCTTTCTGTATTCCTCCCATTGCCAATCTTTAAAAAAAAAATTATTAGAGATTTTAAATGTGATGAGGTCACATTCTCACCAAGGACAAAGAATAGAGTGTGGGTCTTCAAAAACTTGGCCCTTTTATGACTTGTGGACTTCAACTCCCAGAATTCCTCAGCCAACGTGCCTGGCTGAGGAATTCTGGGAGTTGAAGTCCACAAGTCATAAAAGGGCCAAGTTTGAAGACTCCTGGGATAGAGCAACCAAAGGTGACCATTCAAGCAAAGAAATATATATTGTAGTCCTTCTTACAAAATCAGTCAGCTCTAATTACCTCTGTGGGATATGCTGAAAGTGCACACAGAGTATTTTATTGGCAGGAGATACTATAGGTAGTCCTCAAGATACTACCGGTCACTTAGTGACCATTCAAAGTTACGACAGATCTACTTACAACAGATTTGAATTTGCGATGGTCACCCTCTTGTAGTCATGTGACTAAACTTTGGGCGCTTGGCAATTGGGCCGTATTTATGGCTGTTTACGATAGCTCTTGTTTTATGATGGTCTGGCCAAAAACCAGCATCTACTTCCAGTTTTTGGCAAAACCACGCCCGTAGTGAACCATTCGTTCATTTCATGACCATGGCATTCACTTAACAACTGCTGTGGCCATTTTACAACTGCCCTGGTAGCTTAACAGCTGACAGGTGAACTAATGAGTTGGCTCCATTACTATCATCACTTCATCTATTATTATTTTAGTTGTTTTTATAGTTTTTTTTAAAAAAATGTGTGTTAATAATGATTTTAGATATTAGATATTGTTTTAGTTCTGTTGTACGCTATCCAGTGTCACTTGCTTGTGAGATGGGCAGCTATGATAGATAGATAGATAGATAGATAGATAGATAGATAGATAGATTAGATAGATAGATAGATAGATAGATAGATAGATAGATAGATAGATAGATAGATAGATAGATAGATAGATAGATAGATAGATAGATAGATAGATAGATAGATAGATAGATAGATAGATAGATAGATAAGAGACAGGCAGAGACAGACAGACAAACAGACAGACATACAGACAGACTTACCCCTTCCCAAATGTCGACAGATCAGAGCCTGAGCCAACATCATCTGTCCACACCGCAACATGCAGCCCCAGCCAGCATCTGAGGAAGGCCCTGTACCACCTTGGGAGTGAGAAGCACATGCTTAGGAGGTCATAAAAAAGGAAGGCACAAAACCTGAGGCTTCCTTGGATCAAGAGGCTGGGGAAGGGAGGGAATCCCACTCCTCCATGTGCATGATGAGGCCACACCCATTGTACATCTTTTTTCAACCCATTCCACTGCTTCCACCCAATTATCCTCAAATACATTAAGCGTAGCTCCTGGCTATCCAAAAGTTGCTCTTTTCTGATATAAAAGAAAGGACGGAGATGGTAAACTCTTCAATAAAAGGGGGAAAGCCAGCTGCAGCAGCCCCAATACTTATCCCCCACAGAAAAAGCCACTTTAAATGATTACAGGTAATCCTCAATTTACAACCAGTCACTTAGCGAACCTTTTTAAGTTACGATGGACCCCCCCCCCCCAAAGCTATTTTTGACCCAATTTTTAAGTTATGATGGCCACAGCCCTGCGGTCATGTGGTTGCATTTTGGGCGCTTGGCAACCACTTTGCTTTTATGGCTGTTTGCAGGGTCTTGTGATCACATGACAATGATTTCCAATATTTTTTTGCCAGTTTACAATGTTTACTTCCTGTTTCCAGCAAAAAATGTCCCATTGGGGAAAATGGGCTCGCTTAACAACTGAAGTGTTTGCTTAATGACTGCAGTGTAACAACTGCTGCACACACACACAAAAAAAATGCTGAAAAATCAGGTCCAGTCACGTGGCGGCCCAATTAATGACCTCAATGACTTGTGACTGTAATTTTAGGCTCAAACACTGTCAGAACTTGAGGACTACCTGTATTTGTGTCACTTCAAGACAACCGTGTCAGACTCTAAAGCAGGGCTCCCCAACCTATGGGCCATGGCCCAGTACCGGGCTGTGGGCTCTTGGCCCGCGGTCCGCAGAAATGACTGGCCAGGGCGCGGATTCCCTCCCACTCCGCTAACGCCCAAGGCCTTGTTTGCGCATGCACACAGGCGCAAATGGGAATGCTAGCGCGGGGGCATGCGCGCCCCATTTGTGAATGGGCCACTAGCATGTGTGCGCGGCATATTTGTGCATGCAAATGGGTGCTAACTGCTGCGGGGAGTTTGCAGCCGTTCGTGGGTGCACATGGCACCAGTGCATGCCGCATGCATGAATGTGGCCGCTAGTACTGCGCCAGTGGGTGTGGTCCCGTTTGCACGCGTGCAGACGTGTGCACATGCAGTAATTTGGAATCTGTTCTCCCCTCCAGGCCATGAGTCTGGAAAGGTTGGAGAACTCTGCTCTAAAGGATTCGCTGGATCCAAGCCTAGGGCTAAAGTGCAGGGCCTGTTCTGCCTTGAGTAGCCTTCTCCATCAAGGACAAGCAGATATGGCCAAGGCCTTTTTAAACAAAAAACAACAGCCACTAATACTGAGAAGAGTTCTTTTTCAGAAAAACCAGTTCATTCTCTTATAGAATTCACGTTTTCACAAACAGAAGGAAATGAGAGGGGCAAAAACCCCATCTGGCCAAGAAGAAAACTTACCAATGGGTGAAAATTTCCTTCTGTAGGTAAACCAAAGACGAGAGCCGATATCCGAAAGAAGCTTAGATTTTTCTAGAATTGGAAAAAGTAGTAACAGGCTAACACAAATGTCGTATTCTACTGAGTCAATTAGACATTCAGGTGTTCAGGAGTGTAAAACCTTTTTTCCAATAACCTCCCCCTTGCTGAAAAGTTATGTTTTCTCCCCAATTCCTTTTTCATTCGTCAAAGTCAATGCAGTATGTGACAGTTCATTGTGGAAATGAACTGTCTCTTACTTAATACCTCTTAACAGTAAGTAACTGTCTCTTACTTAATTCCTCTCAATTCAAAGTATACGAGACAAGTCTGAGCTAGAATCTTGTCCTTTAAACCTGTCTTCCTCTTCAATCTCTTTTACTTTAAGTGCCCTTAAAGCACTTGTAATTAATAACTTGCATTATGTCTGCTTTCAAGGATTTCTGCTCTTTCTAGAGCTTGCCAGAGAAGTAATATGTGGTTTTTTACCAAATTTACCTGTTTTTAGGTGGTGCTGTCTTCCTAAGATCCAGGCGGGCTCATCTGTCTCAGGAAGTTCTTCTAAATAATCTACTAAAATAATAAAATAATGCTCATAATTTTTAACTAGACACACGTGTATTTGACTTACAGAATATATGTCCATATCTGTACTTCTTTAACAATAGCAATAGCACTTAGACTTTATATACCGCTTCACAGTGCTTTATAGCAGTTTACAGAGTCAGCATCTTGCCTCCAAAAATCTGGGTCCTCATTTTACCGATCTCAGAAGGATGGAAGGCTGAGTCAACCTTGACACCGTCAGGGTCGAACTGCTGGCAGTCGGCAGAATTTGCCTGCAATACTGCATTCTAACCACTGCGCTCTTATGCACAATATACAATCAAGATGTCGAATACTGAACTTTAGCCTAATTAAAAATATTTTAAATGTTAAAAGGTTTAAAACTGAACGTCAAATCATTAAATATTAGATATAGAATTTGTTTTAGAACAAATCCCAGAGCAGGCAACTTTTTTCTAGTCAGAGGGCCTCCTTTGCTCTGTGAGGATACCCTCCAAAAAGTAGGAAGAGCCAAGCCAAAAAATAAACTTGTTTTAGTTGCACACAAGTTTGTAACGCATCCCATATGTTTCTCTTTACTGAGCGTTTTACATTTTGCATGTCCCATTAAACTTTACAAATTAGTAACTGTGGAAGAGACTTTTGAGATTTGCATCCAAAATTCACAGGAATCACATGCAAATTTTGCCCTGGATTGAGTTTCCTACACGCCCTCAGATCTCATTTGCTTTTAAAAGACTGAAAGTAATTCCCCTTACATTTAGTCAGACAATGACCTTTGCTATTTGCTTGTCACAGTGTGGGCAACGATGAAAGCAGATCTATTGTGGCAAGAGCCAAATATTAAATACTGCGGTCTATCTTTTGAGACCCAAATCCCCAGCAGCCTAGGAGGGCTAAAAGAGATTGCTTCAAAGTCAGTTCCTTCTTCTAACTCCTCACCCAGTTACAACACACACCCAACACCTGCAAAACAGGAAGAAATGTTTGGGAAACTGTGTGGATGTTTAACGTTCCCATTCCCCCCCCCCCTTAGTTTAGCAAAACTAAAGTAGCCTCAGGAATTATCCTAAGCTGAAATCCAAAGTGGAATTAAATATACCGATTGGGTTTGTCTGTGGAGATTCTCAACCATCCAGGTCATGGTTGTCCTAAAGGTGCTTTTTTTTTTTTCCAAAAGGCAACTGGACTTTCTTGGGGTTGTTGTTTTTTTCTTTGAAAATGTTTCGCTTCTCATCCAAGAAGCTTCTTCAGTTCTGACTGATGGGGAATCATTTTCAAAGAAGAAGAAAAAAAACAAGTCCAGTTCCCTTTTGGAAAAAGCACCACTGGTGACCTGCTTTGAGTTCTTTCCACCAAGTAAACATAACCAAATAATTTAAAGAGATGAAAATGGCCTCAAAAGTCCTCTGAAACACAAAATGCTTTAAAAGGACAAAGGTGTGTGCGCCTTTCGTTTTCAGCACAAGCCTAAGTCTAGAGTCCTAAGGCACACCGTGCCTTACAACTAAAGTAGAATATGTGCTGGAAGGTGTCCTAAAAGCTTAATTCAATTCTCACCAGTACCAGTAATAAAAGATATTTTGAAAACTGTGGGTTGTTTTTTTTAAAGCAGAAAGAATGTGACACGCAGCTTGCATATTAATTATCATTACTAGAACGAGTTTCTTGGAAGGCGTACAAGGGAGTAATAAGGTTGCGTAAATAAAACAAAAACAATGTAGACATTTTATCGTTGAATTCCCCCTGCTTGAAAACATGTTTATGCTGCTCCTTGCAAGTTCAGATTGACGCTACACCAAGGACCGTGATGTCACCCATGAGCTAAGCTTTGGCACATTCATATCTTCCAGGAAAACCATCCAGATTAGACTCCCCTTTGCCAAGTCCCAATTATTTTTCCAACAAGAAAGGAAACATTCTAAGTGCTCATATTTCAACTTTAAAACTGCGCTTTTTAAAAAATACGGGTTGTCTCAAGCGGGTAGACAACATTCTCATAATTTACGCCACCAAGACGCAGGCTTGGCTCCTTGGTTTCATCTCTCATTAGCATTAATGGCAGAGGTAATGCCTCCAGCATCAGAATCCAATAACTGGTTACTTAAGAAGCGCCAAACATTATCTGCTTGTGGACAGCTATATATAAACCTTATGCAATAGCCCAACTGTATTGACTAGCCAGGAGAAGCAGATTCCCCTATGACCTCTGCAGCAGTTTCTAGAGCATTTGGGAATTAGAAGTCTTCTCCTCCCCATGAGTGTCTACAAGGAACAAGGGATAAAGCATGTGTCACAACATGAACTTTGCTCTTCACATCTTTTGTATTTGATACACAAGTATAAAAGGGCAGAGCTTGGGGACTCCATAATGCACATTTGACACCCAAGGGTCATTATAGTTACCTCGATACCTATGACTCTAGACTGAAAGTACCCCATAGAAGGACTTCACATTGGAACAGAATCATTTGTTAAACCTACTCACTGCTGCCTGAGAAAACTTGATGTGCCATATTAAAAAACAGTTAAGTTACTTTGACCCAAGGCCAAAAAGCGGAATATAATTACAAATCCTAGACACCCTGTATTATGAATACTTTGCAAACAGAAAGAATAGAGTGTCTTTATCTCCACCCCAAATCTCTTACAGTAACATTTAATAGTTGCAATGTTCGTGCTTATTGTTTTTCAGATCTTTAATGTAAGATTAGTCTGCTCTACCCCTGAGCCTCCCAAATGTGCTGAGAATACGGTACTGAGCAACTGTTGGCACTGTGTGGTTGACCACAATCTAGACTAGTCTTTGTTAACCTGGCGCCCTCCCAATCTATCAGTAACCCCCATGCTAATTCTAGGATGTGGATCCAATATTTTGGACAACAGATGAAGACTGCAGGCCTAAAGAGTAAAAGAAACAGCTTCACTTTTAGTCCCTAACAAGTAAAAGCACCTCATTTATTCACAAAACATATTAAGACATTTAGAATCATTATGATCATCAAATGACTGAATCTAGGGGGAAGACAGGTGCAGTTATATGCAAGAGAACCAAGCATTTGTACCTAAATCTGAATAATAGACTTTAAGGAACAATGTTTTTCCTATAGTACCTTCAGAAAATTGCAGCTTACAACCAGATGAATCTGATACTAAATCACTAAAAGGTCAACTAAAAATGCATTTAGAAGACTCTCCAATAGGCAAAAATCTTTCTGCCTTCTAACTACTTTACACACAGATCTCACTAGAAAACTCTCTCTTCATACCCTATGCCTCTATCATGTGCCCACACATGCAAATTCTCCCTACACGGGAATAGAAAGAATACCAATACTGTACTTGTGATTGTAGTCACAATTTACATATTTAAAATCCTGCACAAGTCCCCTCTCCAGCTTATTTAAATAACAAAAAATTATATTTAATGCAAAGTATTAATTTCAAATCAACAAAAAACAGATATTGATATTTAAAACAGCATACCTTAATATTAAAAATCTACTACTGAGATAAAGTTGATGCGAGCCAGACATGTAAAAATAACCAATTCATTTAAAAAAACATTTTACAATTGAACAGTAAAGTGCGGTATTTATCTGAAGCTTTCATAGGGAATAACAATTTTTTGTTACTGCACACCATGGCAGGTATTCTCCACTGGCTAAAATTGCTGTAATAGTTGCAGCCTCACCTGAAGAGAAATAGTTTAACTCAGATAACCTCCGGCTAAGTTTACTGTATAACATGTTATATAAATGGAGCTGCCTTTGTTTTTCAGACACTTATTTTATTTTTAGTGCTTTCAAGTCAGTGTTGATTGCTGGCAATTCGTTTTCTTGGCAGGATTTCCAAAGTGGTTTTCCCTTGCAGCCTTCTTCCTGGGACAGACATACGGAAGAGGGACTGGCCCAAATTCACCCAACTGTCTTCGTGCCTAAGGCAGGATTAGAACTGACAGCTTCCCAGTTTCTAGCCTTGTGCCTTAACCACTACATCACTCTGTCTCTTCTCACCAATGCACTCTCTCACTTCTAGACACCACAATCTCCTAAAACAGTATTGGTCATACTGGTCTATTTTTTTATACAACTTCATGGAGTTGTTTGTTGATTTTGTAATATCATTCCGTACCGCAAGTTTGTTAACCTCTCCTCGGTGCATCTATTTCCCAAGGTAAGGAAATACCTGGTTTAACACCCTGGGTCTAGGAGATTGAAAAAGAATTCAAGAGGTCACTTGCTTGAACTTCACTTCCATCACCAATGCACTGGGAGACCTTTATACCTCTCTCTCAACCCTAAAGTGCTGACACTGTCTTTCCATGCTAGATTGTGTAGACTGCAACAAGTTCATGCCACAGGTGGTTGCCAAAATGTACATAAGCATTGCAATTGTCAGCTTGGGAATTTCCCCCGATTGTCCCAGCTGCCTGATGTACAGGACTGGCATTCAAAGCAAGCAAACCAAAAGCCCATGTCAGGCCTATGAAATTTATTGGGGCTAAAAAAAACCTGACCACTGGAGTTAGAATGGAGTTGAAGCCAGTTGTAGATTCTGCCGTGGTTATTTATTCATTGCCCAAACTTTCTGTTACCCAATACCCCTTATCAGAAAATCCCTTTTTTTACTTAATGTAGGTGAAATCATTTAAGTCAGTTTAAATATCCCCGGTGTGGTTGGGAAATGGGGTCATGGGTCATTGCAGAAAGAAAAAGCACTTTTACCCAAATTTTCCATAATTTACCTAGCTTTGGGAAGCATCATATGCTGTCACCTTTTCCTTTCCATCTATTGTTAAGTTTCTTCCATCCTCAAACAATTCCCACTTAGCACAGATATATTTTAAATTATCCCTTGCTTGTCACTCAGGAACTCATCCTTTTTCTAATCCACAGCCTTGTTGGCTGAGGATGATGGGTGAGGAGTTCAAACCCTCCGGAAGACACCAGGTTGGGGAACCTCTTTGAACAGCCTTGTTGGCTGAGGATGATGGGAGCAGAGTCCAACCTGTCTGGAAGATACTGGGCTGGCGAAGCCTTTTAAGTGGCTGAGGATGATGGGAGCAGAGTCCAACCCCTCTGGAAGATACCAGGATAAGGAAGCCCTTTAAATGGCTGAGGATGATGGGAGAAGAGTCCAACCACTTCGGAAGATACCCGCCTGAGAAAGCTCTTTAAACAGCCTTGTCGGCTGAGGATGATGGGAGAGGAGTCCAAGCCCTCTGGAAGATAGCAGATTGGGAAAGTCTTTAACGGCCGTGTTGGCTGAGGATGATGGGACAGGAATCCAAGCCCTCTGGAAGATAGCAGATTGGGAAAGCCTTTAACGGCCGTGGTGGCTGAGGATGATGGGAGCGGAGTCCAACCTATTTGGGAGCCGATGTCTTGGGGAGGGGGCGTCTAGGGCCACAGTGGCTGAGGATGATGGGGAAAGAAGTCCAATCTGACGATGCCGGGGAAAGCGGGGGGGGGGGGCTGGCTGGGGACGATGGGAGTTGGAGTTCAACGTCAGGCTGAGGACAGCTGCTCCGAAGAGGGCTTGGAGGGCTGAACCTGACAGGGGGAGAACATTTCTGCCTCGCCCGGCTCCCCTCCCGCCCCGAGAGGCGACCCGCTCCCCGAGCAAGGCCGGGCCTCACCAGACTCCATCCTCCTTCCGCGTCACCGCCACCACCATCCTCTCATCTCCGCGCCGCCGCCTCCTTCGGCCGCTTCCTTTCTTTCTTTCCCTCAGGCGGCGGCGCCCAGCCTCCTCCCCCTCCCCCTCCCCCTCCTCCTCCCCACGGAAAACAACACGACGACGGCTGTCTCCGCCCGCGCGGCGCACGCCGGGAGTTGTGGTCTCCATCGCGCGCCCCTGCGCCCTCCTCTTACGGCCCTTCCGCTCCGCGCACTCCAATTCCCATCGGCCCCTCGGATGCTTTCCGCGGCGCCTGCGCACGAGAGAAGCCCACGTTCGGGGAAGTGGGAGGGGCTCGGCCGGGGGGCGGGGGCGCCGCGGCTATTGGTCGCTCGCCTAGCGATCGCCCCTCAGGATTGGTGGCGTGGGGGACGGTCGGCTCCGCCCCCTCCCGGGTCGGGGAGTCTGCGCAGGCGCGCACGAGGATCGTCAGTCTCCGGCATGGAGGGACAAGAGGGCGGTGGGTCCGTCTCCAACGTGGAGCTCTGCAACTTGGCTTACGCGGGGCTGCTGGAGGAGGTCAAGGAGCGGCTGGCCGCCAACCGGAGCCTGGCGACGCGAGCTGATCAGGTTGGCCCGGCAGCCGGGAAGAGAGCGTGGCCGGGCTTGGTGGTTTTGACACAAACCATGGTTTATGGGATCCTGGCTTGTCGCGCAGACCTCTATAGGCTTGTTTTGCACGGCTTAAATATGGCTTCCCAACCACAGAGTTGGCCCAGTGCACTAACCCGGCATCAGGCATCGTGACTTAGTGCATTCTGGCATATTCAATAAACCATGTTTTTTCCAACATGTACAAATAATACAATGGAGACCGTAATATTAAGGAATCAAAACCAAAACCTTTTTTGTACCACAAATGCTTTGATGCAATCGGTAGTGGTATATTCCATATCCAATTTTGGATAAAAGTGTTCAAAACTATTAGGTTGATCAAATGTATAGCCAATATTTTTACTGTTGCATAGACTAATCTTCATAAGCATCTTTCTTACCATTTCCCCCACTCCTCCAATTTTCATTTGAATTCAAGATCAGCATTCTGAACTTAAATGTTTTTCTTGAGGATTTTATGTGCGAAATACAACAGTATTTGTACATACTGGCTTGCTTGAGATACTTCTTAAACAGCAGCAACTTTATTATAAAGTGAAAGGAGAGACCTATAGAGAGAAAACTTCCTCAAGCTGGGTGACTTCCAGCTATGAGGTTCAGCTACCAGATCTCTCAATAAGGATCATGCAGTTTGAGGAATTCTGGGAATTGAAGTTCACTTATTTGGAGGGGTTTATTAAATTTAGGGAAAGCTGCTTTGAAGGATGAAGTGGTCTCTTTATGGGAGCATGTATCAGTTGACTTCATATCTGTAAACAAAAAGCACTTATCTCCATTTTTTTTTCCTGTGTCCATAATCTTATCTTCTCCATTCAGGACAATAGGACAGCTCTACATTGGGCATGTTCAGCTGGTCATTCGGATGTCGTTCATTTTTTGCTAAGCCTGGGGGTGCCTGTTAATGACAAGGATGATGTAAGTATCGCCCTTTATTTATATAATAATAATAATAATAATAATAATAATAATAATAATAATAATAATAATAATAATAATAATATTAATATTAATAGTTGTACGGGACCTTGGAGGTCATCGAGTCCAACCCGCTGCTCAGGCAGGAAACCCTACACCATTTCGGACAAATGGCTGTCCAGTCTCTTCTTAAAAACTTCCAGTGTTGGAGCATTCACCGCTTCTGGAGGCAGGTTGTTCCACTGGTTAATTGTTCTCACTGTCAGGAAGTTTCTCCTTAGTTCCAGGTTGCTTTTCTCCTTGATTAGTTTCCATCCGTTGCTTCTTGTCCTGCCTGCAGGCGCTTTGGAGAATAGCTTGACTCCCTCTTCTTTGGGGCAGCCCCTGAGATATTGGAACACTGCTATCATGTCCCCCCTCGTCCTAGACATACCCAATTCCAGCAGCCTTTCCTTCCTTATATGTTTTAGCCTCCAGTCCCCTAATCATCTTTGTTGCTCTTCTCTGTACTCTTTCTAGAGTCTCAACATCTTTTCTACATCGTGGTGAACAAAACTGGATGCAGTATTCCAAGTGTGGCCTTACCAAGGCATTGTAATATTTTATAATATTAAATATTTTCTATTTACAAACTGTTGATGGGCTGTATACTTTTCTGCCATCTTGTTTCCTGTTAGGAACTCTTAGTTGACGTAACCATTATTGGTAGTTAGCGAAAGTGCACTGCTGTGGTTCTTGATCTTAGTAGTTGGCGGGTTGTAAGTCCTCAACTTACAACCACAAACTGAGCCAAAGTTTTGTGTTGCTAAGCGAGACATTTGTTAAGTGAATATTGCCCCGTTGTACGATTTTTCTTGCCACAGTTGTTAAGTGAATCACTGCAGTTAAGTTGGCAACACGGTTGTTAAGTGAATCTGGCTCCCTCATTGACTTTGCTTGTCAGAAGGGGGTGACATGAGCTCAGGACACTCTAGCTGTCATAAATATGAGTCAGTTGCTAAGTGTCCAGTGATCACATGCAAATATTGCAATGGTCGTAAGTGTTAAAAAATGGTCATAACTCAGTGCCATTGTAACTGAGCGGTCACTAAATGAACTGTTGTAAGTCGAGGACTGCCTGTATTATTATTTTTTATCTGAAGATGCCAGATTCCTACCAGGGTAGCATTTCCTTTTGGAAGGAAACTTTTAAGTCCTTTCTGCTTGCCTGGAGTACGTTCTGTAGCTTTTATGTGGGAACGACACCAAACTGAAAACTCTTCCTAACGTAAAATAGAACGTACATGCTTCATGAATGAGGAATGACCAAATACAGGTAATCCTTGACTTACAACTGGTCACCTAGCAACTGTTTGAAGCTACGATAAACCCTGAAAATGGGACTTACAAACTGGTGTTCAAGTTCTGATGCCTGCCCCTCCCCCTGTGATCACATTTTGCGCAGTCTGTAACCAGCTGTGGAGCTGTTCCAGTGCCCTGTGGGCACATGGCTGATTTATGATGTTTTTCTGGAAATCTGTGTTTATTTCCAGTTTTCAGCAAAAACTGCCCCATCACGACCATTAATGATCACAGCATTCACTTAATAACTGTGCCTCTTGCTTACTGAATATGGAGGGAGCAGTTCATAGTCCTAACTTGGTCAACCCTCCCAGCCCATCCTTGCATCTTGGGCTTTGCCTTGACTGCCCTGTATGTATTTTCCCAAAAAGAGTTCCTCCTTTAAGCCCCAGCTGCTTAGGAATTCATCTACCCCACACTTTCCCCAATCTGTCTTCTGAAAGAGCAGGTCTGAATTGGGTCCTCTCCGTGAATCAGATGACAGCTGTCAGCAGCCTGCACTTTCCTCCACCCCCAGTTTCTTCTTCCCACCATGGAAGGTCTGGGGAAATACCTGGTCATGCTTCCCCCATATCTGCCCCTAAAGGTAAAGTTTCCCCTATACCAGGGGTAGGCAACCTTGGCTCTTTTATGACTCGTGGACTTCAACTCCCAGAATTCTTGAGCCAGCATGGCTCAGCTTGGAAACCTCTCCCTTTCCCCTCAGCATGGCTGGCTCAGGAATTCTGGGAGTTGAAGTCCACGAGTCATAAAAGAGCCAAGGTTGCCTACCTCTGCCCTATCCAATCGTGTTTACTCTAGGGGACGCTGCTCATCTCTGTTTCTTAACCAAGGCAGCCAGCATTGTCCAAAGATGCTTCCATGGTCAGAATGCTGTTACCTTCCCACTAGAGTGGTACCTGCTTTACCTACTCTCATTTGCATGCTTTTGAACTGCTAGTTGGGCAGAAGCTGGAGGAAGGAACAGGAGCTCACCCCATGATGCGGCGCTCAGGTCTCAAACCCATGCAGTCAGCTTTCCAGCTGACAAGCTCAGTGCATTTAACTGCTGACCCGTCATGCCCTCTCAGCCCCTAAATAACTCAAATATCTATGGACTACTTGATTTGCGTTCTTACATTCCAGAAGGCAAGGGAGCAAAAGGCACCAGCGAGTGTCTGGTCCTATAGCACCATCCCTGCAGAGATGAAATTGGAAATCTTTTGTAATTATCTATAGCAGGGGTCCCCAACTCCCGGGCCACAGACCAGCACCGGGCGCGGCATGCCAGCAACTGGGTCGCATGAACAAGCAAAGCCTCATCCATGGGATGCTGGCAGCACACAAAACCACACACACTCTGGTCCACGGAAAAAACCTCTCTCCACGGAACCGGTCCCTAGTGCCCAAAAATTTGGGGACCTCTGATCTAAAGTCTTCTTTTTTTCTTTCTCCAGGCTGGCTGGAGCCCTTTGCATATTGCCGCATCGGCTGGCCGGGATGAAATCGTGAAAGCCCTCCTTCAGAAAGGAGCTCAGGTGAACGCCGTCAATCAGAACGGCTGCACCCCTCTGCATTACGCCGCGTCGAAGAATAAGCAGGAGGTTAGATTTTGAGGGGTCCTGGGTGCGCTCTGAGCTGGGTTGTTTTCTTCCGGACGTTTTCGTTACCAAACTAGGTAACGTCCTCAGTGCTAGTCTTTATAGTCTTTCACAAATGAAGGCGAATCTACGTGTCCCAGGATAATGTCGTAGGATCCAATCTGGGTCGGTCATCGGGACCAGAGCTTTTTGTCTTCCGAGCTTTTTGGACTCATGCTGGGGCCCATCTTCAGAGAATTTTTCTCTAGCAGAACTTTGGGTTGTTCTATGTGTAGTATTTAGATGGGCCCTGTTGTATGTGGCTTTTTAGGTGTTGATTGGGGTGTTGATGGCTGGCTATTAAGTTGTTGGCTGTTGCTTCCTTGTGCTGCCCAGCTCTCACCTCCTAAGTACTTGATAAGATGGGGGTAAACCAGCTCTCCTATTGACTGACCAGGGGCCCGTTTCCCAGGCTTCCATCATTTCCCTGGCTGTTTTTGTGCCTGCTCGTCCAACAATCTTAGTACAGTAGCTGCAAAATTGAATGTATGTCCTCGTTCATTGCGCTGTGAGTCTACCAATGAGTTCAGGTCTGACGGCTCACTTGTGTTCTTTATATCTTTTCTCCTTTATCAGTTAGATTTTGCTTTGGGGCCCTTGTTGTTTTTCCCTGCTTCTCGAAAGCAAATGGTTTGGTCATCCTTTTCTTCTCTCGACAATAGATTGCGCTGATGCTGCTGGAGAACAAGGCCAATCCAGATGCAAAGGATCACTTGGCCTCCACACCGTTACACAGAGCAGCCTCCAAAGGGAACCTCAAAATGACAGAGATGCTTCTGAAACACAAAGCTTCGGTCAACTTACAGGACTCCGAAGGAAACACACCTCTGTAAGGATGGAAGGATTTATTTATTATAAGGCTTGGGTAGTTTATCCCACCGTAAAACAATCACTTACAGATACTCCTCGACTTTGTACAGTCAGTAAACGAACTGTTCTAAGTTACAGTGGTGCTGCAAAAAGTGACTTTTTTAAAAAAAATATTTTATTAATTTTTTTAACATAATCACCACTAATATTTGGCAAACAGCATGTTGTCTGGGTTTATATTTACAAACAATAACAATTAGTTTCTGTAGTTCCATACTCCACATAGTAGCTTTCCTTGATTTTCTCTCCTTCCAACAACACTCTCTTTTATCAACCTTAAATTAGTACATTTCTTAATAATTTTAGTAGATCACAATTGAATGTAGACATTTTTTCCAGTATTTTCTACGAGTAACAACCACATCAGTATGAAGCTTCTTTTTTAAATTAATCATCTTAATCGCCTCGTCATAAATCCTGTTTTTAAAGTTCTCGTTTAAATTTGTTTTCCCCACAATGTTAAAAAAAACATTTTTACCTGAGTGACTTGATAGGCCAGTGGTGGCGAACCTATGGCACGGGTGCCAGAGGCGGCACTCAGAGTCCTCTCTGTGGGCACGTGCGCCGTCGCCCCAGTCCTAGGCCTTCAGCTGGGTTTTATAAAACCTTTTCGCTTTAGGCCTCCACCACCGTGTGCAAAAATAAAAGTTCAATCAATCAATCAATTTCAACTTCTCACGGAAAAAAAAAGATCTTGCAAAGTTGGAATTGATTGATTTAACTTTTTAGTCCCACCCAGTCTGCCATTACCACTGCAGCCACGCCCACCCAATGGGCCACATCCAGCAAATGGGCCACACCCACCCGGCACCCGACAATGCATAAGTGGGTTTTGGGTTGCAGTTTGGGCACTCGGTCTCTAAAAGGTTGGCCATCACTGTGATAGGCAGTGTATAAATTTAATGAATAAATTGGCAAGCCTTAACCCTGGAGAAGAAATATGCTGAACCTGAGTCTGTAAAAGGGAGTAATTCTTGGTTTCCTTGACAGCCACTTAGCCTGCGATGAAGAGAGGGTGGAGGAAGCGAAGCTGCTGGTGGCCCATGGTGCGAGTATCTACATTGAGAACAAAGAAGAAAAAACCCCGTTGCAGGTTGCAAAAGGAGGACTGGGCTCCATCCTCAGAAGGCTGGTTGAGGGGTAGCTGCTGGGGGTAACCTAAATTCCGTTCTCGACAAAACGATTGAAGACTGTTCATAAGAGGGGTTTTGTTTTGTTTTTTTTAAAAAAAAGATCTCATAGTGCTACAACTTGAATTTTTTATTGCACTGTAGCTACTCTGTACTTTCCCATGTCTTCAGTGACCGTTCTCCAAAAAAAATCTCCTTGTGTTACGAAACTTATTGCTGTTTTTGCCAACTCTAGTGGTCCTGTTGCAGGGTAGTTTCAAGATAATGCTTTCCGTCTGCTTTCGTATAGAAAACCACTTTGGGAACCTGCTCTCTCATCTTACAAGAAGAGGTAAATAGAATGAAGACTGTTACATGTAAAGGCGATCCCTTTATTCCAGAGTTCCCCAAACGGGGGGAAGAGGGTCAGCGGACCGGTGGGGAAGCGCACACGTGCGTGCGGCTCCATTTGCACGAGCGGCGGGCACATGCGCCTGCCACTCAACGCAAATGGAGTGCCCACGCACACCTGATCACACACGGGGTGTGCGCTGCCCGCCACTTCTGTGGCCCCGCTCTGAACAGCTCAAGGCCCGGTGATGGACCACAGCCCGGGAGTTGGGGACCCCTGCTTTATTCCCTCAGGTCATTGTCTTGTCTATTAAGTCAAAGTCAAAAGCTGGTGCTCACATGTGGTGGCTCAGAAAGTGAGTAAGCCTGGCCAAAATTCAAGGCTGCAGAATCTCTTGTCCTCCAGAAGTGGCTGAACTACAATCCCCAGCAGCCAGCTGCCAGCAGTAGAGGATTCTGGGATTGTACCTTAATGACACTTGGAGGGCCACTGGCTGCAGCTGCCTCCCTGGATTTTTTTTTTGTTGGGATATTTTTGGAAACTTTTTGCAAGTATCTTTTTGGCTTCAGCCTCCTCCCTCCTGTATGCAGTAAGTGATTGGAGCGGAGCATTATGGGAAGAAAGCTGATAGATTTAAAGTTAGTTTGGGAAAGGTGCAGGTAGCATAAATTGTTCCTTGTGAATAAAAGCTAATGTAGTTGGCATTGTGGAACTTCTTGGACTTATTTGCCAGAACATTTTGTGGCTAATTTTGTGGTTTCAGCAAACTGCTTATTAAAAGAATTACTGTTCAAGATCATTTTTAAGTATTCCTGAAGGCTTAAAATAATAATGAAATGTTTATTAATGATAATGTTTATCCATTCATTGTGCCCAACTCGTGGCGATTCTGTGGGCCATGTCTCTCCATGTCTTCCGATTTTGCACTGCTTCTTTGAGTTTTTTCTATGATCTGGCTGGTGTCAGCTTTGATGGTGTCCAGCCATCGTGTTTCTTTGATGACCTGGTTTTCTTTTACTGCTAACTCTTCCGAGCATCATTGCTTTCTCCAGTGAATTCTCCCACTTTTCCCCCCAAAATAAGTGAGACAGTTTTATGATTTTGCCTTCCAGTGACATGCCTGGTGTTACGCCAGTGGTTCTCAACCTTTTTAATGCCGTGACCCCCAACCGGTCATAAGTTGAGGACTAAACCGGTCGTAAGTCGAGGACTAAACCTGTCGTAAGTTGAGGACTTTCCCTGCCCGGCAGCGCCGCGCATGCGTGGTTCTGCCCCCTTGCGCCGGCCGAGGCGTAGCTGGCAAGCGGCAGAGACAGAGCAGGCCGACCACCAGCTGGCCCAGCCCAAGGGAGGTAAGGCACCCGCCGGAAAAAGGGGAAAAAATGGCGGACAGCCTTGCTTGGCGACCCCTGTGAAATGGTCGATTGACCCCAAATGGGGTCGCGACCCATAGGTTGAGAACCACTGTGTTACGCTCTCCAGTACTTGTTTCTTGGTCACCTTTCCTATCCAAGGAATACACAGGAGGAGCCTTTTCCAGCACCCCAGCTCAAAAATACTAAATACTTAAACCAGTATTTTAAACCAGTATTTCTTAAACTTGGCAACTCTTAAGATGTGTGGATTTCAGCTCTCGGAATTGGGCAAGGGAATTCTGGGAGTTGAAGTCCATACATGTTAATGTGGAGAAACACTGGTGTAAACCAAAGCCCTTAATATTAAGCTGTTGCAAATACCATAAATGATTATGAACTTCCAGTTGTGTTGGTGGTGTTTTTCTACCCCAACCTCACTTCTTTGATGGTTTGACAGTATACAGGACTATCTATGTGCCACAGTAAAGTTGAAGATAACAGAATGTTATAGCTACGACGTCTTAGTCCTATTATAGCGCTCTTACGAAATGCATTGTGTCCTTAAGTTACTTTTCAACTTTGTAACACGTTCTTGTTATCAAAGAAACATAACAGGAGAGAGTCCGGTAAACATTTTATTGTTCTTTGAAGTAACAAAAGAATTGAGCAGTTCCCTGTTCTTCTCATGCTGCTCGGCATAAGAAAAGCTACCCCAGGGATCTTTGCTGAACGATGACTAGCAAGCGTGTGTTACTCATTGGTTGTAAAAACAAAATACCCCAGGTAACCAAAAGCAAGTTACAGAAAAAAAAATTCTTTACTAAATTGAGGCTGTTTCTGTAAAGCTCATGAGGTTGTTGACAATGTTTTTTTTTGGGGGGGGGAATGATTAAGCATGATGACTGAAACATTCAAACTGCACAAAAAAGATGCTTAGGGCGTAGGGTGGTGCATTATAACATTAACTACAACTTTTAAAGCAGCCTTGTCTTTTCTACTGCTGCTCCGCCCTGGGATAGACATAGCTGTTTTTTAAAGAGTTGCAGACAGGCAGGCTGTTGTCTCTCCCAAATATCTTTGTGGACTTTTGTGAATCCAAAGCAACGCACAGTCCCGCTGGTTATGTGCATGTCAGTCAGCTCAGAGGCAGTTAACTAATTCTTGTTAATTAACTCTAGTAAGTTTTATATGCTAGATTCACACCTTAGGCCAGGGGTAGGCAACCTTGGCTCTGTTATGACTCGTGGACTTCAACTCCCAGAATTCCTGAGCCAGCATGGCTCAGCTTGGAAACCTCTCCTTTTCCCCTCAGCATGGCTGGCTCAGGAATTCTGGGAGTTGAAGTCCACGAGTCATAAAGGAGCCAAGGTTGCCTACCCCTGACCTAAAGGAACATATGAAAGCATAATTAATGTTAATTAATGTAGCCTTTATTAGTTTAGAGGAGGGGTAGGCAACCTTGGCTCTTTTATGACTCGTGGACTTCAACTCCCAGAATTCCTGAGCCAGCATGGCTCAGCATGGAAACCTCTCCCTTTCCCCTCAGCATGGCTGGCTCAGGAATTCTGGGAGTTGAAGTCCACGAGTCATAAAAGGGCCAAGGTGGCCTACCCCTGCCTTAGGCTAAATAAGTGATTGCATTCCAAACAAGTTGTGGTTTGGTAAAGTAAATACCATTTTGGGGATTTGCACAACCAACTGAACTGAAAATTAAACCACCGTCCGGGTTTGTACCATTTGTTACAGATTAATGATGGCACTGGCTAGTTTGATTAAACCAGTACAACATTGCCAATCTAATGACATTATAGGTTTACAGACTTAACGACTGCAGTTTGGGTGGTAAAACGGGGCACCACGTGATCACACCCAATTTTAAAACTTTTGTAGCACCTGTTAAATGCGGAGTGCTTGTCTAGCTCCCAAAATGTCGTCACACGACTGTGGGGAGATCCCAGCCATCGGAACTTAGAATCTGAATCCTAAGTAGCTTTTTTTGGGGGGGGGGGGAGTTCGCCTTAACTTTAAACCGCAGATACCTGGCTGGTCATAAGTGAAGGACTCCCCGTACTTTATTTTTCACATCTCTGAATCGCCCATCTTCCTCAAAGAGGGACTCTGGGCGGCATACAATAAAATGTTAAATTTTAAAAACAGTATATACAGTATAAAAGTTTAAAAATGTAGAAGAAGGGTAGGAATTTAATAGGAAACAGCGATTAAAATTAATTAAAAGGCAAAGAGGGGGCTATCGGCACGAATCAACCCCAGAGCTGCGTGCTCCTCTGTGATTGAGGTACCCAGCTGCTGTGGTTTATTCAATAAATCATGGTTTTAGAAAATCTTCACGTGTGGTGTGAATCTGGTCAGATTATGGGTCTCGTATGAAATGAATAGAAGGCTGGAGAAATTCTATCTCAAATGACTAGGCACAAATGCCCAGTGTGTCACTATTTTCAGAGCCACAGATACGGGATCAGTGTAAAAATTCCTGATTAGATGGCCTGCTTTTTAGGGTTCCCCCAAGGGCAACCGCTGGCTTTAGGAAACTGGTTGATGGCCCATTTCCTGCATCTCATTTTCAGGCAATATGGCAACTTGGGCTTCTTCAGGGCTACCATGTTCTCCCATCTCATTAGCTTCCTTGTTTGGTGGGACTGCAGCCATGGGAACGCTGGGCACTGCAGCATATTCCAACTTTGTGGGCATAGGCCTGCAGAAAAACAGAATTGAATTGAATTAAATTGAATACTTTATTTGGCCAAGTGTGATTAGACACCACAAGAAATTTGTCTCCGGTGCAGAAGCTCTCCGTACACGTGCAAAGCAACAGGATAATAGTTGTAATAGTAATAATAGTAGTAGTAGTAGTAATAGTAATAATTTATTTATTTATTTATTTATTTATTTCATTTATACCCCGCCCTTCTCCCGGAGGACTCAGGGCGGCTTACAGCCAATTTAAAACAATCCCACATAAATACCCAATACAAATCTAAAATAATTAAAAATAAATATTTGAATTGGCCGCTCTATTAACATTTTGTTAAAACCAATTAAAATACCCCCTAGGCCAGTCCTGCCTGCTGAAACAGCCAAGTCTTGAGGGCGCGGCGGAAGGAGGGGAGATCCGGAATCACCCGGATCTCTGGGGGCAGTTCGTTCCAGAGGGTGGGCGCTCCGACAGAGAAGGCTCTCCCCCTGGGGGTCGCCAACCGACACTGTCTGGTTGGCGGCACCCTGAGGAGGCCCTCTCTGTGGGAGCGTATCGGCCGGTGGGAGGTAATCTGTGGCAGAAGGCCACAGATTACCTCCCACCACCAATGGGAGGCCACAGATTACCTCCCACCACCAATGGGAGTAAAGAAGATAAGGATAAATAATACTGCAGCCATACTATGGATAAATGGATAAGATACACATAGGCATTAGACAATTTAAAAGTTTAGATGGAGGTGCATTTTTCTCAATACAGTATGTTGTGGGAGAAGCCCATTCTAGCACCTCTTTTATGAAAAGGCTCAACGGGGTAATCTTTCCCAGTTCAAGGGTCTTAGATTGCAATTCCATCGTTCCTGTCTGTTGGGCAGAATGCTGGGAATTGAAATCCAGGGCAGGAGGAGATACTAGATTGGAGAAGGCTGTAGTGACCCTTTCAGGCTAATCCAACATTATTATCTTTTTCCTGTTTTACATGAGTCTAGTACTTTTATATAATCTCAACTTGAGTTTCACACTCTGCCTATATGTAGTTTATCTGATAATGTTATTGAGCTGGTCTCCATCCCTGCCTTCTTGGAGGGCCTAGTCCCGTGGTGGTGAACCTATGGCACGCGTGCCACTGGTGGCACGCAGAGCCCTCTCTGTGGGCACGCGCGCCGTCTCCCCAGTCCTAGGCCTTCAGCTGGGTTTTATAAAATCCTTTCGCTTTAGGCCTCTGCCCCTGTGTGCAAAAAAAAAAAAAGGTTCAATCAATCAATCAATTTCAACTTCTCGCAGGGAAAAAAAAGATCTCACAAAGTTGGAATTGATTGATTGAATTTTTTAGTCCCACCCAGTCTGCTGTTACCACCGCGGCTACGCCCACCCAATGGGCCAAGCCCACCGGGCACCCGGCGATACATAAGTGGGTTTTGGGTTGCAGTTTGGGCACTCGGTCTCTAAAAGGTTCACCATCACTGACCTAGTCAATTAGCCCAATGTCCCTAGCCAGTCTCCCATGAAGCAACGAACAGTCTAACCTTACATAGCTTCTGACATAAAACATGGAATAATCGACCTGGAAGGGACCTTGGAGGTCTTCTAGTCCAACCCCCTACTCAAGTCGGGAGACTTACATCACCCCAGACAAATGGCTGTCCAGGCTCTTCTTAAAAGACTGCCGTGATGGATCACCCACAACCTCTGGAGGCAAAACTGTTCCACTGATCAGTTGTTCTCACTGCCAGGAAATGTTCCTTAGTTCTAGGTTGGATCTGCCTTTACTGATCTTCCTTTAATTTAATTTAATGATCCAGCAGCTTGCCTGGTTACTCATAAATTCAACTTGGTTCCATAAAAATTGCAATTCTTAGCCTTGGATTACATCCTTTGCTACTTATTGGGGAGGTTTTCTTAGATTTTTTTTTATCCTATCTTATTGTATAAATAACTTAAGGTGGTGAAAGTACCTAATATCCCATCCTCCTATTTTTTCCACAAGAAGCCTGTGAAGTCGGATTTGGCTTCGCTACTATGGATGGTCCACCAGGGATGTAGCTTAGTCTGATGTATGAAGCCAGCCAATTGAGGGCTGATTCTACAAGTCTGCTGAAGGCCCATCAAGGTCTACTGAGGCTGATTCTACAAGTCTACTGAAGGATCCCAAGCCTAACCTTGGGATCCAGCCACTGCGCTGAGAAAAATAAACTTGTGACTTATTCGCTAAACTCTTGTTCCAACAAACTCTGGATTAAAACCACGAGCCAACCTGATTTAGGACAAATTTCGGAGAAGAGGGAAGCTTTCTTCCGAAAAGTTCTCTCCACAAACTTACTGCATTTCCTTGGAATCAGGTTTCTGCTTTCTCCTCTTCTTCTTCTCTCTGGAGATGAGAATCCAACCAACGAGACATATCAAGGCAGCGGCTAGAATTGCCGCAATTAATGCTCCCACAATGATGCCACCTTCGGAATCTGCAGAGAGAGAGGAAAAACTCCTGTCATTTATACAAGAAGCGCCTTAGCAGAGGGTGCGAAGCGGGTAAATCACACTTCTGAGTGGATTACAGAATAGGAAAGGCGATTTATCCATCTTGGCAAGATTTGCACCTATTGTCGGTTTGGCTTAGTGTGCTACGTGCAAATATTTGGCCGTTCTGCCTCGGACAACGCAGCAGGATGAAGAACTCCTGATTTCAAGTTCCTTGTGAATGCAGCCGTTGATGCACCCACCCTCCGGATCTCCCCTCCTTCCGCCGCGCCCTCAAGACTTGGTTATTTCAGCGGGCAGGACTGGCCTAGGGGTATTTTAATTGGTTTTAACAAAATTTTAGTAGAAGCGGCCTATTCAAATATTTTTAATCATTTTTAAATTTTGTATGGTATTGTATTATTGTTTTTAAACTGGCTGTCAGCCGCCCTGAGTCCTCCGGGAGAAGGGCGGGGTATAAATTTAATAAAATGAAATGAAATGAAATCAAGGGGGCTTCCCTTGGGGGACCAAAATGGCGCCCTCTCAGTGTGTGAATTCCAACCAGCTCTTTTCAATTCATGAAGGTGATGGAGTAACTACAGGGCCCTTTTGGTGGCCCAGTAATTCAAACTCAACATAGAATAATAGGGTTGGAGGGGACCATGG